TTGATTTACAATAAAGATGAAACGGAAAATTAGACTGTGACGAATTTTTACAACGAATTGCAAGCACCGAGTAACTTTACTTCGGTACATAATTTTCGTGACGTAACGAACATAGATAACAAATAATTCTCTTTGTATACAAGGCGATGATTCTTTGGCAAACATTCGACACCATGAAGCTGGTTATACAAAAAAATTGTTGATTAAGTAAATTTAAGTACTTACATACAGTGTAAACAACAATAAGTTTTTAGTATTGTAACACCCAAATACTAAAAGGCTACTCAATTTTAAGTTGTAGATAAATATCGTGCTATCTCTGTCGTTTTACAAAGAATTTGTAGCGACAGAATACCAAGCGCAACCTAAAATTGATTGGCATTTGAGTATTTTAGCGTGAACATTTCTAATACAAGCTAAAATGAACCCTATTTTCCGCTTAACTTTGGCTATGGGCAAAGCGAGTAGTGGCGGACAGATAACGACCGCAGCGCACAATACGGCAGAAATTGGAAACAAATGCGGATGATGCAAACCCGTTTTTTATTATTATATTCATTTTCCAGTAAAACTATTGAATAAATTGCACTTAAATAATGTCAACAATACTATTTTAATCTTTGGTTTTATTTATATTTGCAAAGAAAATTATAATGTTTACATTGTTATTATTTGACAGCTTCCGCAAATGTTGTAAACGCTACGCGTCGCCACCGTCGCGCACATAGCCAATAGTCAGATATAACTCCAACATCACTTCAAGTTAAAACCTATAATAATTCTTAACTCACCTTCAACAATAACGACACAGGATGTCTCATCAGTGCCATGTACGTTGGTGGCCACGCAGGTGTATTTGCCACTGTCCTCCGGTCGACAGTCGATGATCTCCAGCGTGACGACGCCATCCGAATGTGTCATCGCGTAATCATATTTAGATAGCTCTCTCTTGTCCTTGTACCTGGGGGGAGGAGGATGTTATAATTATAGTTATAGGTCGTAATATTTGTTTTACAGTAGGTTCGGCAATCGATTCTACGTACTATAGGAATGTATTATTTTAAAAATTAAAAGAACATTTATGACTGATCTGTATTTATATCAATCCTCATAAATAATTTTATGTTTTGATTGTTCATCTTTAATCTTCAGTACAATTATTTGATATTTGACTTTCAAAATGCTAATTTTTGTCGGGACTCGGGAATCAATGACCGACATGGCATTCGAGTGGAACACTCCAGCCAATCCTTGCTTTTGACAGTTCTTTGTCGATAGCTACCGGCTTAAACAGACAGTACTTATGATGAAAAACCAAGACCGTTTATTCATGTCCACTCACCATTTGACAGTGGGCGTGGGCTTGCCACTGAGACAGCAGAGCAGCTTGCACGTGTCCCTGGCCTGCATGACACGCGGCCGCAGCTGGAACGTGAAGGCGGGCGCCGTCTCGGACGACTCCTGCCAGAACGTGTACGGCAGGGCCTCGCGGCGTCGCGGGGCCTCGGGCAGGTGCTGGCGTTGGACCTTCGGGACCGCTGCGGGACGAAATGCGATAGTTAGAAATTTAAACTATAAACTGAGACTGTTAATGGTAATTCCTTGTGGTCTTATAGGTTTAAAGCTGGTTAGAAAACCAAATAATAGATCGCTAAATTTAAAATTAAAAAAGGTCTAGAATGACTATATTATTATTATTTATTAAAATATGTAATTTGAAACAGAATGTTTAGGTATTAAAAATAGAATTTATGAATTGAATTTATGTAATATATACCTAACTAAATTAATAAAGTTCGAACAGGTGGAATGTAATCGCATCTTTATTGATTTAATAAAACGATATACTGATTTCTTACTAACACCGGAATTAATATTTATGAACCTTAGATTAGTATTAGATGACATTAGACATAACATTTATTGAATTTCTGTTAAAATTCTAGATAAACCTAAATATTTTCGATTAAAATAGACCAACTTTCAGTCGAAAAACTACTTAAACACACTTACACGCCAAAAAAGGACTATATAAATCACTTTATTAAAAAATACACTGTGAAAACTGGTCACTTTAGGAGCTTATTTAGAATCAATCAGTGCTCTAGGAGGAGTAGGCAGGGAGTGACTAATTTCGTAACATTTTCTCGGCCTAAAGGTGGAGTAAATATAGACATTGGTTAGCAGTTGGCATGTAGCACTGGTCTTTTGTCCGAGTAATTAAAATTAAATTGTTTGATAGTGTGACGGTTTAATTGGTCCGCATTGTAACTGAAATAATATTCAGGTGTTAACGTTTGTTACCTATTTTGGTTTGGTATGTTGTAGCTATTTTGGCCTTACAACAATGTATGAATGTTATGTGATATTTTTATGATTTTGTTTTATTTTTAAGTTGTTTTTTTAATATATAGCGAATAATAGTAAATTTTTAGTGAGCACTCCGATTTTTAACGGCGATGATAAAACACAAGCTAATCACAAAACTATTTCGCTATTGGTATCTACTACAGCAAAACTATGTATCTAGATACTGATCAAAAAGCTAAAGAGTACTATAGATATTTTCAAAATTCCTATAGCGCAACCTAAGTTGATTTTTGTCAAGAATGTCAAACATAGACCCATTTTTACTATCGTAAAACTGTAAAAGTCTATTCGAAATAGAAAACAGATTTTTAAAACACAATTGGGTACGTGCCTTAGTCAAAAACAAATTAATTCGACTGTTCAATACAATAAAATATTACAAAATAATCACACTTTCAATAATTGATTTTATGACAAATATAATATTAATATTTTTGCAGCAAAATTTTACGAAATAAGTATGCTGTTTGACGCTGAAATAACGTGACGTCACAATACACAATCTCGTACAAAATTCATAGAAAACTGTCGTTTTTGACAGTTCGAAAAAAGTATTGAACTTGACTAGTTGGCAAGTAAGTTAATTACAAAGTTAATTTCGACAATTTATTAAACTGCCGTCACCACTGGACACTGGCAGTAGAGTCGACAAGATCGTTTTGGAAACTCGTTTGCCAAAGAAGAGAAAAAAAAAAGCTGCACAGTAATGGAAGAATGTATAGGTATCGGTAGCTATAGACACTTACGTTGAACGTTCAAGAAAACGACTTCCTCCCTGAATCCGTAGTGGTTCTCAGCCCTGATGATGTACTCGCCGCGGTCCTCCAGCTTGGCGCGGTTGATTATGAAGTAGTAGTCGTCGCCGGCATACCTGTATGCGAAATTGGACGTTATCATTTTATTCTACAGGGTTGGTTTTGAGTATTATTATTTAATTACAAAATAATCACATGGTCAAGTATTTATGACCAGACGATAAGGGGCAAGTACAGTCTTGATTATTGAATTTTTTCTCTAAATTGCACTGAAATATTAAAAAATAACGACAGAAAGCGACTGCCAAAGATATACTTCGAGATATTTCGGCAAAACAGTGATTTTGAAAAAGTGTTGAATGTCCATTTATCGAGGGACGCTAAAGGCTATAAAACATCACCAAACATCTTCACTAGTAGCTAGTATTAATATAAAATATGATCACAATACCTCTTCATAAACTTGACAGACTGTCTCAGCTCGTGGTTGTTCCTGGACCAGGTGACAGTAGGAGTAGCGCATGCAATGATGCGACAGTACAACTTGACGGACTGTCCCTCGTAACAGAACGCGGACTGGGGCTTGATCACGAAGCGGGGGGCTGCTTGTCTGCGGTCTGGGGGAGAAAGATGAAGTTTTATGGTGTATTTTGTAGAAGGAATAATTTTGTTGTAACTGGGTCTTCCTTTTGATTATGGAGAATAAAAAAAACTAGAAACAAAGTTATCATGTAAGTATAAAGATTTTTTTAAGGATTCAGTGTTAGAATACGTAGTTTTGGAACGGAACCATTTTAGTTCAGTTTTCTGCCACTGGTGTCGCTCTCTTTCACTTTGAATCTCACAAATTGTAAACGGTCGTACGAAATAAATGACTGAGTATTTTGTGGAATTATATATTAGTATATTTCTTTTATTATTTGGCATTAATTGGCCTATAATGAGTATGAATATTAGTGTAAATCTGACGCAGCCGTAGACTCCGTATCTTGTGATCTCTACTCCAAAATATAACAGTAAATAGAACCTTAGACTTCCATACCTTAGAAGGCTTGTTACTGAGAATTTTCAGAATTATTTCACTATGAATAGCTACGTAAAGACCCAGAAAATGAAGATCTCTTATGTCGTGTAAACAAGTTTTTTTTTAAGGGGGGGAAAATCATCGAATGACTGCTCCCACCTGGGTGAGGCGGGAGGGAGTGTCAGGCTCTTACTGACTAAAAACCACCCTGCTCCTTCTCCTGCACGTCGAGTCGGAGCCCCGGTTACCCGTTAGGTTCTCCGCGACTCCGAATCGGCATCGGCCCTATTGGGCCCCATCTGTGGTGGTCTGATGGCTGTCGTCTAAACAAGTAAATGCTTACCGAACTGTCCATCGTATATCTTCCACTTCTCGATGAGCAGCTTGCGCAGTGAGCTGTACTCGCTCAGCCTGCCGATGGGCAGTCTGAATGATGACCAGTTCTACGGGAGAAATAATTCATATTAGATAACCGTTGTTATTATAATTGAAAGTTTAAAACCATGTAAAGTTTACTCGTTTGAAAAAAAAAACATTCGCATTGTGACCCCAAAATTAAAATGTTGTAAAGGCATTTTAAGCCAAAAATGATAGAGGCCTTAGTATGAGTATGTTTTACGCATAGAGTAATCGTAACGAGACTCTTCCTTGTTACCACCTGGTGCTCTGATTGGTTGCTCCATTGGTACCGGCCAACCAGATTGCCGAACGCGTACTCGTTTCGAATAATTTAAACGTAAATTAAACTCGTACTAAGGTCTCAGGTAACAAGGAAGAGTCTAATGATGTAAATATTTTTATTCTGATTGAGAAATTCCAAACATTTATGGCCCCGAGATAACTAATCCTAGACATTTGGAGGTTAACCAAAAAAAAAAAAATAATTTGAAGTGTTTTGTAGTATTTATATGCATGTCACACTTGGGAGTAATTTTTATTCAAAGTAATTCAAATTAAACTACTCATGTCTATTTTTAATGTTAGATATGTAGTTATAAGTTCAGTCCGTACCTCGTACTGCGCCCGCAGCCGGTCCCGCAGCGCCTCGTACCTCCTGGCGGAGATATGCGCGGTCCGCGCGGCCGCCGCGTCGCCCGCCAGCCACTTGTGCATCAAGCACTCGTGAGCTGTCATACGCTTCCTGTACAAATAGTACGCAGAATTTTTGTCATTACAAATATGTTGTAAAAGAGGAGAAGATAAGCTAAATTATTGTACACAAAGTTCAAATTCCTTTTGTCAATTTTTATGGATAATTTTTATACATAACTGCTCTTAATATATAAAGTTAACACTCAAGTTGACTCTGATCTAATCCGATTCAAATAAAATTCGTATTATATTAATATATCCAAATCCAATTTCTTTTAATTTTTAGTTCTTTTTGTCTAGACTTTGGTGTTACATTGTTTTTGCACAATCGAACCAACAAAATTATGTAACTAAAGAATTGAATTGTGAACCTGATTGAAAAAGAGTAACCTATGGAGTATCTTGCTCGTTCTTCTCCATAGCGATCTACACATTGGAATGAGCAAACAGTTTCACTTTTAAACTTTTTTGTTGACGTTCAAAAGTGCTTTCCTGGTTTAATTGAAATAAATTTGACTTTGAATGATCAGGGCAGTTTTAGTGGTAGTGACTGACTGAATGAGTGAACTGAGTGAATTTGTCAATTTTTTAATACCAATATCATGTCATAGCTTTACTTAACTCGTCGAGTACCGTCATTATAGACACAATTATAGAACAATAGGTTGCGGTGACCGCTTGGTGTTTGACAGTTTAAAATAGTAACGCTTTAGTACTTTCAAAACTTTTACCATTTAGCCACTATATCATAACACAATAAGATCTGCATCAATCCATCGTCATAAAGACATAAACCAATCACCGTTTTCTTTATTTCCCTTCAAAATATAATGAATCACAATACTAACTCCTTGTTCTTGACAAGCAGTCTCCTGATGAAGTCCTTGGCATCATCAGACACGTGCTGGAAGGCTTCTTCATCGAACTCCCAGTCGCATGCCTTTACATTCTTCAGGGTTTCAATGTCGTTGTTACCAGCGAACGGTGATAGACCGGATAGCCTGTTTGAGAAAATAAACGTTAGACCTCTGTGGACGCCCTCTGCCCCATCTAGCAGCCATCTGTTTAACCCACATTCTAGCCATAATTGTTTAAACTTTCCCATTTCTAACATTAGTTAGATGTAGTATGTATGTATGTAAAATCTCAGTAGTAGCACGGAGTCTGGAATTGTGCCTGGTATATAGCAATAGGCTCACCCCCTATTACATGGGACTAATAACATAAATAGTGAAAAGTGGTTGTTACATTGTACAGTGGCATAATGTGCACCTCTGTCTACCCCTTCAGGGATAAAAGGCGTGATGTTATGTTATGTTATATGCAACTCATCAATAGTAATGTCTTGTATACTCACAGTACATAAGACAGTACACCGACGGCCCACATGTCCGTGTAGAACCCGACCGGCTCGCGCTCCACAATCTCAGGCGCAGCGAACTCGGCAGTGCCCGTCGATATCTTTACTACTTCATTCGGATCTAATTTGGTTGCCAGGCCGAAGTCGATGATCTGTTTAGGAGAATAATGTTTAGAATTGAATGTTAAGGGTTATTAAGTATTTAGAGTGTGAGGCCGTTAAAAAATCAAGATTCTTTGCGCAATCCTAAAATATAACATAAATCTTATACTCAGTTGTAAACTTAAATTTAAGAATAGTAATGCTTATCGCCTTTAGTTTTTTGAATTTCTTAGCACCTATTAGCAAGGAGTTTCAAAAGTCAATGAATGTGGCAATATTATGCTCAGAGTCAGTCAGTTAAGCTGTGCGACATTCGCCGCATCGTTATTCACGCAATGAATATGAGTCTAGTCGAGTTTCCTCGTTACTACCAAGTCCCCAAGCAGTCACCGGTGGCTCGTCACTCACTCCAATAAAGACTTTATTGTCCATGTTTAGACACTACATTTCTATGAACAAATGTTGTGGATTTTCGAACGATATATCTAGTGATTAAACAGTGACTAAACATTAAAACATAATTCCCAAACACATATTGCAGAGGGTAGCTATTCAATATTGATATTTATTCCCATATGGTTTAGGTTTATTTTTCAAACGCTAATTATACCAAAGGTCAGAAGAAAGAAGAAGACCAACCTTGACATCAGTACCAGTCCTAGTCTGGCACATGACGTTCTCCGGCTTGAGGTCCAGATGTATGATGTTCTGTTCATGCATGTGTCTGACTCCCTCACAGATCTGGCGCATGTAGTGAGCTGCTTCAGCTTCCGACATGTTGTATCCTGGCTCTGTGATGCGTTCGAAGAGCTCGCCTCCGGATAAGCTGGGAGAAAATTGTGTTGTTAGTTTTAAACTTATAGTTAATATAGTTACGAGAACGGCTTGATTAAGTTTTGATAGAAATAATAAAGGTCTGTGTGATCTAAATAATTGTATGACTTCGATGTTTTTATGATAAAAAATATTGATTTAAAGCTTTTTATTCATACTTTGAAATAGGAATTGATACTTCAGATCGAATTTTTCTCAAAAATCTGAAAAGCATTTATTTCAATTACCATAGTTTGGTACTTTTGAAACGTCAACACATAAAATAAATAATAGTCTGTCAGTATGTCCGTCTGTGAAGCTAGGCACTCGTTCCAAAATGTAGATTCGAGTGGAAAACAACGAGCAAGAAACTCCATAATTATAGATATTTATGAGTTTCAAAAGTGCTTTTTATCTGATCGAAAAGTTACTAAATATGAAAAGGTCTTGTTTTGTCTAATGTATCTTAAAATAAGCCAGGTCTAAAAAAATAAATACTCACAACTCGAAAATAAGAACCATCTCGTCATCATCTTCGAAGGCATCGTGTAAGTTGATCAGCTTACGATGGTGAAGTTGGTTCATAATGTCAATCTCCTTCTTGATCAGTTCCTTCTCCATAGCGCCAGCGACCGGTATGAACTTAGCCGCGAAGTAGTTGCCTGTCGCCCTCTCGCGGCAACGGTGGACAACACCGAACGCGCCTGTACCTACAACAGTACATGACACCTCATGCCTCTGCTTGTGTAAGTTGTTTTGGACCTTATTGCGTTGTCAAGATAGATTGTTTTTGTTTGTGTTGTTTGCTACGATTTTTTTATTCATATTTTAAATTTATTTTTATCGAGATATTTATGGCGAGTAATTCAGAAGTTAAAGCGAGTATAGTAAAGTTTTTTATTACAATTTAAATCATTTTAAAGTATTTATTAGTTTCTCCGTATATACTTTTACATTTCTTTATTTCTAAACGCTATAATCAGTCGTGACAACGCAATTTTCATGGTCCATATCATATTAATCACTATTTTTATATTAATTGCTTTATTGAAGACATACTAAGATAAAACTTAGAACGACTTCTGTGTTTTAATTTAAAATTTTGTGTATTTTGATATATATGTCTAATATTTTCTTATATTTGTTAACTTGAAATATATGTTTAATGTAGATAGCATGTAAAGCAAAAACATTAGAAACTATTAGACATAATAATAATAATTATATATGTTTTAAAGTGTAATTTCTATATTTCTACGATTCCGTGCCAATATTATACGCCACTTGTCTACTTGGTGTAGTTTCGCATATTATAAATAATCTTTTTTGTATAAATAAAATAAATATACTAAAATATAATATCTTATTAAGCGAAAACCCGTGCATTCAATCTACTATAGATGATACAAATAATATATAAATAAATTTTAATAAGGATAATGTAATATTTATTATGATAAAAATATTTAGAAAATTAGGGTTACTGGAAATACGACCTAAAAGTAAAAATAATATTCTCGAGATAATTTATATATTTTTTCAAATTTTCCAATCACCCTACTATTTTTTCATGCGATTTTTTTCTACTAAAAATAGAAAAATAAATATTTATTTTTTATAATAAAATAAGTATGCGTGTGAGACAGAGAGATGCAGAGAAAGAGATGCACTACATCGATCTATTCACACACAGACCTCCGGCGCGCGACCTTCGCGACGGGGCTCTCACGAAGTCACCTGTGAATTATCACCATTTTAATCACCACTTTACAATGGGGATTAATGTTCAAACATACTTTACGACCAACGGCGAAGACTCAACATACATAACTATACAGCAGCTGTAGCCAAATGCCATTTAGCGCTAGTCTACTTGTAGAATAGAAAACCAAAATCTATGGAATTGACGTAAATTTTGACACTTGTCAGTGTCATTACCATACATTTTGATTTCTACTCTCTCTGTAGACAAGCTCTAAAGTGGCGTTTGGCTAAAGGCACTGAATATAAACGTAGAATAGATGTTCTTCGACATTGGTGATAAAGTTTTTAAAAATTAACACTTTGCATCGGTGATTAATGTTTGAAGTAATCGCCACTTTGGCTTGGCGATTAAAGAAAAAATCTACTTTAAACTAAAATTAATTCTAAATTTTGAATTTTTCTAAGGCACTGTTAGTATTTCTAAGGTTAATATTATAAAATTCTATAAAAACCTCAAGTGATTTCACAAGCAACTTCGTGAGTGCGTTTAGTTATTTTTATTTATTTGTTTATTTATTTAACTATCATGCTTTATTGGAAAGATTTCCGAATATTTCCTATCAATTATTCCGAATAATAAACAATGCAATATTTGGTTTATACCTATTTACTTTTAAAATTGTATTTATTTAAAAATTGTGTTTATGTTTAGTGTGAGTCATTGAAATCAATAGAAAATTAATGCTGTTGTGTAAATGTGTGAGTGTGTGTAAAGAGGAGAGGGAGTGATTATGTTCGTAATACATTTTGCAATTAAGAAAACTTTTTTTTATATAATTCATGTCATGTTGCTACCTTCTTGAATTTTTATATTATCATTTTTATAGCATGTCTATTCATGCAAGTTTCTGTTTGAAATTCAGGTTTAGATCTATATTATACAGCATCCTAAATGAAGCCAATTTTATTCTAGATACAAAACTGACAATCTTCCTATTTTTCACACTTCTAACTACACATGCAAAACTATGTATTACGGATTTTTTATATTTCAACAACCTTCGTTTTATACCATACGATATTCCATCGACTCTAAAATGCTACTGAACGAATCAAACGAAATGCTACTTTCACGTATGACGACAAAATTTAAATTAATTAAACTTTTGTCTTATAATTTTTAAAAATGAATTATAAAGGTATAACCATACAATCACCACAATAATGACTTTCATTCAGCGAAAAGATCACGCTATTTTTAAAATGTATCATCAGTTCAGTAAAACCAGCCCAAAATAACCATTAACCATGCTTCTACCCACTACAACTTATATAGTTCACTTACCAATCTCTTCTAGAATGTCGTATTTGTCGTATACAGAGCAAGTATTGATGTCGACTGGTTGCGGCACGTATTTACTGTAAATGTCGAATACGTAGCTGTCGTAGTCCTTGATTGGTCCATGGTCTGCGTTCGTGCGGATACGCTTGCCTGTTTCGTCAACTGTAATTGAAGGAAAAAGTATTACTTAATTGAGTATATTGGTTTATAAAGATATGCGCAATGAGTGTTTTTTGCGCAAATTATGACGTATTTGGCACAATATCTCAGATTATGTATTTATCAGAAGAATTACTTTTAAAAGAAATTCATGATGTATGCCACTATTATTTTATTTATTTATTTAATAACCATGGTCGTCCAACTGCAGGGCAAAGGCCTCCCTACCCAGTCGCGGAGAACCTAACGGGTAACCGGGGCTCCAGACCGACGTGCAGGAGAAGGAACGGGGTGGTTTTTAGTCAGTAACAGTCTGACACTCCCTCCCGCCTCACCCAGGCGGGAGCAGTCATTCGATGATTTTCCCCCCTTAAAAAAAGGGCGGCCTACCATCCTTCCACTCGTCTTTTCTTAAATCCCATAAACTAAACTCAAAAATATTCTTGTTGCATGATAATTTTCAAAAACTTAACCCCTAAAATTAGACTATAATCTAAGACCAAAGTAAGTAAATCTATGATACATGTAATTTCCGATCTGAGTAATTATATCATCCAACTATTTGATAGCTTCTCCCCATTTAATCAGTCTTATATTCAACATTTCTACTAAGATTCCTTCATAATGTATTGTAGTAGATTTTTGAAATTATTTCTCACCAGGATATTCCTTCTTCTGGAACTCCTTCTTGATGATGGCCTTAGTCTGTACCAGCGTGGTCGGCTCGCTAGGCTCCGACCTGCCGTAGATGTTCTCGGCGTACACTCTGAATTCATACTGCTTGCCTGGTACTAGGCCTGTGATCGCCATTGTTGTGAACCTGGGAAATACGAGGATTTTATAATTATAAAACAGTTTTTTTATTAAGTCAAGTTATTTTTGTAATAAGTATTGGATGTCCACAATAATTAGGCATAACACAATAGCAGGTTATTTAAAGAAAAGATAAATTCTACACTATGCTCGACTTGTACAAGACCATTTTTGTGATCTTTCTGATTAATGAATAAATATTCTATCAAAATTTTGCGCAACTGTTGTTTTTAGCTCTCTCTAGAACTTATTTTACTACATAACATCATCACGCCTTTTTATCCCTGAAGGGGTAGGCAGAGGTGCACATTATACCACTGTACAATGTAACACCCACTTTTTACTATTTATGGTCTGAGTCCCATGTAATAGGGGGTGAGCCTATTGCCATATACCGGGCACAATTCCAGACTCCGTGCTACTACTGAGAATATTTAAAACCCAGTAATACTTTTCCCGACCCGTGAATCGAACCCGAGACCCCTTGGCCGGCAGTCGCACTTACGACCGCTCGGCCAACGAGGCAGAACATCAACTTATTTTACTACTTTTCAAAAATAATTGAAAGCAATATAAAGTGATAGAACCAGGTAAAATATAAGTTAGCCATATCTTTTAAAACCCACCTGGTGTTTCCAACCCTTATCCAGCTGGTCATGGGATGTTCCCTCTTCTCGACCAGGTAGTTGGTGATATCGGAGCCGCCGTCCCAGACTGGAGCCTTCCAGCTGAGTGCCAGCGAGTCCACGCCGATGTTGTCCACTGCTGGGAATCGTGGTGGGTCGGGACGATCTGGAAATTGAATTTTCATATGAAATAAGTTATTAGCAAAAAGGTTTTAGGCATTTCTTATTTATCAAGTTTTTAGAAAGAAGATTAATCACATTAGGGTGTCGTTAAATCAAAGGTGCATACGTTAAATCAAAAAGTTATTATATTCAAATGGTTTTTTGATAAACAATAACTAGGTTTTCATTTTCTTTTGCAAAATCATAGGTAACGAAAAAATGTGAAAGTTTATCATAACTACAATAGTTTTGTTTGCGCTAATTGTTGTGTTTAGAAAAAATATTTTTCAATTTAAACAGATTCGAAAATTCTAAAGACGAGAGGTCCGAGACGAAATAAAAAGAAATGGTCTTAATTTAAAAAAAAAAGGTACTGACCGCTAATTTCAATGTTGATTGTGGCGGAATCCTGTCCAAGTTCGTTCTCAGCAGTGATCCTGTATGGTCCCGAGTCGAGTTTGCTGGCGTCGCGGATAGTTAGAATCGCGTGACGTTCTGAAATACAAACACAATTATATTAAAATGGATAAAGACGTCAATGGAAATATACCTATTATCCGTAATATTTAAATTCTCTATAGTAATTGCTATAAAAAGCTTTTTTCATTACACTCTGTTGAGTTTTATTCATACATTTTTAAACTCCTAAAAACAAAACGACGAGGTTATCAATTCGTCGGAATAATTTACTTTGAACCAAGACTGATACTTAGAAATAAGCATAATTCTTCTTCTATACCTATTACTGTTTAAACAACAGTGTTACAATGAAATAGAGATAACTCTCTTTTCTTCGGTATTATGACGAGTATGCATGAAAAGACTGTTGATGAAGCGAAAGAGGTATATAAGAATCGTAGAAATTAACGTTCCAGTCTCTGCCTACCCCCATGGGAGACAGGCGTGAAGTTATGTATGTATATATAAATAAAATGAAAGATTTCCTTACCTTTCCTCTCAACATGGTAGTGGATACCAGACTCAATGGTCTCGCCTTCCCTGACCCATGTGATCTTAGGTATCGGGTGGCCGGTGAAAGGAATCTTGATCACTACGTTCTCGCCTTTGTCGAAGTACGCCGTCACACGGAAGCGAGGCGGCACGTTCAGTTTCGGTGCGGCTGTGGAAAAGTGTGGTTGAGTATTTTTGTTTCATGGCATGGTTAGTTGAGTAAATTTGTGATATAAATTATTGAATTAAAAGGACAAGGATTTTCGCACCTGAAGATGGGTTTGCTTACTTAGTTATAACACAGACAGACAAAACAGATTCCTCCTAATTCACAAATTGATATTTTTGATCTAAGAATTCTGTTCCATGTTGTTCCATATGGGAATCAAACCCAAACATGACGTAGTAGGTAGCTGGTTAGATATACTACTTGCGAAGCTTACACGGTCAGTGGAAGCTTCACGAGTAGTATTTATAGTATCAAGATAATTTTTAATTTCTTTGCGCAAAAACATGCGCAACTTGCGCAAACTTAAAAACATTTAGCGCAAGTGTTGCGCATAAAAACAAAATTTTATTAAACAAGTATAAGTTAAAACTCACTCATAATCAGCAGTTCAGCCCTGGTTGACTTGACACCAGCGCGGTTGACGGCACGGCAGACATATTCATCAGCGTCTTCTCCAAAGACATCCATGACAGTCAGGAAGTGGTTGTCTCCCTCGCTCCAGATGCGGTGACGAGGACCGTTTGTTATCTCGCGGGCACCTGCGTTGAAGGTAGAGTTTATTTAGTAAAAGCAAGTTAAATAAAAGTTTTAATAGCATATCTTGAAATTGGTTTATTAATAATTGTGTTTTTTTGTAGTAGGTGATTACGCACTGAAATATCCATGTACCAAATTGTCTGTTTACAATTAGATTCATGAAATTAGGACATCTAGTTGCAAGTATTACATAAGCAGAATTTTAATAATTATCTTTTTAGAGAAAAAAAGAACTTCAGGGAACAATATTTTTAGTTAAGTTAAAAGAGACAGAATGATGCCTCATAATGGTCTTTTCTTATTAGGTATTTTCTTTGTTTTTTATTTCAATGATTTACTCTTTTTAACTGGACAATGTAGTTAGTAACAAGACCCAAATTGAATAGTCTATTGCTCAGATACTTACCCTTGTACCACGTGATGGTAGGTTTGGGTTGTCCAGTGATGGTGCACTGGAACTTGGCGTTGTGGTACTGGATGCAGTTGGCGTTCTTCAGTGGCTTCACGATCTCTGGCGGGGTGGCGGCTGAGGGAGAATTATGTTATTAGTTTAATTGTAAAATGGTGTGATGCCAGTGTATTTTCGACCTTATTACAAGTAGTAACATAACGAGCTGACAAATATATAGACCTCACTGTATTTTAACCGTATTACAAGGCATTAAAATAGGAAATGTATTGCAAAAGAAAATATTGTGATAGATTGAAAAGACGGCACGTCTACACTTAATAAAAAAGTAATGTGGGATATATAAATAGCCGATTAAGCAACGGTCTCTGATAAACCTGAACCTCATAGATAACCAACCCCCCTGCTAAGTGTGGAGAATATGGTAAACCCTTCTTGCGTAGAAGGTTACCCAAGGTCCAGTAGTGGATTTTGGTAAAAACAGTAAATAGGAGAAGTTAATTAGTAAATTTGAGCCTCACCTTTAGGATCGACGACCTTGACCTGTTGGCTAGCACTGCTAGGCGGCGACACTCCAGCCTCGTTCTGTGCGGTGACCTGGAACTCGTACTGGCGGCCCTCGATGAGGTTGGAGCAGTTCCATTGGTTTGGTAAGCAAAGTGTCGGGTTCACGCGCTGCCAGGTCGTTGTACCGACCTCGCGTTTGTCGATCCAGTAACCTGGTTGGGTAAAGATATCTTAAATGTATTTTTTGGTTTGTAATGGGTATGCTGTGAGAGATTTTGGTTATTTTTCATGTCATATATGAGATTTTACTGTAACATTTTTGAAGAATAAAATTGACAGATGATAAACAATTTTTGAAATCTGACAGGTATTTTTAGAGAATAACAATTTTACACAAACAAAAGATTCGCTAAAACTGGAGTTCGAGTAGCTTATTACAAGACCAAGTAAGTGTATTGACATTTAAATCGTTTGAATGTGAGCTATACCAAATACCAATGACTTCTGAAACCCTACCCCTTTTATAACACAGTGAGTTTAAGCTTTTACCATTTCATAAGTTACTCATAATGTTTTAACAGTGCACTATCACGGAAACGTACCTTGAATCCTAGATCCACCGTCACTCTCTGGTTTGTCCCATTCCAGGTGGACGAAGTCTCCTCCGACCTCCAGGATCTTGGGGATGCCAGGAGCTGATGGTGGGTCGTATGGTGCCTTGGCCTGGAGATAAAACAAAAAAAAATTATATCATGACTGTTAAGTATGCGTGCAAATTAGGATTGTATGACATCGGTAGTCAATTCTACGACCAGAATTTATTAACTTGTGGCTAACTCAGGCAATAAAAAGTATGATGAGGTATTTTGAGCTTCGGGATTTGCACTAATATCAAATACTTTAGTCAGTCTTGACCAATTTTGAATTCACCCAAAATTACTGATGGACATTAGTAAATATTAAAAAGTGTCTTATTTTGTTAGTGTCTGGAGACTAACGCCAGCAACAATACATCCAAATTATTTTAAAATTCACCTTAATCGGGCTAGGTCCTTCAAGAGCCGGTCCCATGCCATTATCATTAGCAGCATGAATTCTGAAGTTATACTCCTGTCCCTCCGTTAATCCTTGGACAGTGAACTTGGTGTCCCTCACGGAGGACGCGATAGTTATCCACGCCGTGCCCGAGATGTCGTTACGTTCGATGACGTAGTGAGTGACAGGCAGTCCTCCGTCGTATGTGGGAGGCTTCCATGCGAGAGTGCAGGAGTGACGCGTGATGTCTGTGGTCTCCAGAGGACCTTGTGGAGGTCCTGGTAGTCCGGTGACGGTGATGCTGAACGTGTCTGATGTCTCGCCTGACTTGTTCGTTATGGAGATCTTGTAAATGCCTGTTGGGGAAGAAATTTTATTAGTTATTTAATTTTTACTTTCCAAATTAGTGAACTAATAATAATGAAAGCAGCTTATAAGACTTACAGGTAGGTTTTTTATTCAAAAGGTAGATAAAGTTAATCAATACTTTTATACACACATCTCTATCTATCATTTTAGAAGGATTTTTACAGCAACAAAATATGGAGCAACTTTTAAATAGAAAAGAAGAATCAACGTATTTACTTCTTATAAAATCTATGTAGATGATGCTTTATGCATTCTAGATTCAATGGAAACAAAGTCGCAATAACTACTACATTATAATAAATTATATCTAAAAACAAACGTTGTTTACTCAAATCACACTCAAACACGGTGTTTCCCAGACATCCTTCTACATACAATAAAGCCATCAGTATACATTTGACTCACCCATATCATCCTTAGTGATATCCTTGATGAAGATAAGAATATAATCATCGAAGACGGTGTACTTGAAGTGCGGCGAGTCAGTGAGTTTATGTCCGTCCCTGGTGAGCAGGACGTCCGCGGGCTGGTCCCCGCTGTACAGCACCTTGATCTTGGTGTTGTCGTGCTCCGGCAGGTGCAGGTCGCCCGGCATGCGGATGATGCGCGGCGGGTCTGGGGGGCATTTATTGCATCAGAAGAATAGTATATTACATAACATCGAATTAAGTAAAATCCTTTTTGTACATAATGCATTGTAGTTAAAAAATAAATGAAATTATAATAGAAAGCAAGTTTAAGTTACGGAAAAATTGCAGCGGTTTTTCCCACGACCTACATAACAGATTTGTTCAAAAAAGGATTTATATTGCTTTATGGTCAGCATTCGTGTTGCTTCCGAGATTATTACAGACACTACGAAACGTACCTACCACTTCAGAGTTGGTTACCTTTGCTTACAATACTTGATGATGGCTACTGATAGTGGTTTTAGTGAGGTTAGAATTGTACATGAAATCTTATTTAGAAGAAAGACAGTTAAAGGTTCATGTTAACGGTATTAACTCACAGGGCTCTGGGATGAATATGGGCGTTCCTCAAGGTTCAATATTGGGTCCCTTTCTCTTTTTAGTCTATATAAATGATTTGCCATTTATATTTAAAAATGAACCAAGAATGGTGCTTTTTGCAGATAATAAATCATTAATTTTTAAAGTAGATCGACGTACAAATAATCTTGACGACGTAAACAGCTCCATTCTTCAAGTGCATAATACGGTAGTTGACAACTAGTCAAATTCAATACTTTTATCGAAACGTCAAAAACGATATTGTTCTATGAATTTTGTACGATATACTAACTTATGACGTCATCATATTTACGCGTCAAATAGCACACTTATTACTGAAAAAATTGCTAGAAAAAATCGAAAATTAAGTATATCGTCTAATCAATAAATGAAAGTGTAACTATTTTTCAATATTTGATTTGATTGAAAAATTAAAATAATTTATTTTTGACCCAGGAAACTACCCAATTGGTTTACCATTAATAATCTAGCACTTAATGAAAAAAAAAACAAAATGTATTAAATTCAGTTTACCAAACGTGCGTAGTAACGATTGTGATATTGTTTTGAACGGTCAAAAGTTAGAATTTGTCGACGAGACAGTATTTTTAGGCATTACGTTAGACAATAGGCTACAATGGGGTCCGCATATAAAGGCGCTTTCGGGGAGATTGAGCTCAGCTGCTTTTGCAGTTAGACAGATTAGACAGCTCACGGACGTGGATACAGCTAGGCTTGTCTATTTTAGTTATTTCCACAGCATTATGTCGTACGGCATTTTGTTGTGGGGTCGAGCTGCAGAAATAGAATCAATATTTATTCTGCAAAAGCGGGCTATCCGAGCAATATATAACTTACGCCGTTGCGAATCGTTGAGAGAATTGTTTAAAACGATAAATATTTTAACGGTGCCCTGTCAATATATATATGAAAATATAATGTATGTAAGGAAAAATAGGCAATTGTTTGAAAAAAGAAGCGATAGACACAATTTTAATACTAGAGGCAAAAATAAGTTAGCTATACCGCAATTCAGACTGTCCAAAGTACAGAAATCCTTTATGGGGTTAGGTATTAAATGCTATAATAAAATACCAAATAGCATACTAGATCTCAATGAAAGTAAATTTAAAACATATATTAAGCGCGAATTATGTAATCAAGCTTACTACACACTGACAGATTATCTTGAAGATAAGAATGCTTGGCAGCATGTTGGTTCGGCTCCACTGGACAATACTCAAATGTAGTCAGTAGTTAAATTCCAATAGTAGGTAATATAATACATAATTTAATACTTTAATTCTAATGTAGACAATCTAGTTTCCTTATGGCATCGAGCATTTCTTTCTTTATTGAAACAAAGAGTTTCCTTTTTCTTGTATAGAAGCACTATTTCTATGGATTGTCAGTATGCATATGTGAGCACCATGTTGGACTTAAGATCTTTATTATTTTTATTTTTATTTTAGTAAGTTAGTAGTATAATGCGTCAAGCGTGTCTTTGCATTGTTCTTACATATGCGTACAGTATTGAAATATGTATCAGAGACATTGTAGAACATACTTTTTTAAAAGAGTAACGAATGGAGTTTCTTGCTCGTTCTTCTCCATTCGAATCTACGTTTTGGAATGAGCACCTAGCTTCACCTAGCTTCACTGACGGACTGACTGACAGACTATTATTTATTTTGTATTTTTTGACGTTTCAAAAGTACCAAACTATGGTTTAATTGAAATAAATGCTTTGACTTTGACTTTGACTTTGACATTCACCAAAAACCTAGACGCTTTTCGAAGGTTTGCTCTCGTTAACAAAAACGGTACATTTTAGTGCTACCGTAAGTAATATAAAAAGATGTTTAAATATTATATTCTATACTCACTTCCGATTTTAAGATGTCCAGTGCAGTAGATGAAACCGATGTTGTTGACAGCCTCGCACGTGTAGTCTCCCTCGTCCGCGTCGGTCGCCGCCGTGATGTTCAGGCGGAGCGTACCTTCGCGGGACTCCGCGATAAACCTGAAGGGAATGAAGAGTGTTATACAGGTTTTATATTTATTGATAATGAAGTAAAAAACTTACAGAATGCCTACTGATTAGTTTCATTATAATTGGCGACGATTTTATAACTAAATAATGGAGCAACAAATTTAAAAGTTAAACAATAAAACAGACTTGGGGATGAAGCTTAAGAGCCTGATAGTTAAAATTGCGATAAAAAGTTATTTTTCGTCATGAATTTCTCGCTATAATCCCGGCTTAGTACCTTATCAAGAAATCGTAGACTATAGTGTCTAAATTGATGAGAAAGAAATCTCCTACCACATTACTGTACTCAAAAATAAGTAACAAGAAACAATACCAATCGTAAAAAACCTCGACTATCTTCGAAAAAATCTTCATTCTCTTACCTGGTACCCAGGACGACTTCACGTCCGTTCTTGAGCCATCTCCCAGTGGGCACTGGGTTGCCGGTGGCGACGCACTCGAGAGTGAATGGTTTCCCGAGCGGCGCGCACACGGTGGGCGGCAGTTGTTTGACCCACTCGGGCTTGGTGCCGCCCAACTCCTCGCCCGTGCGGACTGGAGTGGTGCAGCTGGACGGTTCCGACTTGCCTGCGGAGAGAATTAATGATTCAGTTATAGTTTCAAGATAAAATTCGATGAAATGTTACCTTCTTTATTGGATAAGAGATAAATGTATGTATATGTCTAATAGGGATCCATTTCGGCAAATAAGATTGCACAAGTAATTGGGTATTTGCCAACTGAGGCTACAAGGTACAAGTTTGTTTTACGCTTAAAGTTTTCATAACGAGTACGCGTTGGCGCTCTGATCATATTCAATACTTTTTTGGAACTGTCAATAACGATAGTTTTCTATGAATTTTGTACGAAATTGTGTATTGTGACGTCACATTTCTTTAGCGTCACACCTCAAACTAATTTCTTAAAAAAATTGTAAAAATATTAAATGGGTCATAAAACCAATTATTGAAAGTGTGGTTATTTTTTAATATTCTATTGTATTGATATCATAAATTTTTGATTAAGGAAAGTACCCAATTGTATGGTTAACAGGATGTATCAAAAGTTTTAAACTAAACGATAAACAGATTAGGCACCATGAATAGACAAAGCTTGGTGTTCATTAACTACATATTTCCTATTGCTAACCCTCCCTTTTACTATCAATCTCACGACCAAAATTGTCAGTTTACTCAATAACTTTCTTATGATTGCATTTTCCATATATTTTTTTTATAATATTTTTCTAGCATAACATTTTTTGCGTGTTTTTGATGGAAGTATATACTTTATTCAGCAGTAGATATTCAGTTGAGGATTACGATAATAATGAAGAACTTACCAGCTGAGTTGACAGCGACAATACGGAATTCATAATCAGCCTTTTCATTAAGGTTCATGGCAGTGAAGGTGGTGTCCTGTACGTTGTAGTCGTTGCACTTTATCCAGACAGAGCTGCCGACGTCGCGGCGCTCGATTATGTAGCCGGTCACACGGGAACCTGGGTCAATTGGGGGTGTGTGAAAAATACCGTAGAAAGAAGACTTGCATAGGGATAATTGCTTGCTTTTAATAAGTTATCTTTGAGTTGTGAAAGAAACACAATCTTATCTGATTTGAATATCCAATTGTGAACAATAAATTTCTCGAATAAATAAATTTTTATGTGTATTTAAATTCAATTGGTTATCAACAAAATGAGGTTACAACTATTCAAATAAGTGCATAACTACTGTTCATTTTCTGATTGCAAGATTCTTAATAGAAGATATTATGATGATATCTCACCTCCATCATGCGCCGGTGGGTCCCAAGACAGGTCGACATAGTTCCTGCCGACCCTAACGACGCGGGGCGCGCGTGGCGGCGCGGGCGGGTTGGCCTTGCCGCGGACCTTGAACCGCTGCGAGCTGGCCGAGTACTTGCTCCAGCCAGCCGCGTTCTTTGCACGGACACGGAACTCGTACTCGTGACCAGGTTCAAGGTTGTAAGCCTGTGGAGATCGGAGATGTTAGATAAAGAAAAAGGAAATGGAATATCTTTTTACCCCAAGGTGAAAAATCCACAATTAAAAGCTTTGGTTCAAATGAGACTAGATGATCTCTTTAGCCGACTATGTGAATCTTATAATTTTAATTGTAGTAAATTTAATTACTTCATTAAATAGAATAAATTGAATAGTGAAAACTTGACAACTTCAGCATATGATTCTGCAGCATTAAAATATCAACAGAAACTAATCAAATCACTTTTAACTACCAACCCACAAACATTATAACTCAAAATATACTCTTATTAAAAACCACCCTTAAAATATCCTCACCTGGTAATTGCAATCCTTGACGAGATAATCGGAGCTGTTCCAGATACCGTCCTGTACATCCCTGTACTCCAGTTTGTATCCCTGAATGCGAGCTCCGCCGTCTGATCGTGGTCGGTCCCAGATCAGGGAGGCTGCAGAGCCGTCCCAGTCGGTCACGCGAGGCATGCCCGGCGGATCCGGAATCGTGAATGGGAACTGGAGAATAGGACAAAAATATTATTATTATTAATTGAAAATCTATTTTGTTAATAATCTAAAAATTTGTTTTGTTACATCATTTTGTGGAGGTACAACAACGTTAATATCGGTATCGACATCAGAAATAATATTTTTCAGATCTGTTAAGAAATCCTCAACCTCATCAACCAGTTGTTGACCACTGGTGTTCACAAGGCACACAGGTCACAGAGCTCGTGAAGAACAATTTTTAGATAACGTAAAAACTGTCACAATGTTTCTATAACTGTTTAGACAACAAGGTAGCAAGCGATTTTGGCTTAAACGGCTGAAATTATGTAGGTACATTATGTTGAATCAAAATTGTATGATGAGAACCCTTATTTGATACATGAATAGTTTACCAATCCAATCCAATATAAAAAGTTATATGTAAAGAGGTTAAAACAAACCTTAGCAGTGATAGCATCATCCATGGTCAATGGGTCAGAAACACCATACTGGTTCTCAGCGCGGACGCGGAACGTGTACTTGCGGTTTGGTTCTAGACCCATAACGTTGTAGTGGCAGTTGCGGACAAATGATGAGATCTTTGACCATACCTGTTGAGAAATAGTATAATTAATTTATATAAAAATCGGAAAATTATATGGGTCTCAGTATTATAATTTATTCAGACTTCAAAATTTACGCAGCAACTAGATCCAGACCAAATCACGATATGACAATTTTAGAAGATTTGATGAACTGGCATTAAGTTATGTTTTCTTATAAAGAATATTGGAAGAATGGACACAAACATATTCTACAAAGAGTGTGAATAAAACATTTTTATAGTTTAATGTTTAAACTAGGCAACAATCTATTTGAAAGTAAATAATAATAAGAAAACATTTGTCAATCCTTTTTACCAGCCCAAAATACCACTTAAACAAAAAATATACACTTACTCCACTGTTATCCATCTTCTCGACCACGTAGTTGGTGATGGGAGATCCACCATCGTCTAGTGGCGGTTTCCATGACAACGTGCACGTGTCTGGCGTGATGTCGTACGCGTCCAGAGGACCGACTGGCGGTGATGGCCTGTCTACTACCAGTACCTGGAAGAGATATGCCTTATATGAAGACTAGGGTTGATTTACGTAAGGTTTAAATGAGGACTGGAGTCCATTTTGATTGATAGTTTTGAAATAAAGTTACTATGATGATGAAAATAATAGAAATGCAATTTACTTTATTTGGAGATTTGTGGCTAGGACCTTTGCAATAGTTGATTAACAGTAATAAGATAAGAAGTGGCATTATTTCATTGTCCAGAAGTAAATATAAAAATTGAATGAGTTTCAATCTCAAGTTTTTTAGCAGAAGATCTTTATATAAGCTGAAAATTTTCTTTGTTTGAAGGTCAAAAAGTATTAACAACTTTTCTTATGTAAACTATCTACTGTTAACTTCTAGTATTTGGTAACAATGATATATATATAAGACACTTACCCTGCATGTAGCACTGTCAGAACCCTCGCTGTTAACCAGCTGAATGGTATAGGATCCTGTATCAGACCTCTTGGCAGGCGAGTTGTGGAACACAGTGTCCACGTCTGATGTTACGAAGCGAATACGGTTGTCCGGGAACACCTCCTCGTTGTTCACTATCCATGATACCTGGTGGAAGATATGATTATGTTAGAACAATTTTCGTTATATTAAAGCTTTATACCAATGACAGAAAGTCGTAAAATTGAATTGTGATATAGTCGAAGAATTGCAGTCTCACCTTTGGCCTTGGGTTGCCAGTAAACGGAACAGTAATCTTGATCTCCTCTCCAGCAATAACAGTGATATCCCTAAGGCTGAGATCGCTGGTGATCTTGGGCGAGTTGGGTGGAGCGCAAGCCCTGATGGCATCAGAGCTGGCGGAGTACGGTCCTTGACCAGCAGCGTTGATAGCGGCCACACGGAACTCATACTCGTGGTTCTCAATCAGTCCAGTAACCTTGTATGTAGTATCAGGAATGTGTGCGTGAGATGCCTTCGTCCATTTGTCCTCCGTTATAAGTCGCTTTTCTACGACATAACCAGTAATAGGCGAGCCACCGTCGTGACGCGGCTTCGTCCAAGTGATCGTGATGGAAGACTCTGTCGTCTCCACGGAGCGAGGAGCTCCAGGTGCACCAGGCGGGTCGAATGGATGCCTAGCCTTAATCGGCTCAGTAGTCTGTGCTGGGTCAGACTGACCATACTGGTTCTCAGCCATAACCCTGAATTCGTAATCCTTTCCGACCGTCAAGTTCTTCACCCGCAAGAACGGAGTGGTGACGTAGCCTGATACCTTGGTCCAGTTGGCGGTTCTGCCCTCGCGCTTCTCAACGACGTAGTTGGTGATTTCGCCACCGCCATTGTCCTTTGGCGGGTTCCAGTAAAGTGTAAGGGCTTCGCCTTCGAATTCGTCAGCCCGCAGGTTCTCTGGCTTTCCAGGCCTGTCGAGCACACGTACGTTGATGGTAGCCGTGTCGTAACCAGATGGGTTGCGCAATTGCAGGCGGTACTGTCCGCCGTCTGACCTCTTCGCGTTCTTGACAACAAGAGACGCAGACTCTGGTGTAATCTTCTGGAATATTCTGGAATCGCCCTCAACATCAAGCAGGTTGTCGTCGGCGAACCATTGAGCAGTCGGCTGTGGGAAGCCAGTGTACGGCACGTGAATGGAGAAGTCCTCTCCAGCACGTACAGTAATGTCCCTGACTCCTCCAAGGTCCATGCATGGTTTGTTTGGCTGTTCAGCGATGATGATCTCGCTTGTTGGTTTGCTAGGATCTGAGCGGCCAACGTCGTTAACAGCGATGACTCTGAACTGGTATTCAGCACCTTCTTTAAGCGCAGGTACAGTGTGTACCAGGCTTGGAATAGGCACGTCGTTGACGTCCTTCCAGTCCTTGTCTCCCTTGCCCTTCTGTTGAATGATGTAGCCCTTGATCTTGGCTCCACCATCGCTCTTGGGTGGCCTCCAGGACAATGTGACGGAGTCTTTGGTAACTCTGTCTGGTTTAGGCGCCTCTGGCGGGCTGGGTTTAAGTCTCTGTGTCTGTGCTGTGATTGGTTCGGTCGGCTTGCTAGGCTTGCCGGGTCCGGCTTCATTGACAGCAATAACGCGGAACTCGTAGCGGTTGCCTTCGCGTAAGTCAGATACAGTGTAGCATGTGTTAGGTGTTGGATAGTTGTTAACCTTGACCCAGTCACCTCCACGTTCTCTCTTCTCGACATAGTATCCAGTGATGGGTTTGCCACCACAATCTTTGGGTGGCTCCCATTCGAGAGAGCAGCTGTTGGAGCTGTATCCAGTGATCTTGGGCGTGTCTGGCGCATCTGGTGGGTCGAACGGTGACTTGGCAAGTGTAGGCTTGCTCTCCAATGGGTCGGAGACACCGTACAAGTTCTCAGCGCGGACCCTGAATATGTATTTCTTGCCTTCTGTCAAGTTCTTTACAGTGAACGAGCACTTAGGACAGAAGCCAGCGACTGTGCGCCAGTCATTAACTCCGAATTCAGCAACTTCAACAACGTAGCCAGTGATCTCGCTGCCACCATCGTCGGTGGGTGGTTGCCAAGTGAGGCTGACAGCGTCGTGTGTAACGGGTTGGCATAGAAGAGGTCCTTTAGGCACTCCTGGTTTGTCAACAACAATGACTTCAATGTCAGCGGAGTCTTTACCGTGAGCGTTGGATGCTGTGATCGTGTATTTACCAGCATCTTCGCGAACAGATTTCTCAATGCTGAGTTTAGTTTCATCAGCTTTAGTTTCAGCGCTGACCCTGTGCGAGGGTACAATAGGCACTGACCCCTTGGTCCAGGAGATGGTCGGTGTGGGCGCGCCACTGATTGGAATGTTGATATTGATAGGTTCGCCAGCACGGACCTTGATCTTCCTGCCAATGAGGTGATCTAACTTCAGTTTCGGGCTCTCCTTCATAGGTCTAGCAATGAAGACGTTGGATTCGTCGGAAGGCTGTCCAGGTCCAGCAGCGTTGACTGCCGATACTCTGTATTCGTACTGGTGACCTTCCTGCACCCTTTCATCGTTGTATTCGTTCAACCTGACTGGATCCTTGTTCAGTTTGATCCAGCGGCCAGTAGCCTTGTCTCTCCTCTCAACGTCGTAACCAAGGATGTTCGACCCTCCGTTGGAGATAGGCGGTGACCATCTGATGTTGATGTGGTCCTTGTCGGCAGCAATAAGCTCTGGTTTGCCAGGCTTGCCAGGTACTGTGTACTGGTTCTTGGCAATGATTGCCTTGTCTGTGACGAGTGGCTCAGAGCGACCTTGAAGGTTCTCAGCGAATACTCTGAACTCGTACTTGGTACCTTCCGACAGGCGTGGTACAGTTGCGTGGTTGAATTTCGGGTTGATGTAAGTAACAGCTGGTACCCATCCACCTCCGTGGGTGAGGTCACGTTTCTCAATGACGTAAGCAGTAAGCTCACTGCCACCGTTGTCCTTGGGTGGTTTCCATGACAACGTGACGGACTGTGCAGTAATCTCTTCGTATACGAACGGAGGTTGTGGTGCTCCGGGTACATCAAGTACAATAAGCTCGAAGCTTCCTTCATCAGTACCGGAATCGTTTTTCAGTTTCAGGTTGTACTTGCCAGCGTCTGAGCGCTTGCAGTTGACAGTGTGTACAATAGTATGGTGACCAACAATAGTGACTGTTGTCCTCTCGTTGGCTACCACTGGCTTGCCATCACAAGTCCATGTGACTTCAGGAGTAGGCTCTCCAATGAAGTCCACATCCATGTGGAAGATGAGTCCAGCCTTAATGCGGATCTCCTTAAGTGGTGTAAGAATCTTAGGAGCCACGAATCTGTCCTTAGCTGTGATGATGTCAGATGGCTCGCTAGGCTCTGATTGACCAGCTTGGTTCACGGCGATAACGCGGAACTCATAGTCCTGGCCTTCAGTTAGATCAGGTACGGTTGCCTTGTTCTTGCTAGGAGGCACATGGACAGCATTTACCCAGTAGGGGCTGCCCTTCTCCTTCTTCTGAATGATGTAACCAGTGATTGGTGATCCACCATCAGACTTAGGCTTCTCCCATTCAAGGTCGACGTGGTTCTTGCTCCAGTCAGTTGCCTTAGGTTTGCCAGGAGCGGATGGCTCGTCGAACTCGTTCTTGGCGACGATAGCACGGTCCAGCTCCAAAGGCTCAGACTGACCAATAGCGTTGACAGCGCTCACTCTGAACAAGTATTCCTTCATGTGGATCAACCTGGTGACTTGGTGCGATAGGAAAGTGCTCATACCAGCATCAGACCAGGTACCACGCGACAGGTCCATCTTCTCAATGACGTAGTGGAGGATCGGTGATCCACCATCGTCCAAAGGTACCTTCCATGATAGCGAGCAAGATTCCTTGGTAACGTCAGATACGACCAAAGGTTTCTCAGGCCTCGAAGGTCTGTCGAGGACGGTAACTTGAGCTGCAGCAGAGCAGACTCCGAGGTCGTTCTTCAAGGTCAGTTTGTAAACGCCTCCATCAGCGCGGACGGAGAATGGAATGTCTAGAATGACCCTGTTGTGTAGAATCTGGATATCGATCCTGTCTGATGGGTGGACCACCTTGCCGTTGATCTGCCATTCAACAGTTGGTTTAGGCGATGCTTCGATCGGGATTTCGTATTGGATCCTCTGGCCAGCCTTGACAGTCTTATCTGCCAAGAGCATTTTGTCGAAGTGTGGCGCACAGAACCTGGCCTTAGCCACCTGTGGTGTGGAAGCATCACTGGGCTCTCCGTTACCGGCCTTGTTGACAGCAATAACCCTGAACTCGTACTCCTCACCCTCTTGGAGGTTAGGTACGGTAGCAGTAGTCTTGTTTCCAGGTACAGTCGCAGCGACTTCCCAAGGTCCGTACTTCTTCTTAGCCTCGATGATGTAGCCAGTGATGGGTGAGCCGCCATCCTTCTTTGGTGGTACCCATTCGAGGTCCATGTGATCTTTGTCCCAGTCCTTGACAACTGGAGTTCCAGGTTTGTCTGGAGTACCGTAGGGGTCCTTGGCAGTGATTGGCTCGTGTCCAACAAGAGGCTGTGATTCGCCATGTTTGTTGACAGCACGGACACGGAAGTTGTAATCATGGCCCTCGATGAGGTGGTCGATCCTGATGCTGCAGGACTGGACCTCACCGGCTGGGATCCAGCGCATGTTCTCTTGGTCCATCTTCTCGACGACGTAGTGAGTGATTTCTGCACCACCGTCGTCCTTGGGTGGCCTCCAGCGCAGAGTGCAGCCAGACTTGGTGATGTCATCAGCGCGGAGAGGACCTTCAGGTGGTGTAGGCACGTCCATGACTGTGATCTTAACTGTAGCTGTGTCAGTACCGTTGATATTCCTGGCTTTAAGAGTGTAAGTGCCAGTGTCAGCCCTCTTGGCGTCGATGACACGGATCTTAGTGCTATGAGCATCATTGACAATCTTGATCCTGTCAGTGTTCATGACGAGGTTGTCACCATTGAACCATTCCTTGGTAGGAGTAGGCTCTCCGGCGACTGGTACGTCGAGGTCGAAGTTCTGTCCGACCTTGACCTTGATGTCGAACATGAAGTTCCTGTCGATCTTAGGTGGAAGGTTCTTAGGTCTAGCGAGATGTGGTGCAGTTCCATCGCTAGGTTCACCTTTGCCGGCCTTGTTGACGGCACGGACGCGGAACTCGTAGGTGTTACCTTCGATAAGGTCTGGGACCTTGCCAGAAGTAACGTCACCTTCGATTTGTGCGCATTCCTCCCAGTCTGGGGAGAAGCGATCCTTCTTCTCGATGACGTAACCGGTGATGGGTGCTCCACCATCGGTCTGTGGTCTGGTCCATTCAAGTTCGACGAAGTCTCTGTCGAAGTCCTTGATCTTGGGCGTGCCAGGCTTGCCGGCGACGTCGAATGGATTCTTGGCTTCGGTCGCGTGTGGTGTTGTGAGGGGCTCGGACTTGCCTTGCCTGGAGAGTAACAAAATACCGATTATAATAATAGTTTTACTTGGATTAAATAGATCGAATACATTTAAAAGAGTAAATATTAATAAAAAATCTAAAGAGAGTTAAATATCTCCTTTGGTTGGTATATGCAATAACAATTTAATCAGAAACTGACAAAGAGTGGAAAAAATATGCAGAAATTAACTAGAATCGATTATAAATTTTGACTGCTTCCTTCTTTGAAAAAAATATCTGTCTTTCGAAAAGTCATATAACAAACATTAATAGAAATAAAGACACCCACCTATTAACAGCTCGGACTCTGAACTTGTATTTATGGCCAGGCGTGAGTCCTTCAACAGCGAGGCTGGTCTTCGGTCCGTCTGTTTCTCCAGCAGTGACCCATCGTCCAGTGGCCTCGTCCATGCGTTCCACCACGTACTTGTCGATGGGCTGACCGCCATCGTCGGCTGGTGGGTTCCAAGACAACTTGGCTCCATTGGCGTGGACATCGGAGACCTGGTGAAGAGTGAAAAGGTTTAAGAAGCTGTTGATAATCATGAAATTAATCTGTAGATTCTAGCTATACAATAAGTGCATTATAAAACTTCATTTATCATGATATTTAGGATACAGCTGGAAAATAGAGATTTTGATAAAGGTCAAGTTCTATGTCTTTTTACAGCTTCCTCTGCTGTCTAGAACAAATTTATAGAATCAACAACTACTGAATCCAAAAAGTGCGAAAGTGAAAATAATATTTATCAATGTCTAAACCTAAAACGTATAATGGACTTTTTCATAAACTTGAGAAACTCTTTGATTTCAATAACACTACGACAAAAACAATAATTTAACATTAAACCTACCTTGAGTGGTCCTCCAGGTGGACTAGGCACGTCCAGCACAATAACTTCGACTTCAGCCACATCCTTGCCATTGCTGTTCTCAGCTGTAATGGTGTACCTTCCACTATCAGCTCGCTTGGCTGACTTGCAGTTCAGCTTCGTGTTATAATCTGAATGCTGTACTTTGACGTCACCGCCAGATTTGACTTCCTTCTTAGCCAAGAACCATTTTGTTTCTGGCATTGGTTCACCGGATACCTGGAAATAGATGAAGAAGAATTAAAAAAGAAAGATAAGCTTTTTTTTTAAGGGGGGAAAATCATCGAATGACTGCTCCCGCCTTGGTGAGCCGGAAGGGAGTGTCAGACTCTTACTAACTAAAAACCACCCCGTTCCTTCTCCTGCACGTCGAGCCGGAGCCCCGGTTACCCGTTAGGTTCTCCGCGACAAGATAAGGTTTTACAACATAATTTTAACTATTTGTATAATAATCGACTTATTAGTATGTGTCTTACCATGCATTTCCATGGTAGCATAGAAAAAAAGATATTTTAAATTAATCAAAAACTTTCATGTTCTTACCTACGTTAGAGATTTACACAGAAGCAAGTTTTTGATCATATAGGAATTCTACCCTCTACAAACTCTTTTATTTACTAATCTAAAAAATTCCTTATCTTGGTCCAAATACCAAATAATCACAAGTACAGTGACAAAAAATAAAACATAGTCTTACTAACCTTGACATCGAATCCGAACTTCTGTCCGACTTTGATCTTGATGTCGATGAGGTTGGTCCTGTCGATCTTGGGCGCCAGGTTCCTGGGCTTGGCCACGATCGGGTGGGTGCTGTCACTCGGCTCGCCAGGGCCAGCTTTGTTGACGGCACGGACCCTGTGGTAAGAGAATAAATACAATTAGTACATGCGATTAATCTATATATATATTAAAAAGAAACTGTAAGATACACTATAACTCAATAACGGCTGAATCGATTTGAATGAAAATTGGTGGGGAGGTAGCTTAGAACCAGGAGACGGACATTTTATACAATCATTGTTACCAAAGTCACCGGGTTTGAGTTGCCGGGTTTGAGCGGGCAGAAGCTGGTTTGTTATAATTCAAAAGTTGATTTAAACACATTAGTTTTACTAACTTTTTAGAGATTGGTTAAGACTAATAGATTTTTTGATATCACAAAAGGCAAAATTAGGTGCTCCAATAGAGTATAAATAATGCACATCTAGCACTGGTTTTTAAAACAATGAAACATCAAACAAAACTATGGATAGGTTCCCCATAGCTTTAAGGTCCTGATCCTGGTCTAATTGAAATAAATGATTATTACTTTTTTGACTTTTAACCCAGTTCTAACCTTCGATAATAGTGACACATGAGTACTATCATAACTGCCCAAGCGGTCTCTCTACAAACTCCATTATCAACCTTATTTCCGATATTTAGAGACTACTTTTGTATGACAAATTTTTAGGATTTATATCAGGTGATTGTGTACGATTTAAACAAAGGCAAAAGAAGCTACCAACCTGAACTCATAGGTCTGTCCTTCAATGAGATCAGGCACAGTACACGTGGTCTTATCCGCGGGTACTTCGACCGCCTTCTCCCAGTTGCCGAACTTGTCCTTCTTCTCAACGATGTAGCCCTCGATGGGGGCGCCACCGTCTTCCCGTGGTGGGGTCCATTTGAGGTCCACGTGGTCCTTGTCCCAGTCTGTCACTGATGGAGTTCCTGGCGCACCTGTAAATAGAGGAGCAGAGTTTAATCTGTGTACTTGAAGCTTGTCATTTCTAAATTAAATTAAAATTCGTGGTTTATGCAATATTTTTAGCTGGTAATTTCACGTCCAACTATAGTAAATAATGGAGTAAAAACCTTCTTTTTTATTACTATATTTTTTATTACTTACCAGGTTCGTCGAACGGATTCTTGGCGACGATAGACTCCTCAGAGATGAGAGGTTCAGACTCTCCCTCGGAGTTGACAGCGGACACACGGAACTTGTACTCCTTGCCAGGAGTCAAACCGGTTACTTCACATTCTGTAGAAAAAATTACAATTAGTGTTTGGGAAAAATTGATCTTATGTTTAGGTAGTAAGGTGCTATTTGTTTTGGCTAGTTGTTTATGCTTAAGTGATCTACTATGGTGTTCTTTTATTGTAACTATGATCATTCAAAAAGTGTTTTTATGTGCGTGATAGTGTTTAAAACTATTCAAATTCATTCGTGAATGCTAATGTGACAAATAAGTGCGCAGGCGCTTGTTTAAAAATAGTAATACTACAAATAAATCAATGTAGCTTCAAAAATGTTTACTGAAAGACAATGACTGCATTTTCAATTGTGTAGCATTGGAAAAAGCAATGTTTTTGTTGGTGTAAAATGACGGGAATTTAATTACCTATGATCTGCATGTATTTGGCATTTTTATGACAGAGAAAGAAGATAATTCGATAAATGAGTTAAGATATTCATGTATCGATAGTCGATCCGTGTATAAAAGTGTATGCAAAAAAGTCATTCGTATGATGTTGAATAAAAATCACTCGTCGATAATGTTATGTTCGATTTGATAATATGTATTATGTGCGAATAAACCTTCAATCGATAAAAATCTAAAATGAAGACATTCCATTGATTCGTTCGTTCAAAAAAAGTAGGGATTTAAGTCTTACGTGGTTGTGGACGTTCAGGTTCATTTGGGTCGAATCCTGGGTAAAAATCAATTTGTTTTCACTTATCTGTATTATTGTCATTCCTAAGACAATTATGTTCCTTTTTAATCGTTGTTGTGATAAAACTTTTTTAACTTTGTAATTTTGTTTTAGTAGTAAACTATTTAGCTTTTAGCTATCGGATTCTGAATTGAAAGTTAGAATCTAACGTCGCAGTCATTATAGTAAAATTATACATTTATAACATAACATAACATCACGCCTTTTATCCCCGAGGGGTAGGCAGAGGTGCACATTATACCACTGTACAATGTAACACCCACTTTTCACTATTTGTGTTATGAATCCTATGTAATAGGGGGTGAGCCTATTGCCATATACCTGGCACAATACCAGACTCCGTGCTACTACATTTACCTCTATATACAAAATAAATTAGAAATTGGTCATAATTATTGATATTTGCACAAATAAATCAAAATGTATCTAAAGTCTACTTACTAGGCTCATCGGAGCGGGCACACGGTACCCAGCATCCAGTCTCAGTGTCCAGTTTGTCGATCTGGTAGTACTCGATGGGGGCGCCACCGTCGTCTTTGGGCCTCTTCCATTTGAGGGTAGCTCCCTCCTTGTGGACGTCTGAGATCTGATGATGGAAGGTTAAGAGGGGTTTTAAAATAGATTTCGTTAAGTTTTTGACTGTACTGTTGACGCGGTGACTGGTCAACCGGTCTCCGCACAACGTGTAGCGGGTTCGATTCATGCACGGAGTTGTGTGATCCACAAATTGTTGTTTCGATTGGGTCAGGGTGTTATGTATGTTTGTAAAAGCACCAACGACACGGGAGAAAACCCTAGAGAGGGCCACGTTTAAAAAAAAAACTTTTGATGTGGATGCCAAGAAGAACTTGTAACAGAAAATTAAGACTTTAGATAGATCTTCTCCGTCTAGATAGACTTTAGATGGCCTTACAGAGGGAATGTAAGGCTTTCTTATGGTTTTAAGCATACGCCCAACTACATGAACAGTTGAATAAATCCTTAAACAGCCAACTATTACCTTATCTTTCTCTCGGACTAAAACCAAGTCATCCAGAACACTCATTTCACATAACATCACGCCTTTTATACCCGTAGGGGTAGGCAGAGGTGCACGTCACGGTACTTAATGCCGCTGTACAATGTAACACCCAATTTTCACTATTTATGTTACGAGTCCCATATAATAGGTGGCGAGCCTATTGCTGTATACCGGATATTTTATCACCAAAATCAATTATTATCCCCAAAAAATCCAAATCTTCTTACCTGCAATGGTCCTTCAGGCTTCATAGGTTTGTCAGTAACCACCACGTTGATGGTGACCTGGTCCTTGCCGCTGGAGTTGACGGCAGTGACGGTGTACTCGCCGGAGTCGTCGCGACGTACTGGACGGATGACCAGCTTCGTGAAGTATTCCGGACTGTCTATCATTACTGCCTTCGATGGGCGGAGAGGCATGTTCTGGTATCTGGAGTGGAATTAAAGGTGATTTAGTATAATAATTTGATATGATGAAACAACTCTTAAGAGGTAAGGAGAAGTGTGGTAAAACCACATCTTACTCATCTAGGTTTTAGACGAAAATATACGACAAAAAATCAATTAATTTAATTAATTGACTTCAAAAACTTTCTTGATTCTTGTGGTGATTCTCAATTTGACCTATATGTATGTATGTATTCGCGCGATTGTCTCGCAATTGGCTGAACCGATTTTGATGCGGTATTCAGGAAGCGTTTTTCACTTACGAGGTTTTAATAGATTCATTAATAGACTTCAAAAAAGAGGGGGTCGAAGTCGGTATTTTTAACGTAGTTTATAAAATAATGTGTTATTATTAATAATTTAACAAGAGCAATCACAACCGCTCTATCAAACATATGACCATAGATATATAGGACTGTCAAACTATTTTCATATCCCGACTGGATCTCGGATTACTTCTTTTGCTGACCCGGTAATCAAACCTGAGGTCTGGCGTTCGACAGCTACACATGAAAAACTTTCGACCAACGAAACCTTCGTAAATATTTTAATGTTATGAGTAAAATAAGGAGTGATGCTCCATCTTGCTTACCTCCATTCAACAGCTGGAGCAGGCTCTCCGGTGATAGCAGCCTCCAGCTTCAAAGTAGATCCAGCAGAGATGGTGACATCTCTCAGGTGACGCCTGTCGATCTTCGGAGCCAAGAACCTTGGCTTGGCCACGAAGTTCTTGCTGGCTTCCGAGGGTTTACTCTGACCGGCCTTGTTGATGGCAATCACACGGAACTGGTATTCGTTGCCTTCGATTAAACTGGTGGTGAATAAAATACAAGAATAAGGTTTGATGGTCTTATTGCATGTGATACCTACAGACCTATTACTATGCCCAGGTCGACCAAGATCATAACAAAACACAATATTTTTTCTCCAACTTGGGCATTAAAACCTGGACCTCTTACTTAGAAGATGCGTATAAATGCGTAAAAGAACTGTTTATCTTGGTGCGTCTAATGACTATCTGGTAAACCATGAGTTTAGATACAAGGTTGTCAATTCATTTGGTTATTTTTTTCGAGATCAAAATTGCTTTCCAAGAAGATAACCTGGTACAGAGCTGATGATGACAATAAATACTTTTTCAAAAGAATGTTTTGGGCGTGATCTACAATCGATACCGAAACCAAAAATATGGTTTTTAGAATTTTTGTTTGTTTGTATGTATGTATGTCCGGGATGAACTCAAAAAGTGCTGCATGGATTTAATTAAAATTTTGACAGGTCGGGTCAACATATAGGCTACATAATATCATGCTATCAACTACGGGGGAGGAGCTGTGAACCACTCAGCTCAGCTAGTTGATTTTGAGTTTCCAATTCTTCATACAACTTACCCATTAACGGTGCCAGAAGGTGTAGGTGTGTGTGTTTCCACAGCCTTCTCCCACAGGGGAGAGTATTTGTCCTTCTTCTCGATGATGTAACCAATGATGGGAGACCCTCCGTCCGATAGCGGCGGCTCCCACTTGAGGTCCACGTGGCTGGCCGACCAGTCGTCTGGTACTGGCGCACCGGGTGCATCTGGGGTGGCTATGGGAAGGGAGTAATCAAATTAGGTTTTGAAAGTTCAAATACTTTTTTTCTATATGCAGGTTTCTTTTTTCAGTTGATACTGTTTTCAATAGTTATTAGTTTCGATTTATAAAATAATAATAATAATCTTTATTAATTATAAAATTATCAAAATCCAAAAATACATCAGCATAAAGCAATGTAGACCGTAGAGAGCCTGAAAGTATAAACCCTTCTTGTTGTGATTTTGAATGTAATTGTCCAGTTTGAATACTACTTTCAAATGGTGGCTCTGTGATCCCAGTTTTGAATCCATCCCATCAATTAGTCCAATATATTGAAAACAATATTATTATTAATACTTTATCTTTCTTCAGTCCCTCAATATAATACCAGTATTTTATGGTTACACTGACTTATAATAGAAGCAGGTAAAATATACTTACTGAATGGATCCTTGGCGATGATGGAGCCGAATGTCTCCAGCGGTTCCGATTCACCTTCCTTGTTCAGCGCCTTCACGCGGAACTTGTACTCGTGACCGGGGATCAGGCCATCGACCTGTATACACAATTTAGGCGACAGTCTGTTAGTTAAACTGTCAAACACCAAGCGGTCACCGGTGACCGCAACCTATTGTTCTATAATTGTGTCTACAAAGACGGTACTCAACGAGTTAAAAGACCTTTCTTCAAGTTAAATGAACTCTTCAAAACCTTGAATCGATTTTCATAACATAACATAACATCACTACTTTTTATCCCCGAAAGGGTAGGCAGAGGTGCACATTACGGCACTTAATGCCACTGTACAATGTAACACCCACTTTTCACTATTTATGTTATCAGTCCCATGGGTGAGCCTATTGCCATATACCGGGCACATTTCCAGACACCGTGCTACTATTGAGCTTTTTAAAAACCTATTAATACTTTGCCCGACCCGGGAATCGAATCTGAAACCTCTTGCCCGGCAGTTGCACTTGCGACCACTCGGCCAACGAGGCAGTCATTTTCAGTAACCCTAATTAAGGATCGATTCGTTTTTTTAGAAGCAATATAAATGCGGCGGTGCAATCACAGTACTGAAGTCATTACGACAAGATACTATAGCATATTTTTTTAAACTTGAACCATACCTCCATCTCTGGCACATTTCCATGTGTCTTGCCAACTGGCAGCCAGGTTCCAGTCTCCGTGTCATATTTCTCGACGAGGTAAGCCTCGATGGGTTCCCCTCCATCATCTTTAGGCCGCTTCCACTTGAGGGTGCAGCCGTCCTTGTGGATGTCTGATACTTCCAATGGACCCTCGGGTTTCTCGGGTTTGGCTGATGAGGGAAAAATATTGTTTTATAGTTTTTTTTTTTATACATTAGGTCGACGTTTGACCACCATCTCGCCTGATGGTAAGCGATGATGTTTGTTTCATTCAATTATTTTAATTTATTTCAGTTTTTGCTTTTGCTTACTAATAAAACATTCTAGGTCCTTTCATAGCTCTTTTTTAAATATCTTTAGATTTATGCTATTTAACGATATAGACTTAATGTAGTTTTACTATAGATATCTTAAATATTACTCAGAACTCAGAATTTTCTAGTCAGTGAGTCAATGTCTAGCTCATATTTTTTTTTAAATATTGAAAGCAGTTTTGTTATTATAAAAATATACGAAGTACACTTACAAGTAACAATAATCTCCAGCTCGGCGGTGTCCTGTCCGTACTTGTTGACCGCCTGGATCTTGTAGGTGCCGGAGTCCTTGCGGCGCGGGCTCGAGTGCTGGTACTTACTCAAGTACGGCACATTGACCACTGGAATATGAACAGAACATATAAATTTATTTATTTAGCACGTGGTATCTGTTAGTATAAAAAGTGGACACTGAATTTATTCGGGCTGCCAAAATAAAGTAATAATTTTGTCCTATGATGACGACATTATTATACCGACTACAAAATAATCAAGGCAATGACAGCAAGAAGAATGAAAACGATACACTTTACAAAATCAACACTTAAATCTTTATTATTTATATTTAGGTTATTTATCCTAAACAGCTGAACTAATTTGAATAAATTTTTGTTTATACATTCAAGTGGATATGCAGGACAACGTCTGTTGGGTCCGCTAGTAGTACTATATGTAAGTGTATACTCACATTTCAATCCATTGCCACTGCTGACAGACTTTCCGTTCAGCGTCCATGTGACATCAGGCGCGGGTTCTCCAGTGACCTTGACGTCCAACGAGATGGGCTCGCCTTCACGGACCTTGATTGTACGCAGGTTGCGACGGTCGATCTTCGGTGCCACTAGAGAAAAATAATAAGGAGATCATAAGTAAAAAAAAATACCACTAGAGGGAAGAAAGAGGAGATTTTAATAAAGTTCATCATTGCAGCCGTTCGGTGATACAGTAAGGTAGATTAGACAAAATTATGTCACTATATCTGTTCTTGCTGTGGATGCCAAAAAAGAATAAGGAGACTGTGGAAATATTTTAAACTGTGAGTTCTAACCAGCCTGCCAAGGCGGCAGTCATGAGCTGGTCCTTAATCTAGCAGTGAACAGTCATGAGCTGTTGACGCTATCTTCACCAATAAATAGGCCAAGAATTTATTTCTTTCCGGCTTATTGTTACATGGCAAATGCATGATAATCAAGAAATCAGCCATCCATACTTTTTTAATGTTTTTTTAAATTGAGAATACCACATCATCACATTTTCCTAAAGATTTTTTGACAATGACTATTGTCATGTCATTAGTAGATATTATAGGTACCACCCGTTAAAACCAAAATACTCACGTCTCCTAGGCTTGCAGACAACAGACTTGCTGGCGTCGGAAGGTTCTCCCGGTCCAGCCTCGTTGACTGCCTTTACCCGGAACTCGTACTCCGTACCCTCGTCCAGGTTGGGGACTGTCGCCTTCTCATTGTCGTTGGGACCGACCTGGTGGATGAAGGAATACAAGGGATTAGCAACGTAACGTAATTTTAAGTGTGGGAGAGTCATGCTTCGGACCCAAATACCCCAAATCCCCAACAATCCTCTAATTCCTAATCCCCAAAAGGCCGGTAACGCACTTGTAAAGCCTCTGGTGATCCGTCTCCCCGTTTACCGCCTTATAGTTATTTTATTACATCACATTATCATCGTTCCTAATTGAAAAAAGTCTATAGCCAAACATGCGGAACATTTACTTTATCAAATTCGATGCTAAGATAAAAAAAAATTAAAGAAGAATGTGCCAAGATAAAAAAGTTAAAGATAGACATATTAATCTTGAAACCCACTACTTGATAACTATACTACAATCAAAGGCACAATTAAGTTCCATAAATCCTAAGTTCACAATCTCACCTCACAAGCCTTCACCCACTTGGGTGATCCGACCTCCCTCTTCTCAATGATGTAGCCGGTGATAGGCGCTCCTCCATCCTTGAGGGGTTTCTCCCATTTAAGGTCCACATGGTCCTTGTCCCAGTCCACCACTTCTGGTGTTCCGGGCTTGCCGGGTTCATCTGTTGAGGGAGAATGGATTTTATTGGTGTGGAGTTAGAATTTTAATTATAATAACTTGAAATTGGGGCCTATTATTGTGGAGGCTAGAATTCAGAATAAGGTCTTTATAGCCCTTAAACATCCTAAAACTATATTAAAATGTCTCTATATTGCTTTAAAATTATGGAAAATCTCAAGCAGCGAATTTAACTGTTTATAAACCAGGAGGTAATATCTATCTACACTAAAACATTCTTTTTTTAAAGAGATAGACCGAAATGGTGATAAAGTTGATTTCACTCATAAAAATTATAAATAAAAAATGTACGAATTTCACTATAACCAATCTAGTAAGTAAATAACTAAAATCAACACAAAAACTCAATAATTATTTCATAAACTGCGTTTAAAAAAACCGACTTCAACCCTCTTTTGAATTCGGTTAAGCCTTTGACTGCCGACAGAAAACTGCTGAAGGCGAATCCTCCGCTAACGTAGGTCACCGGTGACATACGCGGCGGTTAATGTGTTAATTAACATACTACTCCTAAGTGTAACCAACACTTTTTTGAAAACTGCATCAAAATAGATTTAGCTAATTGCGAGATAACCGCGCACAAACATAAATAAAACAAACTAAGCACTTGTGTTTTCTTAAGTCGGTTAAAAACCACTCACCGAACGGATTCTTCGCAATAATAGAGTGGTCAGCCTCAAGTGGCTCCGAAACTCCCTCATTGTTGACAGCGGAGACCCTGAACTTGTACTCATGTCCTGGCACCAGGTTCTCAATCTCAGCCTTCGGGTCCTTGGTCTTCATCGCCGGCATCCAGCGACCAGTCTCCGTGTCTAGTTTCTCAACCAAGTAATGGTCGATGGGGGCGCCACCGTCGTCTAGTGGCGGGTTCCATTTCAGTGTGCAACCTTCTTTGTGGACGTCTGAGATCTGTTGATAATGGATTTGTGGTTTTATTGGTTTGTGTGGTAGTTTATTTTGCACTGATTAGAGGTAACATTTTAAATTTTTGTATGACGAGTATAACGTTTGAATGCGTTCAATTTTCACATTGAATAACTAATGTGAACTACGCTACACAGCCAAATAAAAATATTGTAATTGAATTTAGCTTTGTGTCTTTATTGAAGATTTTAAAATGAAAAGTAATACAAACGAAATCCTATTTCCAATTTCATAACCGACGGAATAAATAAAATTGCATCATAATATAACATAGTTCCAAGTACAGCAGTTTGCAAAACAACCTGCTTCTTTGTGTCCAATTTTTTTATTACATTTCAAACTTTAATATTTTGATATAAAGTCAAAAATCCAATAAAAAAATCTACAAACTGGTGTAAGTTGACCTGCTGGCCATCGTTATACTCAAAACCAAACTATATCCTAACACAAATAATGTTCAAATTCTACTAACCTTAAGCGGTCCTTCAGGTTTAGCAGGTACATCTAGTACATTAATCTGAATAGTGGCTTCGTCCTTGCCGCTGGAGTTTTCAGCCTTCAGGACATAAGTGCCGCTGTGTTTGCGTGAAGCAATGACTACGGATAGCTTGGTCCTGTAGTCTTCCACGTCTACCGTCAGATCCTCGCGAGTCGATAGACGTTCCTTGTTGTGGAACCTGGGGAGAAAGATCGTTGTTAGATACTAGTTTTTAAATTATGATGGTACGATAGCGTTCAACCATCTATTGGCAAAAGTTGAGTAATCAAAAAGATTTATTGTTAAATATTTGGGGTTCAAGAGCAGTCTCTCAGTTCAGTCGCAGAATACGTCGGTACGTATTCTGCACTAACGTTGGAATGGCGAAGATAGAATATCTATTGATCAAGATTTGATTTGAAAATCTCAAACGCATTGTAAAATACATGTTTTATAAATTTTTTGTGGACCCTGCGCAGGCGCAATCTATTGAAGTTTTTAAGAGACCTAATTCCTATTCGTGATTGAAAACAAATTTTAGACTACAATAAATACCCACTACTAAACATTTATTATATCTTGGTCAAACAGTAATTTTTGTAAGCAAGTACTCACCAAGTCTTAGTCGGTGGGGGTTCTCCGCTGACCTTGACGTCCAGTCTGATGTTCTGTCCCGCCTTGAGAGTGATGTCGCGCATGTTCGTACGGTCGATCTTAGGTGGCGCTGTGGACGAAAACAGTACGATTAATTTATCACGATATTTAGTTATCAGGACTACAATAGTACCAGAAATAATAATAGGCGGGCCTTTATATAAATATATTATAGCAGTTATAGTTTTCTTACCAAATCTATCCTTAGCCAGCAGATTCTCGGAAGGCGCGGACGCCTTGCCGGGTCCAGCCTTGTTGACGGCCTTCACTCGGAACTGGTAGGTCTTGCCTTCGATCAGGTCGGGCACACGGGCCTCGGTCTTGTTGCCGGGCACCTGGGGGTGGGATAAGAGGTTTTGATTAAAGAGTGATTAAGTATTTTTGAACCTAGGTCAACAGGTCAGGTCGAAAGAGAAATAGGAAAAAATTCCCCTTTTTTGTGCAGTCAAATGTATTTCCTAATTATTGTTGAGAGAGCATTGCAAAAATAAAACTTACAAGAACAGCGCAGTCAAATTACGATATGGGTCGCTGATTTTAGCAAAGGAATAGCAAAATAAATAATTGTTTGCAAGTATCGACCAGAATAACTCTCCTCCTCTCCAGTAAAACTACTCCCAAAACGGCTCTCACAAGAAAAACAATAAATAACCTACTTCTAATCAAGAAAACAGTTTTTTCAAAGACTATACGTACCTCCGCAGCCTTCACCCACTTGCCGGTGTCGCGATCCTTCTTCTCCACAATGTATGCAGTGATGGGGGCGCCACCGTCGTTCTTGGGTGCCTCCCACTTGAGGTCTGCGTGATCCTTGCTCCAGTCCTTGAATTCTGGCTTGCCAGGTGGATCGGGCTCGCCTATGATTTAGTTTAAGTTAGAATTCTTTTCGTTTGGTAATTTTAATCAGTGAAATCTTTTTTGTTTGTGCAAATATTCAAAAATGTTTTTTGTGAATTGATTTGTGAATATCAAAGTCACTTTCCGACAGCAATTTCAAATAATTAGGTTACCGATAAAAAAACTGACATCATAAATTCCTATATTTGGAAACGACACAACTGAAACAGACTTGAAACAAAGAGGTTCAATACAACCACAACTCACCATAAGGATTCTTAGCAGTAGTAGCGGTTTCAGTAACCAGCGGTTCACTTTCACCCTCAGGGTTGACAGCCTTCACCCTGAACAGGTAGTCCTTGCCTTCATTGAGACCCGTAACATCGGCTTCAGGGGTCTTGGTGGTGCAGACAGGGACCCATCTTCCGGACTCTGTGTCCATACGTTCAACGACATAGTTCTCGATGGGTTCGCCTCCATCATCTTCTGGCGGCTCCCATTTGAGCTTGCAACCTTCTGCTGTGACGTCTGATACCTGATGGAAAATAAGTTTTAAGTTTGGTGCTTATCTTATGTTATCCTAAGACTCCAAAATGCTTCTTCTTCATATTTGTGATAGATAGCGTCCAAAGCCTGAATTTTGTTTATTATTTCTCCTATGTCGTGAGTTCATTTATAAACATACAAGTTCGCATACACATGACACCCAAACCAGGAACAACAATTTATGGATCACACAAAGAGTTGCTTCGTGCGGGAATCGAGTCCGCGATACGTTGTGCGGCAGTCGGTTATCCAGCCATTCCTTTTTTTTACTGAATGTTAGACCATACTTTAAATGGCGGTGGGAGAATATGCCTTAAGAGTAATATTAATTTGTTGGAAACGTTCTGCTTGCCATGTGACTGACTAGAATACATTTAATAAGGAACTATATAATATTTAATGGGGTAGACGACTAATTTTTATTTTAATGTCCGTCTGGTAGATTATTTAAAAACATTAGACACGTATTTTTTATTTTCTTACGGAAACGAATAGTTTCGAAGATATATTGATTTGAAATGTCGTGTGACGTCACTTCTCAGTACATTTTATACTAAGAAATGACGTTTTAGCCCCCACTCCTAAACTTTGATTCGTTTTATCTAAGTATTGTTTTATTATACAACAAAATAAAAAAATACGTGTCTAATATTTTTTTATTACCTAAGTTACGGACTAATTATATTTTTAATTTTCATACCCTGTCATCATCCCCATTATATTTAGCAGAAACCAGATGTCTTATAACCTCAATATTTTAACTCCGATCTCCAATCTACCTACCAGACTTGGTGATGACGGCAAGTTCCTCTATTTTAAAGAAAGCCTATAGTCTACCAACCCGTCATTGTTGATGATAATGTTATTTTTCTACTATTTTTTTTGTTATCCCCTTTGATCATATTTTTTTTTATTGAAATGTTGATACTAACCTTGAGAGGTCCCTTCGGCTTGCTAGGCTTGCTGACGACCTCGACTTCAATTTCAACGGTATCAACACCAGAGTCATTCTTGGCAGTCACCACGTATTTACCAGCATCAGCCCTGGTCATCTTGTCTATAGAGAATGTAGTGTGATAGTCCTTATTGTCAATCTGTAATCTTCCAGCAGATTTGAGGGGCTCGCCCTTGAAGGTCCAGGTGATGACTGGTTCTGGTTCACCCTTGACGTCGGCGTCCATCTTGAGTGGTGAGCCAACCTTGATCTTCTTGCTTTGAAGGTTCTTGCGGTCGATGTGTGGTTTCACTGTTGGATGGAGATATGATTAGTTGTATATTTTATGAAGAAGAATGGGTGAATGTCACATGGGTAATTGCTGTTGGTAGGTTTCGAACCCGCACCCTCAAGCATGAGAAGCGTGAATGTTTTTTTTGTCAAGCATTTATATTCTATAGCAGTTTGAATTGATAGGCGAAAATATAAGAATTAGACAAAATGAAAATATATAAGCGAAAAAATATATAGGCGAATATATAAGAATTAGACAGAATTAGAAAAAGATTTCTTTTATAAGTACAGCTTACATTTATAATCAGTTGACAGTATCAATGTGAAAATAGTATCTTTTGCTCAGAAGGCGAATGCCTTGTTAATTCTACCACATAATTCATTCATATCTTCATTCAATCATTCAGTCATTCAATTATTCGTTCATTCAATAAAATCCAGTATTAGTACTTTAATATTTTTCTCAAACACACAACTATCTATATATATAAAAGAAAGTCGTGTTAGTTACACCACTTATAACTCAAGAACAACAGAACAAATTTGGCTGAAAATTGGTGGGGAGGTAGATTAGAACCAGGAGACGGACATAGGATACTTTTACCCAATACTGTTTTTTTTACTTTTTACCGAAAATTAAGAACGGGACCGGGAAATATCGGGATTGCGCGTACGAAGTCGCGGGCAGAAGCTAGTTTACATATAAATTAACAAATACTTACAGAATCGTGGCTTAGCAATAACACTCTTGCTAGGATCGGAAGGTTCTCCCGGTCCAGCCTTGTTGACGGCCATGACACGGAACTCGTACTCGTGACCCTCCTCCACGTCCGTCACGCGACCAGTCGGACGGTCGCCTGTAGTCTTGAGGCAGTCTGACCAGGATCTGGTGGAAGGAAGGAGGTATGACAATAGGGTCTCATTGTTTTGTTTAAATCAAATCAAATAGCTTTATTTGCTAACAACGGTGTAGTCCATAGTGACTAGGGTATTAGTTATTTGAGTTACATACATAAAATATCTCTTTCCCACGTCTCCATTGGACATTCAAATATTGGCTATGTTTCAGCCAAATTGTATACATTATATTCTTGATAACTAATTTAAAAACACTATTTAATACATGTTTGATTTATGATGAACGCATTTGCATAATATATAAAAAAGTGTCTTTAAAAGTATTGAAATGAATATCTATTTTAGACACATTGTGCTATTATTATATTGTAAACTTATTATAATACTGTCTTATGAATTCCCTCTTTAAATGAATGTCATTAGGTAATAATATATTGCTAAGCATTTGAGAGTTAACAACTCATATGTGGCTAAAAAAAACCTAAGGTTAATACCCAAATAGATTAGCTAACAAAAATTCTTAATCAATTCTTCTCCCAAAGCCAGTACCCACCTTCCACCCTTCTCCCTCTTCTGTACAATGTATCCAGTGATGGGAGCTCCTCCATCGTTCTTGGGTGGAGTCCATTCCAGCTCCACGAAGTCCTTGTCCCAGTTACGTGGCTCTGGACGACCAGGTTTGCCGGGCTCGTCTGTGAATAATTATTATAAAAATGACAACATACTTCCAGTGGAGTTCAGGTAATGAATAATATTAATTTGATTATACAAAGATTAAACTTATAGAGCTGGATTCATAGTTAAATAGCTATAAACCCTCTTTTAATCATATGTTTTTACCATTGGTATAAATGCATATTGGACATATTTAATGAGCCCAAACTAGATAGCCCAATGTTCCGCCACCTTCCATTCCATCATTAAACCAACTTGATAATATCATAATATTATTTTGGTCATCTAATCTTCACACTATTACTAAGTTTTATAACAACATAACAATGAGAAGTGTATTTAAGTTACTTTCTTAGATTTTATTCCATAGTTTGTTTCAAGTCGGCCTAATAAAAACGTATAACAACACTCACCGAAGGGATTCTTAGCAATAATAGGCTTGTCAGTCTCCAGTTCTTCAGACTCTCCCTCCTTGTTGACGGCCTTGACCCTGAACTTGTAAGGCTTGCCTTCAGACAGGCCGGTGATGTTGGCCTTGCAGTCCTTGGCTGTGGCACAAGGGATCCATTGGCCTGCATGGAAATATAAACGTTATTGTGTGTGGTATAGGGATGATTTTAGAATGAGATTTTTTTTAAGACTTAAAAAAAGAAAATTATTAAAAAAACATGTTTGCCGTTGGTAGGTTTCGAACCTCCGGGCCATAACGACACTTGTACATACATTAGTATAAATGTACAATTAATATGAATCTTACCAGTAAGCGGATCAAGTTTCTCAATCTCGTAGTACTCGATGGGTGATCCGCCATCGTCTTCTGGTTTCTTCCAGGTGAGGGTGCAACCGTTCTTTGTGACGTCAGACACGTCCAGAGGTCCTTGTGGTTTCGAGGGCTTGCCTGTAGATAATAATAATTAAGTAAAATTTAGAAATACTATGTGACGTTAATACAAGCATATTCGTTGTATTATGAAGTGACTATTTGTAAGAGGGCTATAAAATTTTGACTATAATATCTCCGGATCTACTGGTGCGATTTCAAAAATTCTTTTTGTGTTGGATAGTTCATTTATCGTGGTAGGCTATGGATAACAAAACATCATGCTACGATCAATAACCGCCGAGCAGAGGGGGTATAACCGCGTGAAAGTAGATAGTAGTGTATATATCTTAAAAAACTAGAGTACTTCCTATAAAAGAACAAAACTAACTTAACATAATGTATCACTCACCAAGAATAGTAATCTCAACTTCAGCCTCGTCTTCTCCAACCTCATTCTTAGCCTTAATGACATATTTTCCAGTCTGCGCCCTCTTGGACTTGGTCATCAAGAACTTGGTATTATAGTCCACATTGATAATCTCCAGGTTTTCCCTGTTCTTCAGCTCCTCACCCTTGAAGTACCAGGTGACGGTGGCTGGTGGTTCTCCGAAGACCTTGACGTCCAGGGAAACTGGTAGTCCAGCCTTTACAGTGATCGGGTTCAGGTTTGTGCGGTCGATTCTTGGTTTCACTGTTGGGAGAAATTGGAAGGGGTTTAAAAGAATGTTATATTTATTATTTTATTTAATACTAGCGGACCCAACAGACTCTGTCCTGCATATCCACTTAAATGTATAAACAAAAATTCATTCAAATTAGTTCAGCTGTTTAGGATAAATAACCTAAACCATGACTGCAGCGCCATCTGCCGGGCTGATTTGTGAATCTAAAGCATTCCCAGATCCCCTTGAACACACGCAAAAAAATTCATCAAAATTGGTCCAGTCGTTTGAGAGAAGTTCAGTGACATACACACTCACAGAAGAATTATATATATAAAGATGACTGCCTCCTTGGCCGAGTTAACATAATTCTTCGTTCTAAAAGATGGTAAAAAAGACCTCCATATCCGAACTTAACTCAGAAACTTTTCCACATTAAATGCTTATACTTACAGAATCTCGGCTTAGCTGTATGCCAGTTGGTGTTCTCGGAAGGTTCGGACTGTCCAGCCTTGTTCAGGGCACGGATGCGGAACTGGTACTGGTTGCCCTCCTCCAGCTTCGGTACTGTACCCTGGCAGATGTTGCCTTGGATTTCCACAGCCTAGGAGGGAAAAATTGAGGTAATTTTTTTATTAAACAAAGTGAGTGTATTGTTATACTGATTGTCTCGTTGGCCGAGTGGTCGCAAGTGCGACTGCCGGACAAAGGGGCACGGGTTAAGTATTACTGACTTTTATAAAATAATCTCAGTATTAGCACGGAGTCTGAAATTGTTTCCGGTATACAGAAATAGGCTCACCTCCTACTACATGGGACTCATAACATAAATAGTGAAAAGTGGGTGTTACATAGTACAGTGGTATTAAGTGCCGTAATGTGCACCTCTACCTACCCCTTCGGAGGTAAAAGGCGTGATGTTATGTTATTGTGATACTGGAGAAGTTAGGTGGTTTGTTTTCTATGTTTATCATCTTCAGAGTACTAAATGAGTTGCACTATTTGGGAAAATTCTAAGAATCTTGATGTTGAACGGTTTTATAGGGCAACAACACTATAACTATTTTTATATGTCTACTCCCACCTCATCCAGGCAGGAGAAATCATTCGACGACTTTTCCCCCTTAAAAAAAACTCTATCTAAAAATCTTAAAGGGGATACTATACATAAAAACAATACAAACCTTAACAAACTCTCCTCTATCTCTGTCCATGACTTCAATAATGTAGCCGGTGATAGGAGCTCCATTGTCCCTGATAGGGGGCTCCCATTTAAGTTTAGCTGACTTCTCATCCCAATCCACAATGTCTGGTAAGCCAGGTGGTGCTGGGACGTCGTATGGGTTCTTGGCCAGGATTCCGTGGTCTGTCTCCAAGGGTTCGGATTCTCCTTCCTCGTTCAGAGCCTTTACGCGGAACTGGTACGTGTGACCCGCTTCTAGGCCTGTTGAGAAACATGGTGAATGGTGATTAGTTAAAATTGTTATTATCATGAGTTGCTATTGATTTGGTTTGGTATACGATGTAGTGTTTAGTTTTTAGATGTATTGAAGTATTCATTCTGAATGCTTCCTAACTTGATAAATTAAAAGCATACAGATTTTATATTTAGCCTTTTTTTCTAAACGTTCCCCCACATTAGGATTTTCTCCTGTGTCGTGGGTGTGTTTACAAAAATACAAGTTCATATACACATCACACCCAGACCCGAAACAACAATTTGTGTATCACACAAAGAGTTGCTCCGCGCGGGAACCGAACCCACTACACGTTGCGCGGCAGCCGGTCGCCCAACCATCGCGCCACCGCGCACTACTGTATATTCACGTGAGTAACCCGCGATTTTTTAGTTAATAAAGGAAAATTTGTCTAGAATATATTTTTAATTCGAAAGAAAGAACCATAATAAAAATAACTACTATCTCAAATCGTAGTAAAATGTTATAAACAATTACTAAGTTCTTTTTAAACTAAATGACTGAGTAATACTGACCAGTAACAGTAGCCTCAGTGGTATCAGGGTCGACAGTACCGGCGGGCACCCACTTCCCAGTGAGGGTGTCCATCTTCTCGACGACGTAGGCCGACAGCGGCAGGCCGCCGGTGTGCTTGGGCTTGTTCCAGCTCAGCTTCACGTGGTCCGCGTGCACGTCCGATACTTCTAGTGGACCCTCGGGCTTGCCGGGCTTGTCTGTGAAGAGAGTGATGTTTTAAATACCAGTTAATTTTCTTGAATTTTTAAGTATCGTATTGCAAAACTGTTGCGGTACACACCAGTATGATTTGTGTACTAAGTTAAAATGTACGGTCAATAATCTACTGTCTTCTATTATAACATAACATAACACCACGCCTTTTATCTCCGAAGGGGTAGGCAGAGGCATTATGCCACTGTACAATGTAACACCCACTTTTCACTATTTATGTTATGAGTCCCGTGTAATAGGTTCGAGCCAGAAACTCTACTATTAGCTCTAACAAAATATTCCTTCATTCTTAACTTAATCTTTTTTTATTTAGTAGACGACATTTTCCGAAATCGAAACTTAGTTAGATCGATTTATCGCCCCTGTAACCTCATAGCTACAAATTTGTTACAGCCTTTTTCGATATCATTGATACATATACATATACAAGAATTGCCAGTTTAATCCAACACGATTAGATAAACATTCTGTATTAACCAAAAAACTACGTACCCAGTACAGTGATCTCCACTGTAGCCTCATCGACTCCAGAATCGTTCTCCGCCTTGAGCGTGTAGATTCCAGAGTTGGCCCAGGTCGAGTCGAAGATCTGCATCTTTGTGTTGTAGTCCTCGTTCTCGATCTTCAGCCCTGGGCCGGTTTCCAGGACCTGGGTATAATAGGGGAAGGATAAATTTTTGTTTTGGTACGACATTTTATGGGGAAAAGCATATGTGTCTATAACGTTCAAGTTATAACTTAAGTAGCAATCACAACAGTAAAACTGTATATTTTTCATTATTTCAAAATTTTTGTCATACAGTATTTTTAGTAGGGCTATAAATTTTTTTCAGGCAGCTTGCCGAAGTTTCAAAAACATTTTTACAAACTAGCTGACCCGGGAAACTTCGTACCACCTCAAAATTTTTATTTTACCCGACGCCTCTCGCCTTTTAAACCTTCCCTGGACTTCCATTAACATTCAAGACCAAAATTAGCCAAATATTCAGCCTCTCTCGAGTTTTTGTGAGACTAACGGACGGAAATTCATTTTTATTTATATAAATTAGTTCTTTAGGCCTAAAACTAAAATAATGTACGATTTTCCGACTATTGAAAGCAGATCTGATATTATCACAGAATATCTTATAATCTCATTCTATAGTAAACCAATTCCTTACCTTCTTAGCGAAGGTCCAGGTCTTGGTTGGTGGAGGTTCACCCTTGATGTCGACGTCCAGTTTGATGGTGGTACCGGCGCGGACGCGGATGGCGTGCATCTTGTCGCGGTTGATGTGGGGTTTCACTGTAAGAGAATAATGTAACAATTCCATAACTTGTGTTGATACCACATATGAGGTGAAAGCTGATGACATTGTAATATCTTTTCACATTGTCATTACGTATTTTTTGTATTATAATTAATAAATATTTTATTTTGACATTGATAGTATATATGTTTGTAGATTTTGTTTTTGACATTATTAATGACAATTCAAATCTTGACATGTTTTATCTTGTATTGGCAATATTGGAAAGTTGTATAATTGTTATTTTATCTATAGTTATTACGAACTTACAGAATCGGGCCTTAGCCGTATGCGGTTGTGTAGCATCTCCCGGTTCTCCCGGACCGGCCTTGTTGACGGCGCGGACACGGAACTGGTACACGTTGCCTTCCTTCAGGTCCGGCACGCGAGCCTTGCATTCTGGCGTCTAGGGACAAGTATCACATTTGATATTGTAGCATCAAAATATACTACTCAAAACAAAATAAGGGCCACCCTGTTTTTAGGCATTTTTATGTATATTCTGCTTACCTACTTAAATTAAACGCTTAAAATTTTGTTTGAAACATTAATAATTACTTTAAAACATATCGACTACATAATCAATTGCTAATTTAGTAACCATCAGCTGTTGAGTTAGTCTAAAACAAATAAATATATATGAACTTAATGAGGGTGGCCCTTCTTTTGTTTTAGAAAATGGATCCCTATTTGAGTTAGGACGTGATCGCGTATAATATGAACATGAAGTGTCAATCTCAATTCTAGATTCGGGCGTTTTTATTATGTTTAGATGTCCCAGAAAATTGCAATTGAACTATAACTATAACTGCGTGAAAAGAGACAGTCATCTAATATTTTTGATTTAATAACTATACATAGACTATTGTAATTATAGATAGTGACCAAACGTCGGCCCATCAAACATAAAAAATAATAGTTAGAGATGTTTATACAATAGGATCAGTTCTTCTTCATTTTTAAAGACCCTTTTTAACAGCACAGTGAAACAGTTAAAACATTTCTTATGTAACTAAAATAGTGGCATTATGTTTCTATGTACCTTTTTGAGAAAAATAAATTCCTTTATTTATTTATTACTTAAAGCTAATCTTACCGTAGTAACAAGCGCCTCTGTCCAAGATCCGTATTTCTCTTTCTTCTCGATGATGTAGCCAGTGATAGGCGCTCCTCCATTGTTCTTGGGAGCCTCCCATTTGAGGTCCACACGGTCCACATCCCAGTCCTCCAGGGTTGGGACTGATGGCTTGCCAGGGATATCTGTAAGAAAAGATAGGGTAAATTTATTAGCAAAATGCGAGAATTTTCATTTTTTTATTAGAATTCGGTTAAACTACACCCAATTCTTCTCATTCCCTATCCCAAATCTTGAATCTCTTAAAAGTTTCGCAATACACTTGCGACTCTGCTTGTCCTCATTAGACGATTTGGTTAGTCACTATGCCATCAAACACTAGCCACGCGCCCTACATGGTTATCATAGAATTCTAATATAGGTAAGTTATTTTATCGGTGGCAAGTCGCTTAACGCGATAAACCTTTAATAAATTCATCACTTTCATCTCCACGTCATCTCTCTCTCTATTTATCGCACACTCTCTTACTCATACCAAAAAACTCACCATAAGGATTCTTAGCGATGATAGAGTGGTCAGTCTTCAAAGGTTCAGACTCTCCCTCTTCGTTGACTGCCTTCACCCTGAACTCGTACTCTTCACCTTCCTGCAGCCCCTTGATGTCCATCTCAGTATCGTCAGTCTTGCCGACTGGCACCCAGCGACCGGTAGCCTTGTTCAATTTCTCGACCACGTAGCCAGTTACTGGTTTACCTGAGGTAATAGGAGGGGATTAGATATTTTTAACCGATTTAAAAAAAGAGGTTCCCTGTTTGAGCTGTATGAATGTATGTTTGTGTATTATCTCGTGATTGGCTGTACCGATTTTGATTTGGTTTTCAGAAAAGTGTTAGTTACAGTTAGGAGAAGATTTTTGTATATTAACCCGTCGTGTGTCACGTAAAACGTAGATCGACTCGTGACACAATGTATTTTCTATTGTGTCTCAAATAGAGGCATTCAAGCGGTCAATTAACCGACTTCAAAAAACAGGGGGTTGAAATCTGTTTTTTAAATGTAGTTTATAAAAGAATGACTAAGATTGGAGAATTTTTGCCAATATTTTCAAGGGAAGGTCTCATAAATTTGAGTTTTTTTACGTGGATAAAAATTTGATTTAGGACACCCTCGTACACCTTCCAAAGATCCAAGATTGATCAAAGAGAACATTAATTGTCAAAATCTTAATCTTTCTAAAAGTACTTTTTCGTAATGTTACATTCAATGTCTTCTATAAATCCGAAATTAGGAAGCCTATCCCAAAACTACACATACATCCAAAGACCTTCAAATCCTAACTTACCACCATCATCTTCTGGTTTCTTCCAAGACAGCTTGCAGCCATTTTTGGTGACATCAGCGACCTTCAGTGGACCACCAGGTTTGCCAGGAGCAGACAGTACGGTGATCTCAACTTCAGCTTCATCAGAACCATGCTCATTGGTAGCTAGGATACGGTAGGTACCAGTCATAGCGCGGACGGACTCCTTGATGTCCAGTTTAGTGTTGTAGTCCACGTTGATTATGTTTTCTTTCACCTGGGGAGTAAGAATTAGGTTAATATGGTGCAATTTGGTCCTATTTAGGTTTAACTGTAATCAGTATTTTTCCATTAGCCTTTTCTACCGTTACAATAAGAAAATTTATTTCTTCAAACAACAACAAGATTTTGTTTGTTTGGAATGTTCCACGTAAAAATACAACTGAAGACATTTTGAGTAATAGGTGCCTGCAATGGGTGCATTGAGTGCATTCTTACAATGAAAAGTTAAGTTTTTTTTAAGGGGGGAAAATCATCGAATGACTGCTCCCGCCTGGGTGTGGCGGGAGGGAGTGTCAGACTCTTACTGACTAAAAACACCCCGTTCCTTCTCCTGTACGTCGAGCCGGAGCCTCGGTTACCCGTTAGGTTCTCTGCGACAAGTTAAAAGTTTAAGAGCTTGCTAAAGTTTGTTAGAGCGCTCGCCAAGAGGCGCTAGTGTCGCAGTCTATCAGCATTTATCAAAGTTAACAATTTTGTGGAGATTCTCAACTACAATATTAATGAGGATCCTTCCTGCATCCTACCTCAGTCTCTTCGCCCTTCCACTTGCGGAACCATTGCACCTTGGGTGCGGGTTCACCCTTGACGTTGACGTCGAAGAAGATTGGCTTGCCCGCGCGCACTGCCAGCGCCTTCAGGTTGGTGCGGTCGATGCGTGGTTTCACTACGAATAGGGAAAGATTTAAGTCAAAATCAACAATGGAAACTGATTGATTGAAGTAATGTTAAGTAAATATCAATCTTATATATAAAATATATAAAGCGAAAGAGTTTGTTTTTTTGTTTGTTTGTTTGAACGCGCTAATCTCCGTAACTACAAGTCTGATTTGAATAATTATTTTTGTGTTGGATAGCGCATTTATCGAGGATGGTTATAGGCTATAAAACTTCACGCTACGAACAATAGGAGCTGAGCAGAGCGTGTGAAAAGTAGCTAGTAGTTTATAAAGACAATTGGTTAGATTGACATTTTAATGGTGACTTTACAAATTAAATCAATATTAAAATCGCCAGCAAACTATCAATAGAATATTTTATAACTATCAGTAGATTCTTATAAAAACCATAGCTCCTAAGTCCACGATTCCACACATTGAACTGAAAATATTCTTAAAATTTTCTACCATATCACTAATTGTTTTCAATCATCAACACAAATCCAATTAAAAAATCTCATAATACTTACGGGCTTTGTGCCTGATGGTGGTCATCTTGGTAGGATCCGAAGGTTCGGAAGGTCCAGCCTTGTTGACAGCGACCACACGGAACTGGTACTCGCTACCTTCTGGTAGACCGTCGATCTTAGCCGTGTTCTGGGTTCCAGGTACCTGTGGAAAATGGGCAATTGTTAGGAATTGATGAACTATAAATAACCATCGTTACGATAACCCACTGATGAAAAGTTTTTCAACCCACTTGGCAGTTTTAAGAGATGTATTAAGCATCAATCTAAGAGCTAGATTTGAACGAAAAAACGGTGATCAACCACACTAAGTTGGATTACATATTCCAAAACTTAACTGCCTCTATGGCCGAGTGGTCGCAAGTGCGACTGTCGGGGTCTCGGGTGCCCGGGTCGGGCAAAGCATTACAGGGTTTTTAAAAAATTCTCAGTCGTAGCACGAAGTCTAGAATTGTGCCCGGTATATAGCAATAGGCTCACCCCCTATTACATGGGACTCGATAACATAAATAGTGAAAAGTGGGTGTTACATTGTAGAGTGGCATAATGTGCACCTCTGCCTACCCCTTCGGGGATAAAAGGCGTGATGTTATGTTTATATCCCCAAATGTCCCATTTACACAATCCCGACGGCCAGCAAACGTTATTGTAGTACTCCTCTGGTGGTTTGAGTGATAAAGGGTGACGCTGATTGCTTACAACCAGGTGATCTGTATGTTAGTTTGACCGTCTTTCCAGAGAAAATATAATAAGTTTCTATTTACCTCAGCAGCATTCTCCCAATCACCGCCTTTAGGCTTCTTCTGGATAATGTACTTGAGGATTGGAGCACCGCCGTCGTTCTTAGGCGGGTCCCATTTGATGTCTGCGCTCTGGTTGTCGTGGTCTGCGACCTCCACATTGCCAGGCTTGTCTGATGCCTCTGTGGGAGAAGATTGAAGTGATTATCAGGTTCCAGGAGCTGATGACTTTTGATTGTTATCATTTAGCTATTTACTTAATTGATGGAGCGTAGTTTACGGGCTAAATTTTAGATCAAGTAATCTTTAAGTATTATTTGTCTCAGTCATATGTTAGCAAAAATATAAACAGGTAATTGCGCGGCACAAAGGCTGTCTTGTTTATTGCATTTCCAAGCTGTAATTATGCATTATGGCAATTTATGTATTTTAATCTCAATTATGCATTATGAACTCAGAATAGAAACAATTTTGATCGTAACTATAATAATTTTAAGTAATAGCCCTTACCGAACGGATTCTTCGCGAGGATAGCGCGTTCAGCTTCAAGAGGATCGGAGTCACCCTCATCGTTGACAGCTGTCACCCTGAACTTGTACTGGTGACCAGGTTCCAGACCAGTCACTTCCATCTCTAGAGGCTTCTTGTCTCCAGCAACTCTGAAAGTTGAATAACAGATTAGATGAGGTCGCATGTTTCCCTGGTTTCGGGGAGGGCAAATTGATATTGGAGTTTTTTTAGGAACAGCATTATGTTTGGAACAATGCCCGACTTTCAGATTAGCTCAGTTCGACTGTATAAAAGAATGATACAGTACCTACTTATGTTATAATGTAATGTGGTTGCAATGAAAATTGATTATTGAAAGTAGGTGCACCTTTCAAGTGTGGGAGAGCCATGCTTTGGCATGAATGGGCCGGCTCGACCGGAGTGATACCACGGCCTCACAGAACATCGACTCCTCGTTGTGTTTCGTCGTATTAGTGGGGATTACCGTAGGCCTAATTACCCCCCTTTTCCCCAATCCTTGAATCCCCAACAATCTTCAAATTCTAATCCCAAAAGGCCGGTAACGCACTTGGTATTCCAGGTGTCCATGGGCGACGCCGATTGCTTACCATCAGGTGATCCGTCTGCTCGTTTACTGGCTTATCCCATAAAAAAAAACTTCTAGAATTTCTATTTCAAATGAATAATTTAACTGCACAATCAGTATGAAACATAAAGAATCCAGATAAAACATGAAATTAGAGAATACATTTTTTTTTAATGTTTAAAACTCACAGTACATCCCTAACTACATACTCAAATAGAAAAATACTGACCTGCCAACCCTGACCCACTTGCCAGTGGCGACATCCATCTTCTCGAGCTCGTACTCCTTGACTGGAGAGCCACCATCGTCTTCTGGCTTCTCCCATTTAACTTTGCAGCCTTCGGCGTGGATGTCTGTGACTTCCAATGGGCCTGGGGATGTTAAGGATATTATTAGTAACTAATAGAGACGAGTGGAAGGAGGATAAGGAGGCCTTTGCCCTGCAGTTGGAAGACCAAGCTAATAATAAAAAAAATAGGAACAGTCTATAATCGATGTAACTGAAAATATTCCGTGCTAGATTATCACCCATAAGTGAGTTGTGGAGAGTAGATAATACAAAATTTCATTTTGTGCCTGTCTCCCTGCCAACCCAGCAGAGACTATGGATATACATCAGTGTCTTTTTTAAAGTTAGATACTATCGTACTGCGCAGCATGTATCCTTTATGTATCACAATTTTGGAGATATTGTCATAAGTTTTTTTAATAACAGACAAATTATGGATATTTATTGATAGATCATTAGGAATGACCTCGAAACGATCTTTAGACTTGACACATAAAAGTGCTAATAGCAGAATTTCGTTTACAAACTTACCCTTTGGTGCACTAGGCTTGCTCAGCACAGTAAGCTCAACAGTCTCCTCGTCGAAACCGTTGCAGTTCTCAGCTCTGAGCTTATATTTGCCAGTGTCACGACGGACGGCGTTCACAATAGTGAAGTCCGTGTGGTATTCCTTGTTCTCAATCTTGATGCGTTCTGTGTTAACCAGTTTTATGTTATCGCGCCATGACCTGGGGGAAAGGAGATAAAAGAACAAGTTATTTAAATGGCTGTATTATAGATATTTTAAAGGAATACATAGTTACGTATGACCTCATACTATATTACGCTTTGTCTGACACATAATGTGTGTATATTCTTATATATTTATTATATATTGTCATAATTGACCTTCATAATAATTGGTCGTCATAATTGCATTAGAATATCAAAGCAATTCCATTATAAACTAAAAAATAATATTATATTAATAATTTTCAACTTTGTTGTGTTGTAATTAGGTATAACTATGAAAATCTACTGCAGCCTATCCTTCATTATCAGCTTATCAGCATTATCAGCCTTCCTATTGACTAACAAAACCTACTGCAATAATAGATTTAAGTACCTATGTGAATACTTCTGATTGAATACTCACCATGTCATCTCTGGTGGAGGTTCACCGATGACATCCACAGACCATTTGTGAGTGCGGCCAGCCTTGATGATAACAGACTTGAAGGTGCTGCGCTCAATGCGTGGTTTCACTGTAAAGTAACACAAGCACATTGGTATTAAAATAAAAGGAATTACCAAAATTCATTTATCGAGTCTGGTGAAAATTATATTAAAAATTGACCGTTGTTTAAAAAGGAAAATAAATAATCAAGTTGTTATTACACTTGGCTTTACAGGTAGTTAAAAAACAAAATCTAATAGATACTTACAGTTCTTATGCTTGCAGAGATGGTTGTCAGTGGGCTGCGAAGCCTCACCAACACCAGCCTTGTTGTATGCCTTCACGCGGAACTGGTATACCATCTTCTCCTTCAGACCTTCAACCTTGTACTCGGTTTTTGTGTCATTTGTTTTCACAACCTAGTGGACAGATAATGGAGTACTCGATTATGTTGGTATTCTAGAAATATTGATCAGATCATAGTGAAAGAAGGTAATAAACCTGATGAGCTTGAAAACATAACTATTTTAAATAAAAATGTAAAAATGGAAACTAATTTTATGAAAGTAAAATCTGGTTGCAGTGGTTTATTAAGTTTTAATACATAATTCGGTTTATTAGAGATAAAGTGAAATATTATTTCAAGTTACCTATTAGAAAATTAAGTAATTGTTTCCTTTCTTAAATTTCTTAGTTTTATCGGCTTGTTGTTGAATAATCTATATTTTTTATAGAAATAAAGACTAAAACTACATTTTGGTATAGTACCCACTTTCTACATCAATTTTAAAATTCAAAAGAATTTGACTTTGAGTTTGAACTCACCTCAATCCAGTCTGGAGAGAATTTGTCCTTCATCTCCACAACGTATCCAAGAATTGGTCTTCCACCGTTGTCTGATGGTGGCTCCCATTGCAAGGTCACCGACATGTTGTCGTAATCCGTAATAGTAGGCTTTCCAGGCGCCTTTGGTGGGTCTACAGACAAATACCAACATTTGAAAGAACATTGTAAATAGTTCCATGATATGCGAAGTCATGAAAAAAATCGAAGTGATTTCTAAATGTATTTCTTGTCTAAGTTTCGATTGGTGATAGTATTTGCAGTTTATAATTTGTATTTTATTATTTTCTTGTGCCTATGTAAACAAACCGGCACTTTTTAAATCTCAAATGTCAAAATTTAAAAATGGCGGTTTGTATTATTCGCTACGTTTCGTTTATCCGTATAAGAACAACATCAAAATATTCATAATGGACTGTTTTTTAGAATAAAACATATTAAACTTTTTATTATGTGTGTCTATTAACTCGTCGTGTACCGGTTTTGCAGACACAATTATAGAACAATAGGTTGCGGTCACCGGTGGTATTTGACAGTTTAAATTAAAACATTAATTTAGTTTACTTACCGTAAGGGTTCTTAGCAAGAATGAATCCATCAGTTTCCAATGGTTCTGATTCGCCTTCCTTGTTGACGGCGCGTACCCTGAACTTGTACTTGTGGTTCGGGGTAAGACCCTTGACTGTGAACTCTGTTGGTTCTGGACCAGTCTCACCACAAGGCACCCAGTTGCCAGTATCCTAGAAAATATAATTATAAAGTTATTGTATAGGACTGTGTGTGTGTGTGATGTGACTGCCTCGTTGGCCGAGTGGTCGCAAGTGCGACTGCCGGGCAAGGGATCCCAGGGTCGATTCCCGGGTCGGGCAAATTATTAGTGGGTTTTTAAAAATCTCAGTAGTAGCACGGAGTCTGGAATTGTGCCCGGTATATGGCAATAGGCTCACTCCCTATTACATGGGACTCATAACATAAATAGTGAAAAGTGAGTGTTACCTACTTCTGTGTGTACCTCTGCCTACCCCTTCGGGGATAATAGGCGTGATGTTATGTATGTTGTATAGGTTTTTCAGAGGGTTGCATTACTAACTTTTAGTACCTATGAATAGTTGATAGGTAGCGAGACTTTACTTTATGCATAAGTACTGGCATTGGTTCTTACCATGTCCATCTTTTCGAGTGTGTATCCAGTGATATCGGATCCCTGCCAGTCGTCTGGCTTCTGCCATTTAACGGTCGCCTTCTCGGCGCGGATATCCGTAACTTCGATCGGGCCGTTCGGGCGGTTTGGTTTGTCTGAAATAACATCGTATTGTTATAAATCATGTTACGTACAGGGTATTAAAATATTTACTACCAACCTACTTATGACTTTAAAGCATTTTAAGATAAGTCAACTGAATTTCCAGACTCACCCAAGACAACCACATCGCCGATGCTCTCGCAAGTGCCCGAAGAGTTGGTCAATACCAACTTGTACTTTCCACTATCAGGTCTGGTGGTCCTTCTGACAGTCAGTACGGTGTTCCTTTCGTACTTATCAATGGTGATACGGTCACCATCATCCTTGATTTCCTGTGATGGCATATTGTTATCAGTATCATTGAAAAAAAGGGATCGCGTCTGAAGAATTCTGATGGTGTTCCGATTTGATGTGGTTAGTGTTATGCATGATGGAAAATGTTGATGTTTCAGTGCAAATGTTCAGTCTTTTGTGGGACATATTTTGACACAAAGTACGAGTAGGTTCGCGTGTCGTGTGTTAGGAAAACAAAGGGGGCTGGGGGTTCTTTTACTATTTGTTGAAATATATTATAATATGCAAGATGTAGAAGAAGTGTGGGCTTAAAGCGAATGCCGACATTTCTCCTACACCAGATCTTTAACCATTATGGTTTTTTCTGCATCGAAGATTTGGATTAATAAGTGGGTAGCTACTGTGTGATTTTGCTGCGGAAATCCCCCAAAGATAACCTTTACGTGTATACCTTTTCGTCCAAAAGATGATTTTAAATCAGTCCCATACCCATGATCATTATACCTGGACAGTTAGGAGTTTGTGTCGGTTTTGTTTGAGTTATGAATGTGGTGTTGTGTATAAAGACCAAAAAATGATGATGTTGTATTAGAATGGGGAAATGTGACGATATCATGTCAGACGCAATCCCATAAACATAAAATAAAAAAAAACATGGTAGAGTCACGTGCGTCGACTAGTCAAGTCAGTGTTAGAATGTTATGTATTGCCAGCATCAATGTGACCATCGTACTGCCAGTGTTACCACAGTAAAAATAAAAGAAAAAGTGTTTGTGAGAAAATTGTGAAACGACTAATTCGTTCTTGTATTGTTTTTGAATATACTTATATAGGTGCATCTACATAAGTGTGTGGTGCATTGAACCAGTCAGAGTAAAATTTTCTAGTTAATAAAATAGTAACGTTTAGTTACAACATCGAAAGCATAATTTTCAAAAGCCAAATACATTGTGTGGTTCTTTAGGGACAATGTATAATGTTGCTTTTTTATTTTTTAGCGCTTAGGTGGTGAGGTGAACGAAATATATATACTTATTTCACTTCATAAAGAAGAATACTTTCCCTTTAAATGTGCACTTAACAAATAATTCTATAGTACTGAGATAACCTCCAAAATTTTCGTTATTGACTGTTATATTTGAACTATTTTTCTCTTTCGTTCATCTTGCCACCTGACATACAGTTTGTTTCAAGTATGTTGTCTTGTAGTTGTGTTAGCACATATTGTAGAATAAAATAAAATAAAAGAGAAGTGTATGAGTTTAGATAATTATGTTTAGAACATATAAATGCGATACAACATCGATCTTCAACCATCTAACCTTCTCCGTGTACGCCTTGCCGCGTTTCTTTTATTGAGAGAAAAAAGAAAATTTTGATTAAAATTTTTGTACTCCATTCGTTGAGGTGATTTTGGTGAAAATTTCGAAAATTATAATCTAGATTTTATAAAGAGAAATTTCTTTTACAGAAGATAAACCATGATGTCTTTTCTATGACATCAAAATAGGAACTATGATGATGATTTTACGTATAGCAATTACTATACAAAGAATACAATTTAGAATTATATCCAGCTATTTTAATTTTTTAACGAACAAATGATTAACTCTCAAAAAGATTACATTCTACGATGAACAATAATTTTAGCTGAAAACCTTATAATGAATTTATCTTACCAAAGATTATTCAACCTATAAATCTTTTTCACAAAGTAAAATTACCACTCTGTAGGTACGTCAATGAGAGTAGAAAGAAAGAAAGAAAGAGAAGATATTTACCTCTTCACCCTTCATCCATTTGACCTCGGGTTCAGGTTCACCACCGTATTTGATGTCGAAGGTGATGACCTGGCCCTTCTTGATGATGATGCTTTGGACACCCTCACCAATAATGTAAGGCTTGACTGTAATCAATATTTTAATGATTAGGATCTTATTAATCGTGTGGACCGTTCTAGTAAGTTCCGTCAACATATATCAATTATTGATGTAATCAAAATGGTCTAAAGTCTAAAGTTATGACAGAAACTTAATCTTAATTTCAAGGAAATATAAGTAAGATTGCTCACCAAATCTGCACTTAGCAACAATCGGCTTAGTGGCGTCACTAGGTTCACCAGGTCCAGCCTTGTTGATGGCGCGGACCCTGAACTCGTAAGTGCAGCCTTCCTTGAGGCCATCCTGAGTGGCAGCTAAGCAGTCGCCGGGAACCTCCTTGCCAGTCACCCAGTCCTTGCCGAACTTCTCCTGTAGATTGTGAAGAAAAGATTTTGGATTATTGATACATTAAGTAACGACTTTGTATTTGCTGCGTCATGCAATAATTTTATCACAAAGTAAGTTTTTCTATGCTGGAGCTTTAAAGGTTCGTACCTTGTATTCGATGACGTATCCAGTGATTGGTGCACCACCATCGTTGTCAGGCTTCTGCCATTTAAGGTCTGCGTGGTCTTTGTTCCAGTCGGTAAGTTCCACATTCTTGGGCTTTGATGGTTCATCTAGTGAAGAGACAAATTATTTTAGCATCGTGTTTGCTAGTACGGCTGATACAGATATAGAGAAGAACAATAATATCTTACCCCATGGATCCTTAGCCAATACAGGCTTGCCGAACAGACCAGGTTCACTAGAACCAATCTTGTTAACAGCACGGATCCTAAACTTGTAAGTCTTCTTCGGGATAAGATCTTCTACCTTGTATTTCATTGGCTGGCCAACGGCCACCTCTGATACATTATCCCATCCTGCTTTGAGAGACATGTCCTGGAAGAAAATATTTAATTTAGCACGAGGTATTACAGCGTAGAGCTTTTGAAAGATTATACGAGTAGATCATGTTGTTACCTGTCTCTCAATAACATATTTGATGATGGGTGAACCACCATCGTCCTGCGGCGTCTTCCAGGCGACAACGCAAGAAGTCTGGAAGACTTCTGTGACCTGGACTTCCTGTGGTGGAGTTGGTACGCTCTGCATGGTAATAGTGACATCTTTCGAGTCATCACCCTGGGCGTTGGCCAATTTAATCGTGTATTTGCCGGATTGGTCTCTGCTTGGTTTCTTGATCTTGAATAGGACCTTCTCTTGTTCAACCACTGCCTCGACTTCTTTGGCGGGCAGGGCTTTTCCGTCCTTCCATAGTTTAGCTTCGATTGGTGTCTGCCGGGTGCCAGTAACTAAAAACGAAAGTGGATATTAAGGAACACAGTTCAAATTAATTACAGCTTTAGATATTTTGATATCTATTTTCTGTACTCACTTTTATAGGGCACCTCAATGACGAAAGGCCTGTCATGTGGTCCGCAGAATTCATCCGGACAGTCAATAGTAGGTTTGGATTCACCCTTCTTGACGGTAAGTTTGCAAGAAGAGGACAACTTTCCAGACTCGCAGAGAATTTCACCGTCATCTTCCATCTCCAACTTGTTGAAGATAAGCTGGTGTTTACCACCGCCCAGGTTCTTGATTTCAATTCTGATAAAAATACAAAACCAATAAACATCTTTGACTCTGCAAAAATTAAAACAGCTTTTAAAGACAGGAAGCTTTTTAAGACTTACCTGTCATTAGGCACAATGGGCTGTCCATTGAAAGACCAAACAGCTTCAGCGGTCTGATCCTGCAACTCTACTTCTAGAACAACCTTGTCCCTCTCAATTGCTTCTGTGTCCTTCAACTTCTTGTTGAAGCGATTCGAGTCTGGTGAACAAAAAACCATTTTAAAAAATTCATTCTAGTAAGGAAACGACTGTTTAGATCCGGAACTATTTTCTGTGTGTTGGATCACTTTGTTAAAGTTTAGGTCTAGTTATCTTGAACAATAGACGATTAGAAACAAGCCCATTTTGTGAATTAGGCATTCATTTGTAAGGATGTGCCATAACAATACTATTACAATAATTAATGGGCTGGTGACGCCTTAAATCACTTTGTTTTGTCGAAAATGAATATATCTATTAAAGGATTATCAATACAATATTATGAAGAAGATTCCAACTGTTAAGTTATAATGTTTTAGCAAGTACGTTATGAAAGGAAAGAAATTCATTGTAATCTGAAATTGATTTGATTACCAGAAAAGTTGATGTACTTACAATTGACAATCAATTCGCAAGCAGTTTCATCGGCGTTACTGACGCACTTGAAGTTGCCGGCGTCAGTGACCTTTGCGTCCTTGATCACAACCTTGCGTTTGCGACCCTCCTTCACGATTGAGATACGTTTGTCTGGTTTCAGAGGTTCATTGTTCTTGAACCTGGTGAAGTAATAAAGATTAGTAGTAGTAGATTAGTAACCGAAGAAATAGTTACAAAAGTAAACAGAAGAAGAAACAAGTTACAAGAGACTTTAAATAAGTTTAGTTAACAATCCTTCTTTGAGATTTTGTTGAAAACATATTTCTTACCATTTAACGTCTCCAGATGCATCATCCAGCTCGCAGAGAAGTGTGATCGTGTCTTTCTCTGTAGCTTGCTGAGATTTGAGTACCTTTGTGAACTTGTATGGGTATTCTGGAATTTAAAAATGATTATGGTGAAGGAATATTCTAGGTTCCTTAGTATACTGTAGTAAGAAATACAAATATACTCACCAACAATTTTGACTTCAGTCTCTGTCTTGTCAGGCTGCTTTTCAATCTTACATGTGTATTTTCCAGCATCTTCGAACTTACAGTTCTTGATGACCAGCCTGCAAACTCCAGACAAGTCCTTTGAAATCTGATAAATGTCTCCATCTTCTATTTTCTCTTCTCCCTTCCACCATGAGACGATGGCGAGACTGTTGGAGACGGCACACTCCAACACACATTCGTGTTTCGTGTACCCACTTGTCGTCTTCTTCAGTTGTTTGGTGAAGGTGTATGTAGGGTCTGGTTCATCGACTTGCAAGAAGGCTGTACAAGTGATACCGCCGATTTCAATCGTAATTTTACCAGTATCTTCGACTTTAGGGGCCATGATGATCAGTTTGTATGAGTCTTGTTCATTTGTCATCTTATACTTCGACCCCGGGAACAGTTCCTGTAAAGTAATTGCCATTGAGTAAAGTGGGTACTCCATTTATTACTGTTTCAAAAAAATTGATATTTGAAATAAAATTACTTACATCTTTACGGAAGAACCACTTCGGTTTCGCATTCGGTTTAGTAAAGATAGCTTCGAATGTAACCTTCTTATCCTTGCCTTCTTTCGCGAATTGATCTACGAGGGGCTTCAAGAATGACTCTTGTTTCTGAAAGCAATGCCCAGTGGACATAAATACACCTGGTCTTCCATAAGATGGAAAAGTGCATAACACAAAAATGTGCTCTTCATACAAAAGCTTTGAGTGCTGACCATCAAGAAACCTGCCTTACTCCTCCGCTGTCAACGTCTCGAGCGAACAGTAATTCAAGTGCAAAAAATCAACGAAAACAACTAAACTCGTATGTAGTATCCGAGGCGTTAGAATCGTCAGCCATTCTTTCATCACCGGCACCCACACAATAATGTGAACTCCATGCTATTGTACAGAAATTGGAATTTCTATAGTTCTCTTTTAATAAATGTGCAAAAGTGGGCGTGATTTATTTAAACATTTATCTTAAATAATATACAATTGACCGAACAAAAATGATGAAATTTCCACATTAAACACAGGAATTTACTAATTACTTAAAGAATTACATTCATCATTTTTGAAAGGACTTTTTTTAACACTGGAACATTGACGTCACTGTGCAAATATTGAACCGGTGCGCTGTGCTGCTAGTAAAATATCGACGAAGATGTGCACAGAAGAATTGCTTGAGAAGAGAATAGAAGAATAGAGTACCAAAGATGTGCTGGACTGACTAGTCGGTGACCACGTCGCTGTTGATCAAATAATCTGAAAAAATCATTGAAACATTCCTGCACCAATATCTGCTAAACATTCTTAAATGTTTAATAAACGGTTAGGATAAGTTATTGATATCGTAGTAGAAGAATTTAATATAGTAATAGAGTGGCTATTTACATAACTTACAAGGCTTTAGCTTGTGGTGAGACAGGGATAGAAAGTGTTCAATCTGGTTGGTGTTTTGAAGAATTTTATTGGTTCGTGGTTTGTGCATAGGTTTCGGGTTTCATTTCATTATTTATAGCAGATATTAATGCAAGACTTTCTGTAATAATTCAACCAGATTAAGCGACCATACAGGTTTCCGTGGGACATTGCTGTGCGACAAGTAATTTGCATTTTGTGATATTACACTTCAAGATGCATTGTGTCTAATTTCGTTGCTGTCAAACCTCGTCTTTTTTGAACGAGTGAAGCACCGGCCAATCCGGGATCAGTTCAGCCAGTGACGGTCTTCTATTATGGGATCTCTACAAAATATCCATTCATTCTTAGTGACTTATAATTTACCAATACGTTAACTTCGCGTTGAAGAGGGTGTACATTTAATTGTACAAGGACTACAAGAAGTATATCGTGTCCTATATCAAAATATATACATAAAAAAACATAAATGCTGATTACAACATTGCCATATGCCTCAATTATCATAATCAGCACAATAGACAAAAATTCCAACATCTGCGTAAAACTGGATGCATCAGCTGAAATTGATGAAGTAAATAATGAGGAATATAATTATTTTAATAATAATGACGTGACAGAAGCTCTTCAATCCGACGTCAAAATAGACCTGCAATTTAACATAGTGGACACCAATTCAAAAGTATCAATAGTCATCAAATTCATTCCACTTACATTGCCTGAAATTCATGTTCAAGTTATAGAAACATGAAGAGGTGATACAAAAACCCTTTTGTTAATTTAAAATTCAATTTAATGCACTTCTTTTATTTAAAACGCTCTGGAAGTACTGATTCCAACTAAGACATTTTGGTTAATTATTACTTTTTTTCAGTTTGAAGATTTTGCTTAAATATTTGTAAGTAAGTATTACTTTATTGGTTGTTGGAATCAACAATTTCAGAGGTGTAATTTTTAGTTTAGTTATTTTATCATTCGTGGTTTTAATCTCATTCATTATTTAAAAGGTTGTTTTCTGACCATTCGTAATACACTCATCATCAACTGAACTAGCAACAGCTAACGGTTCTATATTATCCTCTTCATCATCACCAGATTTCAAATGATCAGAAACTACCTCGTTTTATTTATCTTTTTTATCTTTCCTTTTTATCGAACCTTTATTTTGACAGCCTCCATCAATTCGGGCCAATCAGGTATTATTTCAGGTAGAGACATTCGTCTCCTTATGTCATAGATACCCTAGAAGTTTAATAGTTAGGTTACAACAGTGCAACAGCGAATTAACTTGGAATTGATCAAGCTAAGTAATTAGAAAGCAAAATGAAGTGACCGGTGTGAACTGTGGACCATTTTTGGTTAAGTTATTAATTTTTTTCTAATAACATTTAAAAGGATGAGTTGCTTACATAATTGTTGTCGCCACGGACATTGAACCAAGGGAATATTTTAGTGAAATACCATCCAGCCATTTCTCCGTCAATTCAATCACAAAAATTAACTAAAATTTTTTATGTAAACAATACATCATTGTCATCAACTTGACATTTACTAACAATATTATTTTGTTTTTTTAGAATGATGAAATAATTTACTAGTTAAAACCTCTTTAAATGCATGCTCTAATGAATTTATTTTGGTTAATGATTTTTATTTTGAGCCATTCCACATGGGAACCGTTCTTAGGGTTTTCATGCTCAAAATACAATTTATTTCACATTATTTAAATTTTCAACAATTATTTAATTAGACATGAAGGATTCCATTCTGGAAACCAACATTGATACATTAAGTTTTTGTTAGTTTATCGTAAAAGAATACGAGAAACTGGAAATGTAAGATGGAATGAACGATGATGCTATATTTTAAAATACTGATGACCTTGACCCAGGACCAGTTCAAGGAATGCCTCCTTTCAGCTGGGAATCTACCCATCTCGACACCTTCAGATACGACCACAATGAAGCCGTCTTCTTCAAAATATCCAGTTTCTAAGCCCTAAGAATCAAATGTCATGATGCAAAGTGATAAAAGATAATTAAATGTATTAGAGCATTAACATACTAAACAAATCGGCTAAGTTAACAATATTAAATAACTCTAAACAGAGTTACGGAACATATTTTATAGATAAGCTTTTGTGAGACTTCTTTATGCATTGTGATGCTCTTAGCTCTGTGACGAAAATATTTGGAAAGGTTGGAGTTAAATTAGAAATAACAGACAATAAACGAGAATCATCATAATACATTAAGACACTCTCCATCTTAATTTTGGTTAAATACTAATGGGAAGCTGAATAAAACTTATTATCAAGTAACGCAGCTACAAAATGTTCTACTTAAAGAATGCATATATTCCAAGGCATAGAATATACAATATCTATAAGTAAATGGTTATTCACAAATTATGAAACATATTAAAATATTTCTTAGTTCCTTGAACTTCAAACTTGGATATGTATAGCCTGATGGAGCTGTCTCTTTATTTATAATTCGTTTTAAATAGACTACAAGACAATGTAGACGAATATCAGAGCTAATTTCATCCTGATGTATGTGAATATCATTGGCATTTCTATTCTTGGCCAGTATCAAGATCTAATTATGGTCTGCATTGTCTTGCGTCAAATTTTTTAAATATATTTTATTAATATCTTTTTATATAATAGCATTTATATCACCATCTTCTGCAATCCAATGGTTGTTGATTGATATATCAGATTAAGCCTCGAATGTAATTCTAAAATGAAGATACACCTTACCTTTTCCACTTTCTTGAGGGGTGGGATTGGTTTTTCTGTCTCCTTGAGGTCGCCCCAGTCGGGATCCTCCTTCTTTTCACCCCATTTGGCGTACTTCCTCTTCTTAAGCATAGCACGGAAGTCCATACCACTGGCGTCTGTTTAACATTTTGTTATATAACGTAAATATTTTCTGCATCTACTTTAATCAACCTTTTTACTGCTATTTTCTTAATACTTACCGGATACATAAAGCTGCATTTCAGCTGAATCCTCGCCATGGATGTTGCTGACCACAATCTTGTATTTTCCTTCATCGTTAGGCTTGACCTTCCTCATGCAGAGGGTGATGAGACCAGTTTCACCATCGGTGATGAATTTGAAGCGACCACCTTCGATGATCTCACTGACACCCTTATAGAACTTGAACGTAGGTGCTGGGTTGCCTTCAACTTGTACAGTGAGGTAGCCAGTTTGATCTAGTATATTGGATTAGAATCATTCATCAGAAAGGAAAATTGAGGGTATTGCAAAATATTTACAGTCGATTAATATTTTAATGAATACAGAAAACGGAATTTTATTTAAAACTGACCTTCAACTGCGGAGTAACTTTCTTGGACATCGACGATGACCGGTGGACCCTCATTTCCGATAGGTTTGAGAGGTACTGAAGGTTTGTTGATAAGATCTTCAAGATCCTGCACTGACGGCCTTCTGGCGTCTCCGGATTTTCGTCGCTACATCATCAAAGCAATGTGAGTTTCTTTTGTCTTTTTAAATTATTGCTAATGGGTTAATTACTTTAAAATCGACATAAAGGTTGTGGAGTAAATGAACTTTGACTTTTCATGAAAAAAACTAACTATAGATTGAACTGAGAATATACAATATCATTATTTGAGATATTATCATGAAATGATGACTATAAATTATTGAAATTATCTATAAGTTAAAGTCCATTTACTTCACAATGGTTTATAGTATTGAAGTCATTAAGAGACAAATAAATGAAAAGGGAGTATTATCAACAATGACAAATTATTTTCTCAATCTCAGAGATTTGATTGACATTAATATCCATTATTATATTCACCACAAACTAACTAGCTTAATTAATGAAGTTCAAGAAAAGGACGTTATAAAACAAAATTTATTTCAATACGGTGAACATAATACAGATTACAGTAATCATCAAAGGTCATTAAAACGTTCTGTAAATGATATAATCCAGCTCGATATAGATTGAAAAATTGCTTCGTTGGTAACTAGTCGGTAAAATGGATGATACATTAGAATGTTATGACAGTTGTAGTACATTATGAGCGCTAGCCAAATGACCTGACAATGATTTGGACTTCCTGATGTATGTAGCGCAAGTGCACACATATAATATGTCTTCACCGTTTTCTGTTAAATGCTAAAGTTTATCATATTTCATCCTTAATAGGAACATCGTCTATCACGTCCCCGATTTGGCTAGTTAGATTAGTATTTTTGGCATCAATCAGCAATTGAGATTTTATCAGATTAGCTTTGTCATCAATAACTTGTATATTATCCCTGTGTTCAACAACCACACTTGTGACTACTAAATCTATAAGACCATCAACATGTTTATTATTGACAATGTTATCCTTTCTAACAAGATTTACTGTTTGATCACAATCTATCAAAGTTGTGCCAACATTACTTTTAGCTTCATTGTTGCATTGAATGAAAACAAACTTATATTATGGCTGTCTAGTAAAAAGTGTCTCATTTGATTCTTCATTGAAATGAAATTCTATATCGTGTAATGTAAAATTCTAATTATTTTCTGTTGTGCTATGAATGTAAAACTTTGCATGGTTCTCATAAATTATAAGATAATATGATTGATTCACCTATATTCAAATTAATGGATACCGTATCATCGATTAGTAGGAATTTAGCATATTGTGACTTCTCTGACTGCTGGCTTTAACACCTCTGCTCCACAGTCGCATTAACGATTACCAACCAAAGAATTGATTTCTTTGACTCAGATGACGAAACATAAAACCCATCACGAACTTTGAAATGTATTTCATGATTGTACTAATAAGTTACCTATCTAGAACAAAGATTTATAGCCTACGCAACGGTGTATTTGCTTCAGCTAAAATTGACGCAAGTAGGCGTTAAAATATGAATTCCTCGGAATGCATTTGATTTAAATGAAATAATTAACAGGTGTATCGTAATAACTGATTTATGACGACATAACGGGAGCTTCGTAATTTAGGATTGCGTCAAAATAATCTTAATGGATATGCTTACCAACCGTAGAATTACGTGGGTTAGGAAATTGTATATGAAGGTTTTGCAGTTATTGAAGTATTTTTTAAACTAGATCCGTACTTATGTACGTCATAATTATATGGCTATAGTCACTTTCGGAACTATTTAATGACCTCTGAATGAGACAAGATATTTAGAAACATTGAACAAAAACAGTATTATACTTACCGGGTCACCCGTAGGTTTGGGTTTAGGTAAACTAGCAACCGGTTTTTTAGCAACCGCTGCCATTGTTAATCACATTAATCACTTTGATGCCACAAAACTATCGAATCTCTCGTAAAATAATATAAAAAGCAATAGTCTATAATTACATCACACTATATCACAGCTTAAGTTTATGCTTACACATGATTACTTTAAACACTTAAAACTATTTTCAAAAGAATCAAAAGTTTCAAAAGTTCCTTCCTTTCATTCGGATCATCCATATTTACGGAAAAAAAGCTTACAATTAAATGCTATACAATTATTTTTTAAGATTAAAAGTGTTACACCTTGATATTTTCTTGTATTATTTTGGAGTCGTTTAGTGAAATTTCGATTTGGGGCAGTTCGTTAGTCGTTCCATGTAAAAATGGGCGCGAATGTCAAAAGACTGAAGAAGGGGTCGTGTAGACATGGTCGCCTGGCAATGGTGGGGCGCGGGGGCGGTGGGCGGCTATTTGTGCACAGCACAAATCAGCAGACCAATACAATTAATTATCAGATTAAGGTGAGCCATCCATGCAGCTTGTTCTTGAACGTCGTTGCTAATATACGCAATAATACACATGAAGTTATCGCCGACGATCTGCCATGTTTCGTCGATGTTTGGCTTTGAACCTCGGAAGCTCTCGGTTACGGTTCAATGATTAATTGTCAGCATTTTTCTTAAATTGACACCTGCAATTAAGGTCAATGGGTTTTTGTTGACCTACTGTGGATGACTCTAACTTTTGGCTTGTCTATAACAGTTGTACTGACGGTAGTGTGACGTCGACGTCGGTCAATATTAAAACAATCAGTTGTATGTCGCAGCCAAACAGCAGTTGTCTCGAGGAGACAAACTGTGTGCGCGTGTTTGTCTAGATTAATAAATAATATAAGATTGAGGGGTTGCGCAAGAGGATCGAAAGATTGATTGGCACCCTCGTATTAATGCATTCTGTTCACATCATTGCCATAGTTGGCAAGTGAGCCGGTGTCGAGAGCGCCTGCATTACTGTCGAGCCGACAAATTTTGAACGGCAGTCTGAATGTTACCTGTTGATTTGGTTCTCTTGTTCCGTGATGTTTATAATTTGTGTTTTTGCTTTTGGTAAATCGATAATGTTGATTTTACATACACATTATTTTCAATATGAACATTTACTACGTACGAATTTTCGTCATTCATACCACGACTCCTTTGCTATGCGATCCTTTAATACATCTAATCTAATATAATAAGATCTTTAGTAAATTCTAACGAGTCATGGTAACTTGTCTCGTCAAATTAATTTGAGGAACTAACTGCCAAATATATCGGCATCATCATCATTGCCAAATTTTTCCGATGGAACGGTATTGTCAGAGCTCAGTATTCAGTCGCCCGTGACAAGCCCACGCGCATTTTAGGTATTTCCTATATGACCATTATGTCAATCAAAGATCCGTTTTATTTCTATTTGTGGACTGTCCTTGCTTGTATTTATAGCCACGTTAATTGTGTTTAGTGTTGTCAACATTGTTTTGTTATCAAATATGTTAACATAATCAATAAAATTTTCAACGTTGTCAGTTTTAATAAAATTGCTAGCTGAACGCACTGTTTCGATCTTCATCCCTTTCATTTACTTGTGTGTGTTGCTTTTGTGGTATGTATTGTAATTTTCATAATAAACTGTATGGCCCTAATCAGCCTGGTCTACAATTATCCCTTAACTAGTCTAGAATTGTTCCTTTCTGTTAACTCAAGAGCTTCTATCAATATCTGAATCTATTTTTAGACATTTTAATGCACATTCAAATTGTCATTACATTGCCACAATTATAATTAACGATACCATTAAAGCAATCAATCTTTCTCGTTCTATTTTAGGTGTGAACAATGGTGCTACTAATCAATATCGAGACGTATATCTTTTTAACAATAGACGACGTACATAATTCAGAAGTGCTGGCAACTTGAGGCAGTTAAGGGTGAGAATATTTCAAGATCAGTGGACTTGCTCTTGGCCTAATTACTCTAGTCATATTTATACAAATAACAATCAATCATAACGACGAGCGTACGTGCGTCCTGGCGCACGATTGGTGCTCACTTTTGCTTCATTAAACCCGTCCGCGCCATCTGCATTTACGTTATCACAAGTAACAGGTGCGTTTTCTTTATTAATTGCTTTTGCTTTTGTTTCTTTTGCTTTGTTATTAACTTCTTCTGTAATGTTTACTTTTGTATTAACTTTCAAATTTTTTCCATGATCTATATTGGTATTTCTATCTGTTTTATTCTTAGTCTTACCATGTTGAGTACGTAACTTGGAACTTAGGTATTCATCTTACATCTCTATGTTCCACCTACGTAGTTTTATATTTGAACTTCGACGTATCAAAAGTGCCGTGAGTTAATGCATTTCCTATGTCCCTTATGAGTCACAAAGTTGACATTATTATCGCCTTATTTGCGTCATAGAAACAGAAATGTTGGCTCCAAACTAAATTCATTAGTAATTATAGAATCTTTGTTTAGCTACCGTTTCTATATATTTCATTCGTATAATTAATGTTTTATATAATTCGAAACTGTGTTCTGTGATGTTTACATTGAATTTAAAATCTCCGAGGCATTTTGTGGCATCTTTATGATTATTAGAAGTGCGAGTAACATCTATGATAAAATTTATTGTTATAGACTTTGTAGTAACTGGTGGAAATTATTTAAGCTTTTTTCAAGGTCATCATAGATGTTGCTCTGGCATTATGTGATATTTTTACTGTTATTAAGTGCTGAAGCAATATATTGTAGGTTTCCATGCAATTACACAATACCGCAATAAATATCATTGCCGCACGCCATTAATTCAGCTTTTATTATCACGTTAAGTTTAATAAAATTGTTAATTTATTCGTTACTAATGCGTGCGTTGTTTTAAACGCATTTTATTACGTGTTAAATACAGTTTTGTCGAAAACGATAAATACAATGGCTTTTGTTACACATTTTTCTAATTTTAGCTGATGCCATCTATTTATCAAGTTCGATAAATTAATTTTCTTTTTAAAATTTTCGATTTTAATAGGATACATGCATAGATTTTAAATGTCTGTTACATTTTGAATTTATTTTCTTATTAAACATTTAATATAATGTTAGAATGACAAGGTGTTAGTAGCACTGGCTCTAATTTATTGACAAAACATATATAGGATTTCCGGATCGAAATATAACATATAAATGAAGGTTTTCTCGTTTATGCCGTTTGTTGTGGCATGGAGATTATTTACGGACGAATGAAAAATTATTCACTTGGAAAAAATAACATTAATCACTTTGAAAATGTCTATGTTAGCCACGAATCTATATTTTTCTATAACATGTAGTCTAAACAGATAGTTTTTCACACTTTTATATACCTCTTCGGAGAGTTCACCCGGCCTGGCGCGTTTCTTTTTTGGAAAAAAAGTATCAGTTTTAGTAAAACATTCTCTGTTATATGTGCTCATTATTATAAATTTCTGTACATATTGAGTGCTTATAAGTTAATTTATGTGTTTCTGTCCTCGTGTATGATGTAGTAGTGTCAGATGTGCATGTGTTAGTGTGTAGTGTGAATCTGTCTGTGCATCATTAATATAATTATAAAATTATTTCTTAAAGTAATTAGTTTTTACCACTATTAAGAGTATTCTCGAAGCATTTACATGTTTCGCGTACATTCAGTATGCTATGCGAGTCAGTAAAGTATTGTTTTATTATATTGTAGCTTAAATATAAGTGAGAATAAAATGTATAGTGCGTTTAGAAAATGATTAGTGGAAAACTAAAAAATAAAATTAATTATTGGAAAAGCCATTCTAAAAGTAATCTAAAAAGCTTTGTTGATGGGGAAAACAATTCTGTATTTAAAATTGAAACAAATGAATGAAGATTTTAAGTCTAATTTTGACAATCCCCATTCATTCAGCCACAAATTGTGTCATAAATATTGCTTTCTGATCTTTTCTGTAGCTCGGTTCCCCCATAACATTAAAAAAGATAAAACCCAGCGATGCTCTGTCACATCGTAAACCCGCTGGTCGGCAAAGCGGTCTCTAGATCTAATTCTAAATAGAACATCTAAAAAGAAAAAGATTTGTAAAAGAGTGGACATTGTAGAGGTAGCGACTAAAAGGGACTAAAAGTAGCTATTTGGAAACTATTGAAGACGCTAGTTTTTGAAAAGGGAAAAAACAATGTAATGTGAATGGAAGGAAGATTGTGTGTTTTGTCTTTTTGATTTTTTTTTTGACAAAAACCAATTGTTCGCTTGGACTCATACTGTCCAGCAATGTATTTGAGGGGATGGGGGACATGAATTGATGTTTTCGTAATTCTAAAGTGGTAAAAAAACTAATTGTCACAATATCTTCCCTGTAAAAAACTTATTTCTATTTAAACTTAACAGTAAAGGTCGTCCGTGTAAATGTATGTAACAATAGAAGAAAAATAATATTAAAAAAAGACAAAAAGTGCTTTGCAAAAGCGAGCAGCGACCACCTAAAACTGACCAGATCCAATCGGTCTCACCTTTTTCTCGTCTAATACTTCGCCGGGACGTAATTTCTTGACCTGTTGTTTAAAAAACATTGATAATCCCATATGTAATATGTACCCTAAGGACCTAAGTCTCCGCTGCCGAACCTGGGCTACTTGGCTAACCTATCTTTAGTTCATTATTATTGGGTGCAATGTCCTAGCGAGCTTGTGCAATAGTTATTACATTACTGTTTGCATCACCTTCGTGTTAATCGTTCATGTTAGTGTCCGTATTCATTATTGTAATGTGTAAAAAAGCCTCTTTAGGCACACCATTCCTGTAAAAAATATTGTCGACCACGACCAATCTCTGACCATTATTTCGTGTGCGTAACGTGCTAACAAGCTGTGCAGTTTATCTGTGTGTGCGTACTCCACAAATTTGTGCATTTTAGCTCTGTGCTCTGGACGACAAAACGTTTCTTAGACAGATATAACCTGGATAATTACATTAACCAATGCTTACAACGGTTGTATTCTAAATATTTTTCCAAGGCTCATGTGATTATCCAGTATTACGTGTGAAACAGTGTTTTAAACCGCGTCAGATGCAAATGCATTAATAGTACCGTATACAGATATAGTTAAGAATTTGTCACGGCAATATAACATTCATTTAGAATTCTTAGCGTTTTATCTTTTACCTTCTTTTCTTCGATCACCTCACCGGGTCTTAGTTTTCTATTCTCCTGTGGATTATGTTTTGCACGGTCTTAATATCGCTACAATCACGATTTAATATCATTGTTTTCAAAAGTATCTGCTGTGACTTTGCTATATTCTGTTTAATCTAGAAGCAAGGATTTATGGATCTAAGCTCCACTCCACTGTAAACCAACTCATTCTCTATGATCCTCTGCTAAAGCGTTCGTGGTACAAGCATCATCTCTCTTAGACGATTATGAATAATGTCTTTCTGAAGGGTCTATGCATTCGTGTTATGGGTTCGGCTTGAGAGAATAGGGTCTATACTACTAGGGGCTAAAATTACTTTGTGAAAAGACGCCAACATCCGTGTAAATCACTCGTTGATTGCAGATATCACGCGATTGGTTAGAAAGTACCATGCTTCAAAGTTGCACTTTTTGATACAAATGCAGCTAAATGTGAGAGAAATTCATGATGCTCATCAAATATTGGTAGTCTGGTTGAAAGTCATGAAACTACAATTGATTCTTTTGTGTCTGAATTGACAAATAATGTTTCAATCGTTGATTTCAAAAAAAACCAGAATACCATTAAAATAAAGTGCAAAATGCTAATTGTGACTCAAACGCAAATGTGCTTTCAGCCGTAAAGCTTGCATTTTCAAAGAGTGATTCCGATGCCAGCGCTTCATAGGAATTGTAACATGTCTAGGACTAAGACGGCACAATTGTACATTTAGGTCTACAAAACTTCATACCTTTACTGAAAATGGAGACATTTCGTGTCCAAATACAAAAACATTACAAAATAAATCTAATAAATACTTATTGCTAAGATAAAGTGCAATGTTACATACCTCGTCACTGATGATAAGGGAAGGACGTCTTCCCATCTCCTCTGGAGGAGGAATGAGGGAACCACGTCTACCGACTGGTGCACCAGGTACAAGTGAGGGTTTCCTTGGCATTTCTGGTTTCGGTGACTTCTCACGGATGACTTCGATCTTAGGTGCCGCAGGCTTCTCCTCTGGAGCCTTGATTTCAGGCACCTTTGGCACAGGCTGCTTAGGATCAAGTAATATCATTATTAATACTAAGATGTATAAGGTCATCCTTCAAAAGTTTTTCTCCCAATAAGATATACGTTACCTTGTCTGGTTTGTCCTTGGTTGATGGCGTGAAGTCCATCTTTTCGAATTTCTCAAGTTCAGGTCGGTCGTAATCAGCAATTTCAGGCAGATCCTCAGCCTTCTTCTTGACTGATGTGACCTTGGCCTTCTTAGCTTCTTCTTCAACCTTCTCTTCCTTAACGGCGACTTTCTGTAAGTCAAATATTTATTTAATATCGAAATATTAATTAATGTTTTCTTCAATAAATTGTTGAAAGAACAAAGAAAGTACAGTAAAGAAACTATTTACCTAATAAATGACTCATTTTGAAAAGTAATTAATTAATTAATTGAATAACTAAAGGAATATACTCGGAATGTTTAAAATAACTAATCCATAGTTCGCGAAAATTTAAACGAAGAAAAATGTTTACGCCCGCGCGGTCTACTGCCCTTCACAAAAATGCTCATAAAAACGAAACTAAAGCACTTATATTTGTTTTGTAACAGATGTTATATTCTTGGACACTTTTCCTGTTGCTGTACCTAAAAATAATGGCCCCACTGAAAGCTCAACTATTTGATTTCAGATCTAGATGTTACGTAACTTACCGTCGAAAATAGTTTGGTAAAAGTGATAGGTAAAATTTAAATTAAAAACAAAATGACAAGTTGTTAAAACTAGATTCTAGATTGAGCCTCGAGACATCAATGTCCAGAATAATAACGTGTAAATTTAAAATAATACATACTTACCGTAACGCTAGAAACATGAAATAATACATTTAAACATTGAAGTGTTTTAAAAGCTGAAGCGGAAGCAGGAAATGTGAGGAAACTACATCATGCTTCTATTAATTTAGAGTAATAGGTGCTTGGTTATAACTCGCAAACATTGCTTTACAAATTGTTACACTAAATACGAGACTACTATGTGCATCTATATATACATATTTACAGTCAAAACTGCTCTCTGGAATACTTCAAGGAAATCTACAAAGAATAGTGAATTGTCGACTACAAAAGAACTACTAAACAATGCAACTAATTCTACATCTACTAGATCTAGAAGATTCTACGACAGTTGTGCAGTTTGACGAACTCTAAGTGCTTGTGCTTGTGCATCTACCACTCCTGTAGACATTATCATTGTGCATTGTGCAAATATCCTGTGCATACACTGTGAGTGCTCATGTATACCTCTTCAGGCGTCTGAGGTTGGCTGCTATAAGCGGGCTGTGGTAATTCAATAGCTTGCATACTTTCATCTTTGCCTTCAGTTGTTTCAGCCTATACAGTAAATTTTATTATTGGCGACCGTACGATGTGTACGAATTTTGCATTGCAAGCAGTTGATGACGTATTTTCATAGCAAACTCATGTTGACTCATTAAATGGAACTTATTGTTTGTTATGAAAACGTGTCATCTAATTTCGAATTCATTTGGCCAATCTTATTATGCAAAATCCTGGTGCTGAATGAATGTGTGCGTGTCTGTTTAAGCGATGAATGTGTTGGTGATCTGTGTGTGTACCTGAGGGGACTTAGCCCTGCGCCAGGGAGCGGTTGGCTCCGGTGTCTCAAGTAATGTTGGTTTGTATTTGTCTTCTAATTCTGGGGTTTGTTCAGCCTGATCATCAAAGTGTTTAGTTACTACCGATTCTTTATTTGTATAATTTATTCCATTTACTATAGTTTTAATTTCTACCTGTGGTATTTCAGGAATGACCTGCCAAGAGAATGGAACCACTGGGGGTTCTTCTTTCTTTTCCGGTTCTGGAGTTTCTATTGACGGTACCTGATGATATATTCAAGATTTTATGGTTTGCCAAATGTGAGTATTCACTTTGATGTTATTAATATTTATTTGATGTGAGTTTTTGTGCAGTTTATTGTATAGTGTGCGTGAGTAAGTGTGAGTGTATGTAGCGTGTGTTACCTCTAAGTGTTGTTTTCTCCAAGGGTATCGTGTTTCTGTCAATTTTGGTGATTCTAGTGGTTTCTGTACTTTACTATCGTCGTCCTAACAAAATAATATTATTTTAGTTACAAAACTATGATATAATCAATATTTTTATAACGAAATGTATTTTATAATACCTTTGGTAATTTAGAACTTTCTTCTATAGATTTCTTTTTATTCTCGTCTGGTTTTTTGGATACTTCAAGTTCCTAAAGAACATTTACAAAATTAGAATCAGAATTTCCTACAGTTGAAACTACTATATCAGTTTAGTTTAATATGACTATATTTTTCTGATTATCTACCTTTGTTTTTTGAGTAATATCCTTTAGTAGTTCCGAAGGTGTTTTTAGAGATTCAGGCGTCTAAAATAAATTATTTTAATTAGCTATTACTATATAAAGTATTAAATTATTTTCAATATAACGATATTGTACAAGAAAATACCTTTGGTTCAAGTGTACCATTCTTGACTGGTTCCACGAAAGGTTCTGATAACTTTTGTTTAGGTTCTGGCTCCTAAGAAATATTTAATTTTTTTTTTATTAAATTGGTTCTTGATGAAAAGATCAGTTAAATCTAAATTACTATGAACTACCTTTGCTTTATCCTTTGGTGTTTCAACTGTAGGCTCAGAAGGCTTTCGTTTTGGTGTTTCAGGTTCTGTTTCCTTTTTAGGCTCAACAGTTGAATTATTACGTTTCTTTAAGAATTCAGGAGGTTCCTAAGAAATAGATTTAGCTTTATAATTATCTAGACTTAGAGTTTGTTTATTTCCATCACCTCTAGTTTTGTGTTGTCTGTATGTGTGTGTGTACTAGGAAATGTTGGTGTTGTGTATGTGATGAGTGAATGTGTGACCTACCTCTAAATTATTGGACTTCCTTCTCATGAAGAAAGGTGTCTGTGTGGGTTTCAATTGTTTGTCTGTTTGTGTTTTCTGTGTATCATCAGGTTCCTAAGGCAATTATAGAATGAGGATTATAATTGTTCTGTGTTTTATAATTTTATGTTTTAAAGTATTTGTGTTATCTACCTTGGATTTTGGTTCGTCTTTAGCTGGTTCTGGCTCTGGATTTTTAGCCGCAGGTTCCTAATGAAATTTGAGTTATGTCAGTGTTTCTTGTATTAAAGGTTTATGAGTATAATATTTTAAAATGTTCTCGTTTAACAAAGAAACCCGAAAAGTTATTCCGACGAACGAACCACAACGCATGCTTTTCTATATAAAATTAATTGAAATTTCTGTTTAGGAAATTGACCTGGATCTTTACTTTCTAAAATAATATTAACCATTACCTAATTCAAGCAAAATAGGAGCACCGTTCCCCTTTTCGAATTTCTTTATTAAAATGATACCTAAATAGTTTATTAAAGAAATCTAAAGAAATATACCTCCGATTTACTTGGTCTGCGCCAAGGATAATCAGATTCCTTCGATTTATCCGTCAACAAATTATCTTTAGGCTTTTCTGGTTCTTTCGAATCTTTCTTATCCTGTTAAAAACATTTATTGTCAATTTTAATCATACTTTTTCTAAACATATTGAATTAAGATGAATTATAATATCTACCTCTTCAACTTTACTTTGTTTGCGCCAAGGATAAGGAGATTCTCTACCCTCATCAACTGGCTTTTTGGTTTCTTCAGGAGCTTCAGGAACAAGTGTATCCTATCCAACATTTTATAAATTTATATTTTTAGCAATACTATTTATTTCATGTTTAATTTTATTTAAAATTTTATCTACCTGTAAGTCAACGCTAGGTTTGCGCCAAGGGTAAGTAGGTTCTGATGGTCTGTCAACCGATACCCGACGTCTAGGCACAAATGGTTCATCGTCTATTACCATTGGCTGTTGGTCATCCTGTATTTCATCATGAATAATGTCAATACAAGTTTTGAATGAGATAATAAATAGTAAAATTGTGTGAGGTCTAATTTCAAACTAGTCTTGCTTACTTTTTAACTGTAATTCATAAGAATGTTTAAATCAAGTGTAACAAACTGCATGTTTTGTCCCACGTAAAATATAAAATCTCAATTGCAATATGAATAGGATTTGCTAAATTTTCTAATGTATCTTCTTATGGTATTTTAAGTTTATTTACATTAGACACAGTTTAATGAAATTAAACCTTAAAGGAATGATTAAGAACAGGTTCTACCTCATCTACATGACTAGGACGACGCCATGGATAAGTCGGTTCTGTAGGCCTATCAATTGAAGGCTTCCTCTTAACCTCTGTCTTTTGCGATTCTACCTGATCCTGTTCCAAATATTTATATATTAATTGGGATCTATTATATAAAATTTCTTAAAATAAGGTATTAAGTTTGGAAAGTATGTAAATACCTCATCAGCATTACTAGGCTTACGCCACGGATAAGTAGGTTCGGTGGGACGATCAATTGAAACCTTTCGTTTATTTTGGTTTTCTGTGATTTCGGTATCAATATTTTCCTTATCCTGTATTAAAATGTTTTGATTATTATTAAGAGAACTATCGTCGGTTGTAAGAAAATCTATATTAAATGCTTTATTAAGTGTAATATCTACCTCGTCAATGTTATTCGGCTTTCTTTTAGGCTCAGTAGGTTTATCAACTGATGCCTTTCTTTTACTATCAGTCTTATCAACCTTCTCAGGTTTCTTCTTATTTTCTTTATCCTGTCATTGATGAAATTTTTCATTAAATATGTAAAATCCTATTATTCAATAAAAGTTATTAAGGTAAATTATTTTATGAATGTAAATTTAATTCAATCTACCTCATCAGGTTTGCTGGGTCGACGTCTAATCGGTTCTTTAGGCTTATCAACAGAAGCTTTACGTTTAGTCTCAGTTTTTTCCTCAACCTCTTCGATATCTTCAGTGTCCTGTTCGATAACCTTTTAATTAATATTTTTTGTCTAAGAAAATTTTAGTTATAATTATTTTATCTAATTATATGCTTGAATAATTTACCTCAGTATCGTTTTCACGACGTTTTGGTACTGATGTATCGGTAGGCTTCTTTAAGCTATCCTTACGTTTTGGTTCCTCAGTTTTAGTAGGTTCCTACATAATATACGCAAATAAATCAGTACGCTTATTTAATTTGATATTAATGTATGTGTGTGTGTATGTGTATGAATGTATGTATATACCTGAGTGTCTGTTTTCGTAGGTCGCCAGGGATATGTTTTATCTGAAGGCTTATCAGTCGTTACCGTATCTTCTACGTTCCCTTTCACTTCCTATTTACAAAAATAAATCGTTCAGTATCTTGCACGAGTACTATATTATTGACGTCCCTTCGTAAAGTAGTAACAACATTTTATACAATTATGTTATTATCCACGTAGTTATTTACTGACACACAATAATCAAACAATCGTCTGTTGATCGTTTGAAGTTCAAAAGAATTTGTATGTACAAAAGACAAAATAATGACATTTATTTTTTCCATAGTTTTGAAACTTGTATTTGTTCTATGGACATGCATGATGCTTAACATGAAACTTACCTTAAGTTTAACTTGTTCCATTTCGGCCGCTTCTGCCACCTTTAGTGTGCTCTAAAATGACAAGTTAATGAGGATATGATTAAGCGGGAGTAGGGGTTGCTTAACACCATGGCTTTTAAGCCAGCCTCTTCGGCATTTTGGATTCAACAGACATATTGTTGAATTCTATATACAAAACATTGCCAATCTTGTTTTTGGTTGGAAAGGAATTATAGTCTACAACATCTTTAAAATCAACTCCAGTCTCATTATCTAGCTACTTAAGCTTAGGGGTATTTGCAGTATATTGTCTTACTACTAAAAGCATGGTAGGATCAGCATTAACTCTTACTTCTAAGACACTCGGGGTATCTACAGTGTCTACTTTAAAAACTACACTTTAGGAACTTTGCTCAGCTGCAGGGGTATTGCTTAGCTACAATTTCTTTCACTTTAATGATGACCATCCGTCATTGGTAATTTCTCATGAAGATATTTGATGATCCTATTAAAATTCTGATCAATATTATCTGTGTTTAGTCTATGACTTACCTTTTGAGCTGTCTTCTTCAAAGCAGTAACTTCTTGTTGTTCAGCGACAGATGAAATTGATGATTTTCTGCTTTCTGCAGTTTCCTTTGTAAGTTGCTGTTGCGATAGAATTAATTGTAAATTAATATTGTATTGATATTTTACCTATGTAGTTAAAGTAAATTTATTCTCATTTATGTTAAATTGTGATTACTTTAATTAAATGACGACCAAAATCACACGCTAAATGTTATTTTGGATCTTAAGACATCATTACATTTTGTTTTCATATAATAATTCTATATTTTTGGAAAACTAAGTTTCTATATACATTCGAATGCTTCAGATCTTTTTATTTCTTACCTTAACAGCTTTGTTCTCAATGATGGAGCTTCGACGGCTCTCCGATTTGGTTTCTTCTTTGACCTAAAGAATACAATATTCATAATACATTAGTAGTTCAAAAGCACATTTTTTCGATATAATAGCAGATAATGCAGACTTCATAACAAACAATTGAAATTATCCATTGATTTGCTAGCAAAATTAAGCATTGCTTTAGATAATACAAACCTCGCTTTGGAACGATGTCCTTCGGCTTTCGGTCTAAAGGAAACAAAACAACATCTCTTATTAGCACAGAAATAACTTCGGGATAGTACGTGATACAAGACAAAAAAATGTACAGATGACAATAAAAAGGACAAAATGGACGAACAGAGGATTATCAACAACAATATTTACAAATGGAAATAAACGCCAAATGGAAATAAATTAAGGACGATTCAGGGGTTTATTACACACATTTGTTTTGTAAAACATGTAACAAAATGATTAGAACACAATTGATTGGATTTACCACTGTGTGATTGTAATGTGAATTTTGAAAAAAATACAGATGTACATACATATTATACCTCTACTGTAGTACTTAACTCGTCGAGTACCGGTTTTGTAGACACAATTATAGAACAATAGGTTGCGGTCACCGGTGACCGCTTGGTGTTTGACAGTTTAATTATGTGTTCAATATTTTGAATTTTGAAAACAAATTAGGTCACTTAGAGCATTTATACGAAACAAATTGTGACAATACACGAGTTAAAATACAAATTGGATCAATTTTGAGTCCAGGAATATTGTTGTAAAAGTGCCAAAAGGTTTGTGGAGTGTTTCGTTTCTGTTTGACTGTAGTGGTAAACATTTGAACAGACAGGGTTCACTCTCATACATGTACGTTTTATACCTTTACTTCAAGATGGTGAGCTTGTTGGGCGATCATCGTCACCTGTTTTATTCAAACATACTTTATCATGATCAATCCATAACCGTACTTATTTCTTACAAGTTAGAATTTACTTTGCGCTACTGTAGTCTCTATAATATTTTGAATTGCTTACCTTAGTTGCTTCCTTTTCTTTCTTCTCCCGTACTGTGGGAGTAGGTGTAATCTTTTCGTACTTTTCAAGTACTGGTCTTTCGTAGTCATCGACAAAGTCGAGTTCAATCTGTAATATTTAAAGTTGCATTAGTATCTTGCCAGTCCATAATCAGCTTTTCTATACTTGCCTCATTTTACTTTGGTTTGGTGGTCTTGAAGTTTTGATATTGAATTTCGATTTTAATGACACATAAATTGGAACATAGAAGCTTTAAATTTTACACATACAAACAAATAAACAAATAAACAAAGAAGAAAATTTAATACGTCTGCATACTTGTAATAATTTAAAAGTTTTTGGCAATGAGAAAGAAATTAGTAGAACTATTTATGTGACAATTGCATTGGTGCGTGAAGACTACGAAATAAACTACATCTCGTACAAGGCAAGTAAAAACATAAAGATATCTAAATTGCCTCGTCCAAAGACCAGTAGCAAACGTATTAGATAAACCTGTAAAAGAAACTACATATAAAGCGTATTACAAGCAGCATGCGATCTGCAACCAAACCTTTGTACAACGACGTAGAACCCATAACTCCTTGAAATCTAGAACAGGGTGTAGTGAGGCATGTGCCAACAAGTTTGTGCAGTTGTGATTAGTTGTGGACTAAGGTCTGTGCTTGAAACTGGACATAACAAGAAGTGTAACAGATTGCAGATAGACAGAAAGAGATAGAAAGTGGACGTCACGAAGTATAACTTTTGAAACAGATTTTACCACCGGATCTTTGGGTTTAAAGACAAGTTCGTCATCGTCACTCTCTTGCTCAGCGACAACAGCACGTTTAGGCTGTTCTGTTGGCTTCTTAACAACTGTTTTCTTGAGCTGGGGTTTCTCAAATTTACCACCTTTTACTACGATTGGGTCCTAAAGAATTAATTAATGTTTAATGGATAATCTACAACAAAAGCGCAGTTTGAGGTGCACAACTATTGCATTAGTGTGTACTTTGTTGAAAACTGTGGAAATACTCGCATGCTACAGTGGACTTCCTCTCAATCATTAATTATTTTAAGAAGACTAATAGATTTAAGAGATGCTAAAGTAATTTCATTTACTTCGCAAGATTTTATAGAAGAAGAGATATGGTCGTTTGACCGTAACACTACATTAACTGTCTCAGAAGGTGTAGTGGTACGGAAATAGATCAAGAGAGTATCCATTGTATTAGACTAACTACAAAACATTAGTGTATGTTTTCTAACTATCTCAGTATACGTCTAGCTAGAACTATAAAAAAGACTACAACAACAGTTTCAGTAGTCTATCTACATTGCACTTAAGCGTGGTCCTCTCTACCTGATCCTCGTCTTCCTTATCCTTTTTAACGACAGCAGGTTTTTTGACTTTCAACTGTGCTGCCTCAGTACCCTCCTATGGATTTTTATATTATTGCATTTTAAAATATGGACCAGAAACGTCACCTTATAGTTAATTTGTAACATAAATTATAGGCCGATGACTTGTTCAGGTCACAGGATATGTTCCACATATTTAATGTATCATTTTTCACTAGTAGTATTTTTGGGAAAAATGGAATAGAAGGCCAGTCCATTGTCTGGGTACAATTGTAGACTCATTGGTATTACAGAGTTTTACTTATCAAGAAATTAGAAATTCGAAAATTCAAATAATATTTGTTGCCTCGAGGATCGAACTCGAGACTCTTTGCTTACCAATTGCAACTTGCGAGTTTCTTTGGAACTATTTTAATTTTTTGCTAAAATATGCTTCGGTTTTACCAGAATTGTTTGTCGAATACAAAACGTAGAATGCTGTGATAAAATAATAAGTGAACAAGTACATAATCACAATAATTAAATATTTGGAAATCACTGAGATAATTAAAAAGAGTACTATAAGTGACTGTACCGTTAGCTTTCTCCTAGCAGGTGTCTTTTGTGTAAGTTGTGCTTCTTCAGGAGCAGTGGTGCTTGTCTTAGGTTTGGTTATACTGACAGCTTCTTCAGTGTCCTCAGGCTACCCACCAAACACATTTGTATTATACATCTCATTGACATGTTAGTTCAAAGTGATTATATCTTTCTCAGAGCCGATCCTATCACTTCAAACCAAACCATTCAATCAAGTGATAGAATCATCTCTTTTTCTAAAAAAACTTAACTATTTGTTTCAAATTCTTAGTACAAAAATAAGTGTTCAGTGAAATTGTGTCATGTGCCTAAATTACATTCCAATACATAGTGGTTTTAAATTAAAATAAAGTGCGTTTTTCTATTTCATTGTTGCAATCTTTTATGGTACCTTAACTAGAATTAATATTCGCTTTAAAACTGTAGGAGCACCATTATCACTTGATAACGGTGGAATATTAGTGTTGATTGGTCCAATCAACCCGGTCTGTGAATTATTTAGAATTGAAGTTTTTTGATCGTCATTAAACTGCAATATAATTCTGATAATTAAGTATTTCTGATCAAAGTATTTGGACGGAATATCTTAAATGAATTGACGTTATTTATCGTTTAAACTTTACCTTGTCTTCTTTGTCCTTCTTATCCTTAGGTGTCGGTCTCTTAAGAGTTTTTTCCTCGACAATTTCTGGTTTTTTAACACTGAGCTTAGCTTCAGCCTGGTCCTCCTACATAGTATTGATTATGATTATTAAGATAACTTTATTTTAACTAATATGTATGTCAATTATGTGGAAAAGATAAAATGTACGAACCGTAGGTTTAATTTCAGCTGGTGTTTTGTGTGTAAGTGAAACATCTTCAGGCTCCTTGCCAGGTTTCAACGGTGCCTTTGGCTTGGATAGGCTGACGCTTTCGTCAACATCCATAGGCTAAAGAAATAGTTGTAGTTTAGTTTGTGTTGCAAATATGTATTTAAGCTGTGATAGTGTATTAGTTAGAATGCTTCCTACCTCTGGCTTATCTTTGTCTTTGACAGATCGTCGTCTAGCAGTAGCTGTGGCTGAGGGTACTTCTTCCTCAGGCTGTTTCTCTTCCTAAACATTTTTATTACATGTTACAAATATAACATTGTTTGTGTCATAGCAAATCTATTTAAGCAAGATTGTAATGTGTAGTGTAGTGTACCTTTTTCTTTTTCTCAATAGGTGTAGGTGTGATTTTTTCGTATTTCTCGAGAACTGGCCTCTCGTAATCGTCGACAAACTCCTCGACAGCGACCTTTAAATGTATGAATATATCAGTTTTGTGTACATTAAAATGTTATCTATTAGTAAAGAAGCGAAGAGTTGAAAATAAGGTGAAGACTCCAATTTGCGTCCAGTGTTTGTCAATTTGTATGTAGTACCCAATGACCTAGTACAACAATTTTAAAATCACAATACTATTGTAATTAATCGAAGCTTCTCGGCAGCAGCGCTGTAAATGCTTAGACTTAAAATTATACTTTAAACATAGAGAAGCGAAGCTTTACAGTTTTTGCCATGCAGCCAAAGCTTACTTACTGTTTTTTTGGGTTACAAGATCTGTAAATTGCTGAAAACAAAATTTTGCCGCGATAGAGGATTATAGCGTGGTATTTGAAAATCTTTGCATTTGAAGTTTAGTGTGTTGTTATGTGAAAGATTGTCCGCGATATTCAAACTCGTTATTTCGAGCTACCAAACTGTTAAATGTGAAGTGTTTGTGTTAAGTGTGTATACCTCTTTCTCTTTAAGAGAAGGACGCTTTTTAGCTTCAGGTTCGTCTTTTTTCTTAGGCTTAGCCTTTGGTTTCTCCTCAGGCTGTTTCTCCTCCTCCTATTATGAAAATTAATTTATCATTTTCAGTTCCTACACTTTGCAAACGATTCTTAGTGAATAGAATTGAAATATTGTTTACCTTGTCCTTTTGGACAGGCCGTTTGCGCAGTGTAGGCACTTCAGGTTCAGGTTCTTTTTCTTTTGGTTTAATTTTGCCCTTCATCATGTCTACATCATCCTATTAAAAATACATACGATTGATAAGTGTTCCTATATTTGCTTTATTTTATTCAATTGGTACAATTTTAAGTTTATGTTTTACCTCAGTATCACTAGGACGACGTTTGTCTTTAGGCGTAGGAGTAATCTTTTCATATTTTTCAAGTTCTGGTTTTTCATAATCGTCGACAAATTCTGGTTCAGCCTATAAGAATTATTTAAATGAACTAAACATTTTCTTAATGATTTTAAAAGAATAGGTATTGTAATGTATTTAAAGAATATGTAACATAGTTATGTAAATAATTACTAAGTATACCTCATCAACCCCATTTTGTTTTTTGGTCCTATCTGACGGAGTTGGAGTAACTTTGTCGTATTTTTCGAGGTCAGGCCTTTCGTAATCATCCACGAATTCGGCTTCCTCCGGCTTTAGAAAAATATTGCATTAGTATCTGTTGATTTAGCAAATAAAGAAATGTCTTTTATCTATGATTTTGTATAAATTACCTTCTTAACCGGTTTTTTGGTCTTTGCAACCTGTGGTTCCTCCAGTTTAGTTTCTTCTGGTTTAGAAGGAGCCTTGCCGAGTTTAACTTTAGATAACTCGTCAACAGGCTCCTCTGGTTTTGGTACACCCTTTTTGATACTAGGCCGCTTTGGTGGCTCAGTCTTTTCTTCTTCAACCTAGGCCCCCAATTTATGAATTTATTATAGGTTTATAATCAAGATAATTTGGAATTAATTCAAAATTTATTAAATACAATATTTTTAGGTAAGTAAAAGTGTAATGCGGTATACCTTAGCAGGTTCAACTTTAGGTTTTTTCTCGGGAGCGGGTGCTGCCACTGACGGTTCCTCCTCACTATCTTGTTCACTTTTAACGCTTTCCGCAATAGATGCGCGTTTACCCTAAATATTTACGTTTTTAATTTTCAATTCATAAAATACTTAATTTTTATTGCATGTAGGTGTAAGTGTATGTGTAGAGTAATGAGTGTTTACCTTTGGTGTGTGATCCTCTTTAGCTTTTTTATCAAGCGGCGTCGGTGTAATCTTTTCATATTTCTCCAAAACAGGTCTCTCGTAATCATCGACGAACTCGATTTCGTCCTATATCCAAATAAAGTTTAGCACATCTAGTTATCACAACACACACGACAGATAAAATGAGTTATCACATTCTAGAGTCCTATATTAATGCGATAAAGTACATATTTCATATATTTTTTATCCAACCATATGGAAGACTTTTTTAACCAGGAAATTGAAGTATCGATGAGGTTTGAGAAATGTTTTACTTATGTTTCAAGTCTGAATTCTTTTCCAACTGCGGAATATTGTCTAGAAATTCGTGTCCAGCTTGGAAAAGAATTTGATGACCATAAGGTTGGATTGTATATGACTATGAAATGGCTACCAATTAGTTACAGTTTATTTATAACTAATCTTCCAAAATTTGCTCCTCTAATGTTCTTCTAGATTCTACTTTAGAAACAAGAAGTTAGATACATTTTGTGTACTCATATAAGCTTTTTACATAGCTCAATAAACAATAATCACCACACTTACCTCCTCCTTTTTAGCGACGACCTTCTTTTTAACCACTTTTTTCTTTTCTTCGGTCTTCTTCTTAACTTCTTCTTTCTTTTCCTCAACTGGTTCTTCCTTAGGCTTAGTGGGCCTAAGTTTTGGAATGCCTTCAATTTTCTTTTCCGGTTCAGGTTCAGGTTTCTTCTTTTCAAGTTTTTCAAGAAGCGCTTTCTTTTCTTCTTCGGATTTTGAAAGCCTCTTCTCGAATATCTTTTTAGTTTCTTCAGCTTCAAGTTCAGCCTTTTTGGTTTCTTGAATCTTAGATTCAGTTTTCTTGGCTTCAACTTTGCTTTCAGTTTTCTTGGCTTCGACTTTAGATTCTGTTTTCTTTGCTTCAATCGAAACTTCTTCTTTCTTTTGTTCTACTTTAACTTCTTCTTTCTGTGACATTTTTCTTACAGATTTCTTTTCTTCCTCCTTTAAAACACGATTATTGTTTCATTAAGTTAAAATGACACTATAACTTGGTCTTCAATAAAATGCTTTATCTAACACCTGTTCGAAATTGTGAACAAGTTAGTAACGGCTAAAACACAACTTACCTTCTTTTTCTCTTCGACGTGGTTTTCTTCAATAATGGATTTCTCCTCCACTATTGACATTTCTTCTTCAGACTCCTCAATGACAGTCGTCTCTTCTTCCTCTTCCTCCTTTTTCTTTTTCTGAAATTAGTTTGCGATAAATTAATATTTGTGACCACGACGTTGATATTGGTTAACTGTTGTACTGTGTTATTCGAAAATACAACTTTAAAAACAGTTCTTTATATTTTAGACTAGTAAACAATTATATCAAAAGCTCCATATTTTATCAAAACAAATATATTTTTTTTACCTTTTCCTCAACAATAGTCAAGTCTGCACTGGACTCGTCTTCTCCGTATTCGTTCTTGATCACCACTCTGTAGTTAGCGACGTATTTAGTGGACACCTTCCTGATGATCAGCCTGGCGTTGGTGCCATCGAACGATGTATTCACTTCCGAGGAGTCTCTGATGACTGTCGAGTTCTTGTACCACGTGCATCTGCACGATTGGTCTGACGTCTTCAGGACAGCCACAAATTCGGCTTCCTCGTTTTCTTTGCGGGCCTGTGGAATATTACAAAAAACTTTATTGGGTCCTTTGTGGTTAAAGTGTAATTGTTTATTTTTAAAATAATAACATAAACATTTTATTCTTATTTTACCCTTTGTTCATAAAGATAGTGAAAGGAAAAATATCATTTTGGTTTTGAAAGATAGATGGAACTATAAGTGTATATGTACCTAATTGTTGCCTATAAATAACTTAAATAAGTTATGTTTATGTTATTATCTTAAACTTACCAAGCTCCTAAGATGTTTAATGATCTGTGGTTTATCACCCTTTTCTTCTGGGATGTCCGAGATCTCGACGACCTGTGATGTCGCCTCTCCCTTCTCGTTCTTGGCCACCAGTTTGTATGAACCTTTGTCCACTTGTGACACGTTTGAGATTTCCAATTTGACTGTGAATTCACCCTGTAATAAGACAAATAGAAATTGTCATGAGAATTATGGTAAAGATAATTATTTCATAAGATTTCTTAGTTGTTGTTGCGGTACTTACTTCTCTGCTTGGCTCAATAAGCACAGTATGCCTAGAGCCTTCTTTGACAGCAGTATTTTCTTTGAACCATGTGCATGCAGGTGCAAATTTACTTAATACTTTACATTCAACAATAACAGTCTTCTTCTTAACTATCTTAATGATCTTTGGTTTCTCTTTGATAACTGGAATGACTGTGAACAGAAAAATATAAATGTTATAATGGTGCTCTGATCAAGTAAACTGTGAACTGTTTCATGTTGAACAGATACTTACTTTCAATATTGAGCGTAAGATTCGCATTGAGCTCTCCAAGTTCATTTTTAATGTTGCATTTATACAATCCGGAGTCTTCAATACCAGGATCGATAAGTTCTAATATGATTGTGTACACGTCCTCGTGGACCTCAACCCTGGTCTTAATTTTCGACGAGTCCCTGATTTCTTTACCCTCGTGGTACCACACGATCGTCGGTCGCGGGCTAGCTTTGACCTTGCATCCCATTATAACTAATTTGCCATTGTCCTTGGACTGAATCGTTGGCTTCTCGACAAATGTCGGGCCTTCACCTTCCGGTTCTGGTTCAGCCTCAATGTTTAGGTTGAGATTAGCGTTGCTTTCGCCAAATTCGTTTTTGACGTGACAGCGGTAAGAGCCACCATCCGCTGCCGTCGGGTTTGTCAAAAGCAACAATAACTCATAAACGTCTTCACCCATATCGGATGATTTGATTTCGATTTTACTACTAGCCTTGATGACGGTCGTGCCTCTGTACCACGTGACTTCGGCCGCCGGCTTTGCTTTGCAGACACAACGCATCGTAATGAGTGTGCCGTCCTCGTTGGGAATGATTCGGGGTTTCTCCACGAATGATGGTGGGAAACCATTTTCGTCATCCCCACCTGAGAAATATGAACATTTTGATTACAACACCGAGCATTGACCACAGTTTCATGCTGCTCGAAAGCTTAAAGCTTTACATGCTAATGCTACTGTATGCGTACATTATAAAAAATAATAATAATGAAGTTGTTTTGTTTTCCTGCTTTACCTTGGAAATTGAGAGCAATATTGGCATTGCTCTCGCCAAACAAGTTGAAGGCGTTACACCTATAATTGCCCCCATCTTCCCGCGTGGGGCCTAAAATTTCTAACGTCAAATTAAATGTATCTTTTCCGGTGGCTTTTCTGGACATCTTCATTTTTGCACCATCCCTAATTTCTTTATCTCCGTGGAACCACGTGATGTCTGGAGCTGGGTATGCTTCTAATATACATTCCATTATAAGTACTTCGCCTTCCTGTCTAATGGTCGGCTTTTTAGGGAATCTCGGTGCTTTACCGTCGGGTATTCTGTTCAAAAGACAAAATATTTAAATAGCAGCCCTAACTAACACGTCTATTATAAATGCATTAGCGTTGTGTGTATGTCCTTACTTTGGTTTATCTCCGCCTTCGAAGTTTAGGTTTATTTTTGCTACGCCTTCACCATGTTTGTTTTTCGCTACAGCCCTGTATTCTCCTCTGTCCGAATTCTCAACGCCTAAGATTTCGAGTCGCGCCATGTGATATAATGTTTGGTCCTCTTCTAACGTTATTTTATATCGACTACTTTCTTTTATCATCTTTTTACCATGGTACCTGTATCATTAAGTGGTCGTGTTAAAACCGTATTTGTGTTTTGAATTATATTTAATTTTTGTTGCGTGTCATCTTACCATGTGATGGTTGGTTTCGGTTTGCCAACACATCGACATTCGAATGAGATTTTGGTACCATCATCCGATTGCCTGATGACTGGTCTCTCCGTAAATGTCGGTTTGATAAAGTCCTCAGGTACGGGCGCTTCGTCGCCTATTTTATCAATACACACATTATTACAATGTTCACCAATATTTGTTTGACGAAGATTTGCAGCTGTCTTTACACGGTTGTTATCAGATTTAAGATGTTTTCTTTTCTAGTGTATTAAGATACGCAACGCAGGCTCATTCAGAGTTAATCGAGGGATGTATAAGAAAATAGATAAATGATATAATAAAATCGAATAGAATACATAAATAAAAATTTGGATTATACGTGTATAATATTTTCCATTCTACTCTCATTCTGACAAACAGTACGCATGACAGTTGCTTGAGTTAATTTGTTAATTGTGCATTTGCTTGAAGCGAAGAGTCTGCAACATTATACTAACTACAAAAATATTGCGAGGGTGATTAGTGTTATTAAAGCATACTTGCAAAGTGATGATAATAAGAAACATGAAAGTGATAAATATAAATATTTAAAAAGTAGTAAAATTAATAATATCAATTTTATTAAAAGTGCAATAGTGTATGGTGTAGAGTGTGTCGTAATAACAGTTGATGTTATGTGTGCAGTGTAATTTGTGGTAAGATTATAAGATAAATTTGATAGACTCGAATTAGAGAATTAAGAAAACATCTTAATCTGTAATACATTATAACCAATTATAACATTTTCTAGTGTATTATGTAGAGTAACTGGAATTCTGAAGGAATTAGTTGATGATTATACAAGCTTGGCTGCAATATCTACGTTTATACTCAGACAAGTAACGACTAATACATGTAAAGGATTAGATACACACCATAAAATAGCTTTGGTTAAACAATATGAAGCGTAATTTTAATAATACATTGCTGCAATTTCGTTTTTATTTATTTTTTCTGCGGTATCATCTTTTTTATATTCTTTATCATTATCAATTGGTTTATTATTGTTTTGTTCTTATTTATTCTACGGGAGATCATGTGGGATTATAATGTACTTACTATCGAAGTTCAAACTGATTGTGGCATTGCTTTCGCCCAGTTCGTTCTTAGCCGTCACCCTGTATTTACCAGCATCTTCTACTGTTACGTTGTTGATTTCAAGTGATGCATAATAGGATTTTCCTTCCTTGCTCACGGTTAACTGTTGGTTGAAAAAGAAACTTATTTTAATTACAATAAAATTAAATTTATCTTAACGGTTATCCATTTTATTGAAATAAAAATCTTCAATGTCTTAACCTATAGCATCATTTACTCGAAGAATCTGTTTACAAATGTTGAACTTTTAATCTATGTGTTATTACGTAAAAAATCAAAAAGAAAGTTATTAATAAAATAATTTAGGACAAAAGGTCATTGAGCGAGACAGTTGACACCTGGTACCGTCACCGGCCAAATCAAATGGGGTCAAGGCCATTTCTGAGTACTATTAAAACTAGAGCATCTATAATAGCCAGGTTTATTTTTACTTTCTTTACAATGTCATCTGTTGCATCAGATCTAGATTTAAACTCATTTTCTTGGTTATTTTCATTACTGTCTGGGTTGCAAGTTAAATAAATGTCATCTTAGATTCTATTTCTTACTTCAAATACATGTGAAATCGTTTCTATAGGATTTTTTATTCTAGAACGATGTATAGAAGCTGAACCCGAACAATACTTCGGGTTCATTTTTGGCTTATTGCAATTTGTAATTTCTTCAAGACGTTACTATTGATGTTATGAATTAGATGAAAGTCAACATGGACTGTCTTCTAGAACTTGCCGTTATTATATTTCCTATGTTAGTGCAATCTTATCAGATTTAATGTGTCATCATTTTGGTCCTTAAGGTAACCATTAGCATTATTTTCATTATTAACCTTATGTCTGGCTCCAGGTTTGACTTCCACGCCACTGTGGAACCAGGAGACCTGGGGTAGGGGTTCAGCTTCAATGCGGCACTCGAATATTAACCGCTTGCCATCATCTTCTTGTCTGATGGCTGGTTTACGCGCGAAAGTTGGCGCTTTACCGTCCACTTGTCTGTAAAGTTCAAAATATCGGAAATAAGTACTAAAATAATTTTACATTACGTGATAGCTTTAAAAAAATTTCAATAGATATTGATAGTTGGATAAGTTAATAAGTATAGAGTGAAATTATTACAAATGTCTACATTTGGAGGCTGAGTGACAAATCAAAGACTACTTCTAAATAAATTCTACTTCGAAAAGTATTTGTGTGAAAAAGATTAATAAATTTCTTGATACTTACTTCTGTTTTTCTTCGTCAGCGGCTGAAACAGAAAAATCATTAATTAGTCACTGGCATTATGATCATCATTAAGTATTTCAAAAGATTTAGTGATACAGGGTAGTAAATTACGGTCTGTGTTTAACTGACTGAAAACTAGAGGGACAAGACAGACAAGGCTATAGGCTATAAAACATCACGCTACGACCAAAGAGCTGAGCAGAGCGTGTGAAACCGCGCGGAAGTAGTTTGTAAGTTATACTCCTATTTATTTAAAATATATGTCCATCTAGTAGATTTATGTTACATTCAAAATATGACTACTATCGTAAAATTACGTGTACTATTATTTATAGCATCTAGATTCTAGATCCAGTATCCAATAGATATTCTTGCGACTGTTTACAATTCGCAAAACATCTTCCAGACATAAACATTCAAATAATTTCTTAGTGATGTGATAATTCCTAAAATACATCTGGTCTGTTCATCTATAACACCATGCTACTTATTGCTTAACGAAGTCAGTAGTTATTTACACAAAACTTTACAGTTATTTATGGTTGTCGTCGTCGTCGTTAGAGATGCACCGAATATTCGGATGCTATCCGGTATCCGGCTTATCCGGTCGTTATTTACTATCCGGCCGGATACCGGATAGTAAACTTGGTAGATTATATAAATGAAATCTAAATAAAGACACAGTTTTTTTTGAATTGAATCTTTTTATAATTTTAAACAATTTTAACTTTTTTAATAACAAGTCAAAACCTACACGGCGACCGGCGTGGCGGTACGCGACACGCACCTACAAAAGTCAAAATGTAGGTATCACACAGCCGGCCGAATATTCGGTGGCCGCATACCGAATATTTGGCTGGTGGTCAGACCGAATATCCGGTATCCGGCCAAACAACTATTCGTTGCATCTCTAGTCGTCGACGATGTATGGTTGTTGTTGTTTTCATTGTTTGTGTACAGATTCATTTTCATCAGTAATGTTTTTAATGTCATAGACATAAATAGCATATTACGAAATACGAATTACAATAATAATTATAAAGTATAAAAAAACAAGAAGTAAAAAAAAGTATTTCGAGATCAACATCGAATGGAAAATCTCATGCAATTTTATTGTGACTATTGTTTAGCATAGATACTTCCGATTTTACACCCACCTTTTTTTTTAAATATATTTAGACTTCAGACATCAGTCGTAATGTTTTGTTTATTTATCCAATTTCATTGCACAAATATCGTTGCCAAATTTAATGCATTCTTCAAAACATGATATGTTTATTTTCTAATAAGATTTTTAAAGAATTTGTGTACAAGAAATGCATCTAGATTTTGTTTGGTAAACAGTTTGTCTAACTGTCAAAACATAGTGTTCTCAATCTGTTGGTATAATGTTTCAAGATTTTTCATGCCTTGGTTGCTTCTTTGACATATTTATTACATTAATTTATGAGGGACTCGGAGTGAGTTCATATATCAAAATGGTGCTGTGAATACTCGATTCCTGATATTATTACCATGTTGATTTAGTGATTCCATCGTGTTTTTTTTTGTCAATGACACACAGAGACGAATATAAAGACATTTTTCGCTGATTCTAATTATTATTTGACGTCTAATTATTGTTACACTTCTAGAGAAGACACAAATATGTAAGTATGTATATGCACAAAGCTTGTAAAAATCTATAGTTACCAGAGTTTTTGGACAATACTTAAAATTGCTCAAGGAGACAGAAATGGTATCAGCAACAATAATACTAACATAAATACGTTTTCGGAGCTGATTGCATCATTAAGCACAGCTGAGAATGTCTGCAGTGTCATCAAAGTGTCTGCAAGGCGTGAAATGCTCTCAAATGAAGGTGAAACACAACTTTCGTCAGTATATTGTCGTCAGTACAATATCTTGGTGACTTTGTTGCCAACGTGACAGTCACCCAGCTTTGGCTCAATACCCAAGCGTGGGTTAACGTTCACCAGTAATTTTTTCATAGACATTTATTTTTGAACATGACTAACAACGTTATTTGTGTTGGTATTTTTATTGGCCCAGTATTGAATTACGGATTATTGTATTGTGACAAATGTTTGATGCAATGTTTGCGTTCGTATGACAAGTTTTGATGAGTAAATAGTAGAAGATTAAAGGTAGACTGTTACACATGATAATGTCAAGCACGAAATCATGTTTCTGTCAATTTGCTAATTAACATAATGTGTCGCAATGTAGCTCAAAATTAGCCATACTCATTTTAGGCATGTTTGTGAATATGACTGCACGGTTGGCGCTTTAGCTGGACAACTGTCTGTCGTGTTGCGGTTTCTATTACTGGACGGAACAACTCTTTTTGTAATCCACAGATTGTTGTTCCGGGTTTGGGTGTTATGTGTGTGAACTTGTATGTTTGTAAACGCACCCACGATACAGGAAAAAATATTAGTCTGAGGCAATGGTTTTTTAACAAAGCCTTGAAACAGAAAAGAACGTATAATTGACAGACGATCAATTTTTAATCATTTTGCAGCATACTCAAGAGAACCTTTTAGAAGCCTTTTAGCATGCTATTTTAACTCGTCGAGTACCGTCATTATAGACACAATTATAGAACAATTTTCTTTTTATAAGGGGTGAAAATCATCGTATGACTGCTCCCGCCTGGGTGAGGCGGGAGGGAGTGTCAGACTCTTACTGACTAAAAACCACCCCGTTCCTTCTCCTGCACGTCGAGTCGGAGCCCCGGTTACCCGTTAGGTTCTCCGCGACAATTATAGAACAATAGGTTGCGGTCACCGATGACCGCTTGGTGTTTGGCAGTTTAAAGCATGAGTAACAACACCATCAGCTTTTAAAATGTAATTTCCCTCTCGTTTCTTCGAATCGTTGTAGCTACCACTTTGTTATTGAGTTTAATTTTATTAGTTACACTTCCTTATGAAGGAGTTTAATGGACGAGTTTAGCTGTTTGCAGCCGGATGCTGGCACTAAAATGTAGTTTGTTAGGGATGCCAGTGTTTGCTTGGGGAACCTACACGTCTATTTATGAAATGCTAATTTCTATAGCTGTGGAGTGGTCGTTTGACATTGGCCATATAAATTGTACATAGTAAGGTCAAGGTACTGAGTCATAATGATATGAAAGATTAGTGATGAGTCAAAGAAAAGTCGTTTACTAGCCCTCAAAATCCACTGGTATCCACCGTTTAGGGAACAAAGTGGAAAGTTCCCTAAGATCGGAAAAGGAGGATCCTCCGACCAGGCGAGGTGATCGTGCCTGGCGGGCTTTCTGCCCAACAGTTGTTCATTGGGATTTTCTATCCGTGTTAATTTGCATGTAAACTTTGCATGTGCGATGTAGGATTTTTGTGACGTCATCCGTTGACATGTACCATGTGTCGCCACAACCTCATCACAAATTCCGTTTTTACCCGACTAAATGGAAGCAATAAGAAGGGTTATGCGTTTCACCTGTATTCTTTCGTATAATTCAAATGATTAATGTAAGGATACTCACGGCTGAAGTTAAGGTTGATGGAAGCGGCCACCTCGCCCATCTTATTCTTAGCCTTAACTTTGTACAGCCCCGCATCGGTCTCGATCACGTCATCTAACTCAAGCACCACCAGGAACTTGTTGTTGGCGATGCTCTGGATCCTGGAACAATTATTAAGATCATTATCATATCATCCATTATTTTTTTAAAGGGTATTGTGGAATGAAATTGAGTGAATGGAAGTCTCATCATCATCATTAGATAGAAATTATCACCGTCGTAGAAACTGTCGGACCTTCGGGGCGCCCTGAAGATGGGGGCACTGGGCCCAAGCCCCGAATGCCCTTATGGCAAAGGTACTGTCTGTATAATTTTTTTTAAGGGGGGAAAATCATCGAATGACTGCTCCCGCCTGGGTGAGGCGGGAGGGAGTGTCAGACTCTTACTGACTAAAAACCACCCCGTTCCTTGTCCTGCACGTCGAGCCGGAGCCCCGGTTACCCGTTAGGTTCTCCGCGACACTGTCTGTAGAATAGGTTCACCTGTTACCTGTTAACACCTTTGTTTATTTATCTCATAATTATGTATTTGATAAGACTCTGAACATAAGTGTAGAAGATATAGTATTTGATTTTAACAGCCATTTAGGAGCCCCATGGTAAGGGGGTTAGCCAAATAGATATGATAAATAAGTTGAAATTTTGTGTTCGTAGTCAGAATTTTCGAACGTTAGTAATACTTTCCTCGACTCTAGATAAACTTAAAGTCAGAACTACATTGAATCAACGCGGTATGTATGGTAGTAGACGATACTACGTACATCTACATATATAATAATAAAAGTAATTTATAAATACCGCCTCGTTGGCCGAGGGGTCGCTAGTGCGACTGCCGGACAAGACGTCTCGGGTTCGATTCCCGGGTCGGGCAAAGTATTACTGGGTTTTTAAAAAAATCTCAGTAGTAGTACGGAGTCTGGAACTGTGCCCGGTATATGGCAATAGGCTCACCCTCAATTACATGGGACTCATAACATAAATAGTGAAAGTGGGTGTTACATTGTACAATGGCATTAAGTGTCATAATGTGCACCTCTGCCTACCTCTTCGGAGATAAAAGGCGTGATGTTATGTAAGTAATTTATACCGCCAATCGCAATTAATAAAATAATTTTAAACATGGCGATCAACACCTGCCAAATTATTGCAATAAAATGACGCATTTCCTGTAGTTCATATTTAATTTATAAAAGACGCTAATCTTCGTCTAAGATGCCTGTTTTATGGCATATTTTAAAATATAACTGGTTTTCATGTATGTTAGATAGGTAGCCTATAGCGCTTGTCAAGAGAAAAATAAAAATTTTCAAAGTACTATTTATTGATAACTACCAACCCAAATTCCTACTGACCCGTCAAACTTCGTACCGGCTACAGTTTTTTTTCTCACCTTTTAAACCTTCCCTAGACTTTTATGAACATTTCAAGATCAAAATTAGCCAAATTGGGTCAGTTATTCTCGATGTTTAGCGAGATTAACGAACGGATTGTTATTTATAAGTCTAGATATAGATTCTAATCATACATCCGTATTAACAACGCTTAGGTTTTATTTTATGCTATATTTGCTAAAATTAATTTTGTGAAAAACCAATCAACTCGCTTTTCTATCTTATTATAATTATCAATGAGCAGCATTTAGTACAAGTCGAACTAATAAAAAATTAGTATTCAGCACCATCATCAACAGCTGAAAGACGTCCACTGCTGTAGCAGTGCCTCCCCCTTACAGTTAAGATTACATAACATAACATAACATCACGCCTTTTATCCTCGAAGGGGTAGGCAGAGGTGTACATTATGCCACTGTACAATGTAACACTCACTTTTCACTATTTATGTTATGAGTCCCATGTAATCCCTATTACATGGCCCGGTATATGGCAATAGGCTCACCCCCTGGTGAGCCTATTGCCATATACCGGGCACAATTCCAGACTCCGTGCTACTACTGTGAATTTTTGAAAAACCCAGTATGTAATACTTTGCCCGACCCGGGAATCGAACCCGAGACCCCTTGCTCGGCCAATGAGTCAATTATCAGTTAAGAAAATTAAATTATAAATTAGTATCAACCATCAAAAACCCCTGATTAAGGGCTGCCTACACATGACAGAGGTAGCCATGACGGCAGGCCGATTGGAGGTACAGTTAAAATGATTCAAGTATATCAGAGAGTGCCACATATAATTTTACAAAATATTAGTCATTATTTATTAAAACATAAACCGCCTATAGTAATTAAAATAGGAATTTTCAATGCAGTAATTACCTGCCAAATGGTAAATATAAAATAATGCGTTTCCTAAACTTCTAATTTACAACTGGTGTACATAAAATACAACCTTGAACGATATGTTTACTGTATCTTTAAACTAAACTAAATGCACAGGTCCCTGGTAAATTTAACTATCAGATAGTTATAGTAAAATCAGTTTCAAAAATTAGGTAGATGTTGTTTATACGAAAAATAATTATTGAAAAATGAATCGTAAACTAACAGTTGACATATCGGATATCTTTGTTGCATCAAGTATTATTTTGTCGAGGTTTAATTTAAAAATATTATAACTAATGTCTTATTATTTTTTTTTTAAAGGAGGGATTTTATCGAATCGCTTCTCCCGCCTGCGTGAGGCGGGGAGGGTGTCTCAGACTCTTACTACCTAAAAACCAACCCGTTCCTACTCCTGCACTTCGAGCCGGAACCCCGGTAATTTTTTACGTTCTCTGCGACTCTGTATCGGCATCAGCTCTATTGGGACCCATTCGTGGTGGTCTGATGAATCTTTGAGGCGCATTATACATACATATTTTTTAAGGGGGGAAAATTATCAAATCTCTTCTCCCGCCTGGGTGAGGCGGGAGGATGTGTTAGACTCTTACTGACTAAAAACCACCCCGTTCCTACGCCTGCACTTCGAGCCGGAGCCCTGGTAATCTTTTACGTTCTCTGCGACTCTGTATCGGCATCAGCCTTATTGGGTCCCATCCGTGGTGGTCTGATGAATCTTTGAGACATATACATACGTATGGGTTGTCAGAGAGTACTGCTAAGGAACTACACATTTAGCAGAGAAAGTACGTTTTTAAGGTAATCAGACACCTAACACATGGTACTTACATATAGCGATTCTGGCATCGCTACACTGTTGTGCGTTAAAATTTGCGCTAATTATGTCAATCCGAAATACCTGACTGTTATTGTCCAAAGTCAAAGGCAAAGTCCAAAGACAAGAGGACTGACCTTCATTACACTAAATCAATTATTATTAATGCATTTTTGCACCATAACTAATGCCTATAAACTAATGAGCAGCAACTGAACCAGCGAAAATGTATCATTAAAAGCTCTGTACCCAGTAGGATGCATGAAAATAGCTCGCGATATAATATAGTCCACAGTCGGACTGGATTACAGAATTGGGTCAGCAGAAGTATTTGTAAACAGCTCTAACTTATTACCGGTTCTAAGGTTTAATACGAAACTGAATTATATATGAATGTTGCATTGCTTATTATTACACAAATTGAATGCACTGTTTACATAATAGTTTGTCTTGTTGGTCGAAAGAACACTGGCGAGCAAAGTGGCTCGGGTTCTGTTAGTATTAGAATGAAGAATATTCACGTTTCTAGATATATTTTTCTTAATTTAACTCGTCGAGTACCGGTTTTGTAGACACAATTATAGAACAATAGGTTGCGGTCACCGGTTGGTGTTTGACAGTATGAAGCCTTCAATGTTATGAATTGAACTGTATAGTTTATAATTAGTTTTGGTGTTCAATCAAAACTAGTCGAATAATTTGCGCTGAAAGTTTCAATGAGTTGCATCTTTCATACAAAATTAATGTTGTACTGTGACGTCATAGTTAAGAATAATAGTCGATTATTAAATAAGCTATTTAAAATACAAATGCGTTGATACTTTCTCAATTCACGTTACAGTAACATTCTCCATTGCACCGAGCCTGGAATTGACTGCACGAGTGGCGCAGTGGCTGGGCCGAACCGGATGACGCGCAACGTGGAACAACTCTTTATAATCCACAAATTGTTGTTCCGTGTTTAGTTGTCATGTGCATGTTATATTGTACGTTTGTAAACGCACCCATGACACAGTAAGAAAACCTAGTGAGGGGCAACGTTTTAAAAAAATAATTTTGTCTGGTATAGTGACAGGTCTATTTGGAAGTCGTTAGGAAAGGTCTATGTTCAGCAGTGGATGGCTTGTGGCTGATTACAACCGAAAAGTATTTGCTAGATTAAATTAAAATAAATATACATTTGTACTATACAGACGTACTCAGGATACCACGATATATAGAATTCAGGTTTAAGTATCGTTACATAGAACGAAGCAATGATGTTCTTGATGACGTCACATAGTGTCACATAGCATGTATAATGATGATGATGATGTCAAAGTCAAAGTCAAAGTCAAAGTCAATATTATTTGTTTCAATTAGACCAGGAAGGCACTTTTGAACGTCAAAACAAAATATTTAAATACTTTAACCCTGATGATACTTTGACCCTCATCACCATAGGACTCTTGACATCTACAGGTAACTGATTAAACATATGTGTAACATAGGAAACAACTGTCTATGCTATGTTTTGTTGTGTTATAATTCATGGGGATAATATTTAAGTTCACTTATCCAGCTTCTTCGAATTGTTAGCTCATAAAATCTAGTTTACGGTCTATTTTCCTTGGGGTTTCAAACAGACAACGCATTATAGTTATTAGGTAACTGTAAATAGATATTGTATCTGAATATTATGTTTGACATTGACAAAAATATAAATAAAGACATAAACATGTATGTTATGTTTCCACGTTTTTTGCAAACTGCCTAGTTATAAAAAGTAGGTAACTTACCATAATATAACTTCACGCCTTTTATCCCCGAAGGAGTAGGTAGAGGTGCACATTATGGCATTTAATGCCACCAATGTAACACCCACTTTTTATTAATTTTATTATAAGTCTCATGTAGGTAGGTGGTAAGCCCAATACCATATACTGGGCACAATTCCGGACTCCGTGCTACTACTAGGAAATTAAAAAAAAACCACTAATACTTTGCTCGACCCGGGAATCAAACCCTAGACCCCTTGCCCGATGCACTTGCGACTCGGCTAACGAGGTGGTATTTAAAGGTAGGTCATAATATTTGAACATAACACGAAGTCTCTAATTTCAATTATCTCATGATTAAAAAGTAGGCTAAAATTGAACACTTTATTTACTAAACATTACTATTCTGAGGATGTATCAGCTTTCTTATAGTGCTAGACTGTATATTACTATACCTAAATAAAAATAGGCGGAACCAGGATTTTATCTGCATTTCGGAAAAGAAAAAAAAAACAGAATATATTAACACATAACATAACATCACGCCTTTTATCCCCGAAGGGGTAGGCAGAGTTGTACAATGTAACACCCACTTTTCACTATTTATATTACGAGTCCCATGAATAGGGGGTGAGCCTATTGCCATATACTGGGCACAATTTCAGACTCCGTGCTATTACTGAGATTTTTTTTAAAAATCTACTTTGCCCGACCCTGGAATCGAAACCCCTTGCCCGGCAGTCGCAATTGCGACCACTCGGTCATCGGCCAACGAGGCAGTCAAGTATAATAACACGTTTTGTTGCAAATTAGAGTACCATAGAAACGGCAATAAATAGGCCAATCTTCTTGAACAATAAAAATAATTAAAATCGTTTGTCTTCCTTCATTACTTGGACGTTGCTCAAAAACCATACCATCGAGCCGTCATAGAGACACACTATATTTTGAAAGCAATAAAAAGATGAAAATTACGATGAGTCTTTTATGTGGTTTTACTTTGAAGTTGGCGATATTGTTTTAAGGTCAACTCTTTATGATTCTGAGCTGTACATTCCGAAATAGTTGTCTGTTATGTATTATAGGAGGAGTTTTCCATGATCATGTAAATACAGACAAATGAAGCGCTTCGCATCAAGTTTCCTTGTGTCTACTGCTAAGGAGTGGAATTGTTTTTATAATAACTATCGTGAGACATACTAAATTAAGTAAGCTCACGTTGTGCTCGCTCAGTGAGCTGCGCGACGTCGCCGCGACCGCGCACGTTGCTCATGAGGAAGAACCCCTCTGTGGTTCGAAACTAGTAGAGCTTTTCTCAGTATATTCACGTGAGTAACCCGCGCTTTTACTTAATAAAGGAGTGGAATTCTTTGAGTCTGTGTTTCCTTTATGGTGTAGCCTGGATATCTTCAAGGCCCGAGTGAATACATACATTACTTATGGGACGACGTGATCTGTCGTAGACCGCATCATCGCTTATCACCGGGTGAGATAGTAGTCAAACGTCGGTCTATCAAATATACTTATATAATAATGATTAGATCAATACAATATTCTTTAACTGTATTTTAATTCTGACAACATTACCTATGTCTAGAATTCTAGCCCGGTGTATAACATAATGTTTGTGTAAATGCTTCACAAAAGTGGTCACCTATTTAGTATATTGTAAATGCCATCTGCCCCTTCGGGTTAGAGGATAAGACTTTGTGTTTGCTGTGGCAAACTTGAACAAAATTGAGTTGAAGATAAATTTTTTATGGATTAGGAGGCCAACGAGCAGACGGATCACCTGATGGTAAGCGATCAGCGCCGCCCATGGATGTTTTTCAATGTAGTTTCAGTTATATGAATTAATTATTATTAACGAGATAAAAACTAGTTTATTTTTAAAATCGTATAACAGTAAGGTCGTTCCTAGTACCTAGCAGTATCTAGGCCAAGAAAATGATCAGATTTTTCATTAGCAAAATAAATAATAAACACTGTTGCATCAAGGAAAATGTAATGTTTTGTTAAAGATTCGATTCCCGAGAAATACTTTTCAAAGTCAGTGCGATGTCAGTGTTTCATGTAAACGTACTGACACACTTCCAAACAACTTGCGCGGTTGTTATTTTTATGTTCTCATTTAAAATTGGCGCTCTTTATCTTTAGCAATCAAAAGTGCTTCTAGGAAATAATTTAATATCGTAAGTAATATATATTTTTTAAAACTACATTGATAATATTATGGGAAATGTATCTACATATTATATACATACGTACAAAGTACATAATACACCAAAAGTCGTGGTGGGCCGAAGGTTCAAGACGCCCGCTTCTCATGCATGAGGTTCGAAACCTACCAATCGCAAGTACCAATGTGACTTTTTCCGAGTTATATGTACTTTCTAAGGTTATCTAGACACCACTGACAAGAAGGAAAACATCGTGAGGAAACCTGCGCTTACAATTTCTAATTATAAGTTTGAAATCGCCAACCCACATTGAGCAAGCGTGGTGATCAATGCTCAAACCTTCTCCGTGTGAGAAGGCCTTTGCTCAGTAGTGGGCATTTATAGGCTGTTGATGATGACATAATATAGGAGAATAATATGACCATGAATTTGTTTTACTTTTATATATTTTTTGTTGCAGAAGGAAACCAACTTATTTACAAGTAAAGGCTATTATTATAAACTACTTATTATCTGGGTATCTTTTACCACAGTCCTCCAGGATAAGCGGCAATTGAACACAAGTCAAAACAAAAATAAAAAGGAAATTAATAAATTTGATATCAGCCTATTTATTTAGTAGGTTCATTCCGAATCACATGATTTTCAAATAGAGGAAACTTTCAGAATACCAATACAATGAACCAGAATCGTATCGTCTTCAAGAAATTACAAATTTCTCATCAAAATATTAATAGACCACGTTCTCGCAGTCTGCCAACTGTGTCAGACTGCCATGACAGTTCGATCACATCAAAGGGATGCTTCAGACAAATAAACAGTACGGCTAATCACATCGAACGTTGACCCAGTAGATTTTGGACATGTGGTCTTTGACCATAATGTAATATCTATCTTGGGAGAGATTGTTACTAATATCTTTTAATATCATTTCTCAATAAGCTTTAATAGTTTTATTGTGATATAGGAAGAATTAATACTTAAATTATTGTCCCTTTGGCCCAGTATTTTATTGTACGAGAGTTATTCATTTTTTTTCTACAAACAAGTATTTAAAGTCAAAGTCAAAGTCAAAATCATTTATTTCAATTAGACCATAGAGGCACTTTTGAACGTCAATAAAGAAAATTAACAAGTGAAGCTATTTGCTCATTCCAAGGTGTAGATTCCTATGGAGAAGAACGAGCAAGAAACTCCATAGGTTACTCTTTTTCAATCAAGTTCACAATTCTCCAGTTACATAGTTTTGTTGTTTGGGTTGTGCGAGAACAACGTAACACTAAACTACAGTCAAAGAGATCGAAAAAAAAAATTAATAATAACATTAAAAAAAAGAAATATACAGTCTGGAGCTGACCAATCCCAGTTGACGGCGCCCGTTCACGAACATGACACGTACACCAGCACCGCCCAACTCAACCATATTGTAGGGAATCGAGCGATATACTATACCTATTAATCAAAATAAAGGAATTTACCCTTATAAGCATTTTCGTCTCAAATATCTTTGAATACAGTCTTAATGTTTTGTTATAAATAATATTATAATTAATTCATCCTGTTTCTTGTTGTTAGTTATCTAAATATTTGTATGAACAATAATTACATTGGCATTGTTTCCAACTGTAAAATATTCTAAAGTAAATATTTATTTGCAACATTGATTCGACGTCAATTTTAGAATAGCGTTCATTCATGTTGTTTTACGCGTCTTTTACATTTTTATTGTACAGATTGAAGACAGGGATCGATTATTATTCTACATACAGCCTACGTAAATGTAAAATATTTATTTTATTTTTTTATTTTTAAATAAATAAAATTCGTCTTGGTATTAGCAGATAGACAGTAAAATAATAACTACAATTAAACTGTTAAACACCAAGTGGTCACCGGTGACCGCAACCTATTGTTCTATAATTGTGTCTACAAAACCGGTACTCGACGAGTTAATATTAATTTGTTACTAATTAGATAGATATAGAATATTACAGACTGCCTCGTTGGTCGAGTGCAAGTGCAAGTCGCAAGTGCGACTGCCGGGCAAGGGGTCTCGGGTTCGATTCCCGGGTCGGGCAAAGTAATACTGGGTTTTTAAAAAATTCTCAGTAGTAGCACGGAGTCTCGAATTGTGAATCCGGTATATGGCAATAGGCTCACCGCCTATTACATGGGACTCATAACATAAATAGTGAAAAGTGGGTGTTACATTGTACAGTGGCATAATGTGCACCTCTGCCTACGCCTTTGGGGATAAAAGGCGTGATTTTATGTTGTTACTAATCTCATTGTAGAGGTAATAGTGGCTGGGTCTAACACGAGTGTAGAATTTGTGACCCGAACTACAAAATGTTTAAAAGCACGACAGCACTTTGTTTGACTCTTCTCAGGCTTTGGATAGCCACTATCTATTAAAGAAAGAACATGAGACGTAGTTATTTTGTACCTGTTTAACTGGAAAGTTTAAAAACCAACAACTTGGAAATAAACATTTGTTTTGACTGTAGGCACACCGTATATTAGCTTCTCTTGCAAATTCCCTATTACACTCCTACTTTTTATGATTATCCTTAATTTTTCCCCATCACTTGAATATAGTGTTGACACAATTAAAATGTGTATTCATTTTAGAATAGACAACTCACTTGAACTTGGTCCTATTATCTTCTTTGAGCAGTTCATCGCTTCTAAACCAGCATATCTCCGGTTTAGGCGATGCGACCAGCTGGCATTCGAAGACGAGTTTGTTGCCATCGTCTTCCTGTCGCAGCTGTGGCTTCTGCGTGAAGCTAGGGGCTAAATCGTCGGTAACCCCCATTGTTAGCTTGGGAACATTACGCTCGCGGCTGGACCAATACTGCCGCTCTGATGATAGGCTTCAACCTGGAAGAGAGGAAATTCAGTTTAGTTTCATTTTTTATTAGGACTGAATTACACTAGTATAGTATTAGTAAATGAATCAACATCAATGGCCGGGCAAATTTCATTGTTATGTAGAAGAGGCTCATAAAGGGCTCCTTTACATAACTCTACGTAAGGGACGCTCTTAACATAGAGTCACTACGCCTCTCTAACCTGTACGCCTGTCTGGTCACTCTACGGTGCCCTCTAGGGTTTGCCATAATCTTTCGGCCCTTGCAGGTGGGTTGGTAATGAGAGTTTATTAGAGATGTATCATCCTTATTAGAGAGCGCTCCTGCACTATCGTTGTTAAACTGGTAAATAAATGCTTATGTAAGTTGTAACGATACTGTTAAGTTAGCTTAAGTGTTAATAAAATCAGAGGCAAATCAAGCACATAAATCGAGTTAAGTAAAGTAAACATAATAATATAATATTCCGTCTATTTTTTATCGTCCATCTGAATCGTCCATCGTCCATTTTCGTTCATTACATACACGGTACATTCTCTAGTTCTGGAGGCACCGTAAGATAATACTACCAATACTGTTTGCAAACTATAGCTTCCTACAATTTGTGTTATTTAAAACTCTAACATCGCTTTATGAGACGCATTGGAAAGTAGTTTGCGTTTTATTCAGACCTGTATTTCAGCAACACCAGGCTTTTAATTGGGAGCCAAATGTTTTTGAATAAAATAAGAGTTCGAAATAATCGGTACCAACAATAACCTACTTTTAAACTTTATTGTTTTGTGTTAATACAAGATTTACGTGTGTGTATGAGTTTAAGTTTACGCAAGGAGCCGCTGGCTGCAGGTCGCTTCCAACCGGCCTATCTGGAGATCATTGGGGAAGGCCCCCATTTTGTTCCACCGTATGCCCCATTAAGTTCAATAGTGGACGTCCAGTGGCTGATAAAATAATGATAATGATGAGTTTGAAAGTATTAGGTCTGTTTCCACAAAGTCTAATTAAAATTCTTTTTGCATAAACGACAGATAGTTCAAGGTAATTTCCTTAGGAAATCGGTCAATATACATATGTACGTGTCAAATAACCTTATTTACTTAGGGCCGAATTTTCAAACAACAGATAAAATGACTAAGGCCCGATGTTTCCAACGCCAGTTAAATTTTATCAGAGGAATAACTTTGAATACTTGTCAATTTTTCCATACTAAAAACTATCGACTGTCAATTTTATTCCTCAGTTAAGAATTAACTGATGATAGAAAAATCAGCCCTAAAGCGGGCCATTAATGGGGAAGCTAATCATCTCATCAAAATGTTGCATAAATTATAATGTTAAATATCAAAATTAGCTCAATTAATTATATGACAGACAAAATTTTACTACTACTTTAAGTACTTACAGCTCTGTCTATCTCATATAATAATACCAGGAATCTCATATAATAATACCAGGAATGATGTTAAATTAGACAATAATCATAAAAATGTGGTGTAAATATTTTAGTTTTAAATTTGTTTTTTATGTATATTTTAAGTTGTATATATTAATTTTTATCTTGTATTGTATATATTTAATTGTATAATAGTTATTATTAATTCTAGATCATAAAATGAATCTAAATGAGAACGGACATTAAAACTGGAATGTAATCAATTCTACAGTAAAAAATGGCGTCGGCTGATTGACTGCTATTATTTTGACCAATGAATCACAATTGTTAACTGTTCGTACAACAGCTGAGTGATTGATAGCATTTTTCAGCAAACTGAAATAAAATAGCTAATGTATGATGTATTTTCCTGAACTATACCTACACGAATTTTGCGTAGGTGTGCAAGAGTAAATTTCAGATAGAATTTTCGAAAAAATTATCTTAGTCTAGATTTCACGAGTAGACGTTTTGGAATTTGCAAAATTTAGCTATTACTTTTTTTTCTGCGTCATGTCAAACAAGAAAAGATAATGCCATTATATTCGTACATCACTCTGAAAGACAGGATATATCGCATTGATCATATTTCAATACAAAAAAAATCTGCATTTTACACGAATACCTACGTTCGATTTTTGTAGCTGAATGGCAGTATGAATGGCCATATGCATGCATAGTAATACTGTTACTTAACCACGGTAAAAGGGTATACCGAATTGGATTTTTGACATGGAAAGAACGAAATAGCACTGAGTGAGAGACTTTTGTTTCAAGAAATGAACAATTTTAGAGAGAATCAAATTCATAGATAACCACTTTTATTTTTAATGTAGTGCGACACCTGTCGCGACCATTAATATTATCGAGCCTGAAAGTCATACATCAAGTATCATCAACTGTAAGTGAAGCAATGTTGGCCACTTCAGAGCAGTTCGATTCACTGTGTGACTCACGCGCAGAGCGGTCAGCGCCATCAACACTGGCAAGGTGAAGTGTAACCGAGTGGGTGTCCAGTGTTCAAATATTCACGAGTGTGAACGAAACGAAAGAGTGTCTCGGTCTATTTCTGTAACCGTCGAAGGCCTCTGAAGCCCGCGGCGAACGCTCACCGAAGAAATTTTATAACTTGCAACTCTAACTTCCTCTGATTACCTAACACTCGATCATTTCATTTGAACATTTAATGATGCATTACCATTACAAGTACTTCGAGCGCTCGAAATACACTCTCGTCATTCACAATTTTATTGCCGTATTAAAATTTGTGGGTTATGAGCCATGGAGTACCGCAAGGACTCGTGTTCGGCCCAGTAGCACTTTTCAACATCAAAGTAATGTTTTTATTTTACAATTATAAATTTATGTATTTATTACCTTTGTCTCAATTAAAGAAAACGAAAGTAAAAAAAACATACCAAACGAAATAGAAACAGCCAATAATCCAATAGTGTCACGAAACACTCAAGTCAAACACTTTCACTTAAAAGTACAAAATAATTCGCTAAACAGGACGTTCGAGAACTTGATTGACGAAGGTTATAAGAAACTGGATTCGTCAGAGAAATCGGGCGGTTTTGTCGCCGGCGGCGGGACGCGTCGGGTCGTTTTCGAAATCGTAACTAAACTATGAAAATTTTGGCGGCTGGCCGAGGCGGGCGGGCGGAATTTGCGTGGGCGGATGCAGGCATCGCCATGGGTTGGATAACGGACTCGTCATTCGTGACGTTGCTGGTGCAGAGGTGTTTTCCGCCGAAGATAGAAGCTGATCTAATGGAGCACAGTATTGTTGCAAATATTGGGATAGGGTTTGGGCCAAAACTAATTTATTTGCTAACGTGGGTGTGCTAGTTCCAAGTACAATTGGACTGAACTTCTAGTTGTTTCTCGGACTTTTTGTTTTTACTCTCTGTTTCTTTTTTTAATTTCCCTACAAGATTTGTGTTTATACATATAACTGAGATTCTGGTTAGCATTTGGCAGTTATGGGCTCAGCTTTATAGGACAAGTTTAATTTTCTACAATTTATCAGAATCTCAGGCGTTTTAGAATCTTTTAAAGGAAATTGGTGATTTGGATGAGGAATAAGTTATTATGTATGTCACCTTTGTGATGGTTATAAAGGATACACGTTTTGTAAATTACTATACCATTTTTATTAAATATATCGAAACATTTATAACTTAAACTATTAATCTGCTCAGTAACAGCTGGGCAGATTAATAAAATACTTGGACACATTTTATCAAACGTCACACGATATACTCATATGACTAGATGATATATTAAGTGTGAATTTAATAGACATACCACTAGTATGTTGGACGTTATATGCCCAGCCTTTAATGAAACCTAACAGTCTACTAGTTTATTGATCAAAAATCTTAAGTATGTAAGAATTTGTAACGAAAGCCTGATATTAAAACAAAAATTGAAATCTTTGAACGTAGTCTTCAAGACCAGTCTATAAATCAGTTAGCATCGTTAATTTTTCTTCAACGCTCATGTTATTTGGTTGGCAACTGGAGAAGTCAGGTGACCTATAAATCACCAGGTGAATGTCAACATGTTATATTTAAGTCCTATGATTGATGAACTAAATGCTTTCTGAGACAATGATAGAGTGTGATTTCATTGCAGAGGTCTCTTCGTGATTATTTTTAATTGTGATTAAGTTGTTCTTGTCTTATTTAATGAAGTTTAGCTTTAAGTAGATTAAGGTCTTGGTTTCTTGTTGATTAATATGTTGAGTTCTATTCTAGAATTGTTTGTGACAAATAGTTTAATTTTAGTGATAGATAATTTTGTTAAAGTTCTGCTATAACTGCTACATGTCGTTAATTTGAAATTAAATTTATTTGTTGAAAAAGAACACAACAACAACATTTTATATATATTATATGTGGTTGAAATATATAACTCCGAAAAAAAAGAAAAATTGAAATACGAAATGTCCGTCGAATTAAAATCCGTTCAATATATCCCAATGATAGAAAAATAATACATTGAACGGATTATTAAATCTGTGGGCCAAAATATAGTTCGGTGTATCCATTTCTCTTTTAATGTTTCCATTTTCGATTTAAAATAGGTTGTGTGAATTTTAACGAAACATTTTCGTTTTAAGATCCGAAGCTACAAGTAAAAAAATCCGTTGACTTCGGTATATCAAAATCCTTTAATATAATTTAGATAATTACCAAATTCATTAACAACATCATTTGAATATCTTTCTTTATTTCTTTAAATTACTTCATCACTTACTCTAACCTATCTATTTGTATCAGAACTGACTATCATTTCTTCAATCTCATCTGTAGCCAAAATTATGGGTTCAATGACCTCAATGCTATTTAGTTTTGGATTGTAATCAAGGTTAACGGTCAATCCATATAGATCAAATGGTAGTTCATCATACATAGTAGTTACAAGCCATTTTAAACTCAACGCTCTGGTGAAAAGCGAATGAGGTTATTGAGATTCGTAAGTTGTTATTTTATCATTTATTTTAATATCTACTAATGTGATGATTTCTTTGATTTTATTTTTATGAAAATGAAATGAAATGAAATAAGTTTATTTTTTAAATAGGCTACAAACATAAATAGGCACTTTTACATGTCACCATTATAAGAAATTCTAGGCAGTAGGCTGCGCAACATTACCGCGATCGCGGGTCAAGCGAGGTCAAGAACCTCTCTGTGGATCGAAACTATAGAGCTTTACTCAGTATATTACTGGGTTTATAAAAAAATCTCAATAGTAGCACGGAGACTGGAATTATGCCCGGTATATGGCAATAGGCTCACACCTTACATGGGACTCATATCATAAATAGTGAGAAGTAGGTGTTACATTGTTACATTGTACAGTGGCATAATATGCACCTTTGCCTACCCCTTCGGGGTTAAAGGCGTGATGTTATGTTATGTGAAAAAACTACATTTCCCAAATACACGAATAAAATTAACAATGTTCAAAGCCAAAACTAACAATTCTTAGCACAAATTAATTGCTCCATTATCATCACAACTAAAAACAATAGTGGAATGAATACTTTAGAAAGATCATAGGAAATCTATTTCAAACAAGAGATACGAACAAACAGCACTCTACCTACGTATTAGATATTTTTGTGAACGGGACAAAACATCCTGAAGTAGAGTTACTTTTGGGGCATGATGGTATTTATTGTGTGGGTGAGCAGAGCGTGGTTGGGATGCATAGTTTCATCCAAAGTATTGGTGTTTAATGAATGTAAAATACGGTGCTATGAAACCGGATGAGTTTTTCATTCTTTGCGTAGTTTTGTCTTGTATTTGTTTTCTCTGTAAGGAGTGGGAAGGAAATGGTACATTTATGACTAGAATTGTAAGTTTATGTTATGACAAATAGACATTTCCAGATACATTGTGGGTGTATACTAGATTCAGTAACTCATTAATGTATTTTGTTTTTTTTTTAAGGGGGGAATATTATCGTATGACTGCTCCCGCTTGGGCGAGGCGGGAGGGAGTATCAGACTCTAACTGATGAAAGCTACCCCGTTCCTTCTTCTGCACTTCGAGTCGGAGCCCCGATAACCCGTTAGGTTCTCCACGACTCCAAATGTATTTTGTTTAAGTCCAGATCGACTAAAGTTTAATGAGCCAAACTCCTTAAAACCTTATCATCAATCTATGCTTTATGCTATAACAATGTTATCCCATACATTTTAAAAGTTATTGAACATTACACTAGGATATTTAAATAACTTAATCGTCTCACTTTAATATTAATATACATTTAGTCATTTTGTCACATGTCTACGAAATAGAAACGAATGTATCAGTCACTTAAATAAAATGTACTTAGATATTCTAAAAATAGTTGATTTTACTCTCAACCGCAACTCAACTACTTGGTTCTCAAATAGTCCAAACGTCAAATGTTTGTGAAATCAACAGATACAGTGTTTCGAATATTTGTACAAATAGTAATACATAAACAAATGATCAATTACCTACTCAGTTCGCGTGATTTGGCAAAGGTGCGCGTGCGCACTCACCGCGATCCCGACGTTAGTAAGCGGATCGATGACTCACACTCGAGTTGAATAAGATGATCAGATGATTACGTTCATATGTAATCGGTTAAATTTAACGAGAATGTTATTGGTAAAAATCTTTCAAGTGGGTGCGAGAAATATTATAATATACTAGTGACCCGCCCCGGCTTCGCACGGGTGCAATATGCATGTATTATACATTCAAATCTTCCTTAAGAATCACTCTATCTATTAAAGAAGCCGCATCAAAATCCGTGGCTTAGTTTTAAAGATCTAAACATACATAGGAACAGACACATGACGGATTTTTTTTAAGGGGGAAAAATCATCGAATGACTGCTCCCGCCAGGGGGAGGTGGGAGGGAGTGTCAGACTCTTACTGACTAAAAACCACCCCGTTTCTTCTCCTGCACGTCGAGCCGGAGCCCCGGTAACCCGTTAGGTTCTCCGCGACAGACAGACGACGGATAGCGACTTGGTTTTATACTATGTAGTGAAGTGCGTACTACGTCGTGCATTTTTGCCAAGCCTTTTCAGAGAAATACTGACTTAATCTATGGTTCTTTTTATATATGAAATGGGAGCAGTTTCGTTCATCATAGTGAGATCTTGGTGAGGCAGTATAGTCAGAAAATATAATATTCAGTTTTTCCTTCTTAATTTATAGGCTCAATAAGCTTATTTTTTTCTGGACATGTGATGAAGAGGGATGAAAATAATGTGAAAAAAAGTTAAATGAAGTCCAAAGAAAATATAAACAAATTGTATTAATAATTTCGTTTGATAAAAGAGAACGAAACAAACTTGGGATATGGGGCAGGCAGAATATATAGAAGAGGTTGAATCAGAGTAAACAAGACTTTCTCATTTCTATTAGTTTAATGGTATTTGTAAACTAAATTAGTTAAGTTTTTATAAAAACTAACTATTATCGTGAGACATACTGAATCAACTAAAAATACTCATATAAATATACTGAGTCTGTGACTCGAAACTGGTAGAGGTTTTCTCGGCATGTGTCGTGAGTAACTCGAATTGTTTAGTTAAATTTGTACATTTCTGAAGCGTATATTTGTTTATGGAATAGGAGGCAAACCTGCAGACGGATCACCTGATGCCCCTGATGGTAAGCGATCAGCGCCGCCGCTGAACATCCGAAACAGCAGGAGGAGTCATAACTGCGTTGCCGGCCTTTTAAAAACGAATACGATATTCGGCGTAAATTACAACCCAGAGACAGAGGTTATGTTGGAGAAAAGCAATACTCTTCCTACAGTCGGATAAAAACAAAACGCACCGGGTTTAGATTAGGCAGAAATCACTCCAACAACACTATGTTAAGTTCCATTCAATCAATAGTTCGGCCAGCCCATTGCTAAACTATGAGTCTATTCTACATAAGAGGGTTTGTCATAATATCCACGTGTGGTTGGCGTGTTAGAAATTGCAGTAAGGGACTTGCCCTTAACGCCCGAGGGCACCGAACGCCGGACACTTGTATTATCTCGATAACTGATAACACGAGCGCTTAAATTTTTACTAAAAATCTTAGATGTCTTCCACTGGGAGACTTGCCTCTAAA